TGAATACTTTTTTTTAAAAAAATTAAAAAACCACACGTTAAAGTGGAATTGTGGACAACTGAAGTTAAAAATGGAAAAATGAGAAACTGAAAGTGATGGATTTGCCCATCCCTGTCTGTACCACAAACTTGGTCTGTAGCACCCTCTGCTGCTCATTGTAGAATAGTTCAATACACTCCTGTTTCGTTACACAATCTATAATACCCCAACACCCCGCAAACATCCTTTTCATTGTACATTCTTGATGGTTTGTGCTCATGGTGGCAACTTTTTATACCACTAGTGTTCCAGGGTTTCTTTCAGTGATAAAAAGGTTAAGGGACCCCTGACCATTAGGTCCAGTCATGACTGACTCTGGGATTGTGGCGCTCATCTCACTTTATTGGCCAAGGGAGCCGGCGTACAGCTTCCAGGTCATGTGGCCAGCATGACTAAGCCGCTTCTGGCGAACCAGAGTAGCGCATGGAAATGCCGTTTACCTTCCTGCCGGAGGGGTGCCTATTTATCTACTTGCACTTTGACGTGCTTTCGAACTGCTAGGTTGGCAAGAGCAGGGACCGAGCAACGGGAGCTCACCCCGTTGCGGGGATTCGAACCGCGATAGTTGGTGGCAATTGGGACAGGTAGGGCAGAAAGCAGGGAGACCAACAGCAGGTGGAGCCAGAGCCAATGACAGGTAGAGCCAACTACTTCTGGTTTGGTACCCATCCTCCTCCTTGCTGAGTCCTACAAGAGCAACACCAAGACTTAGGGAGGAAACTGACATGCTGTGCTACCCCTCCGGAGTTGCTGTATACAAGAAGGCAGGCAGGTCGGAGGGATTGGCTGAGGGAGGCCTGATGTTGGTGGAGCAGTGCCCCATTTGGCCTAATAGACCAATTGCCACTGGTTCCTTCTGTGTTGGTTGTGAGATAACTAGCCTCATAATAACCAACATCCCTAAGTCTAACTAATGCATGAAGGGGTTAAGTTCAAAGAGTAAGCTGTCCCATCAGGCTTAGCTCACCTTGGGAGGGACTAGGTAATTAAGCCTCTGTTCCCCCAGTCTACCTGAGAAGCTCAGCATGTGAGGTAATCTTTGCTGGTTGCTGCAGCTCAAACCGCATGGCTCTCACAAGCCATTCTTGAGTTCTATAGCAAATAATTTAGGAACTGTAACTAAGCCAGATTTTACCGCCTGTAACACTTTTTTTCAATGCTGTATGGGAAATCACATGAACCTTGCCTTTGGAGAGTTTGTAAGTAAACCATTTTTAACTTACCAGATGTATGGGGTCGCCCCCCCCCCCATGCCAGGGGAACAGGGAAGTTTTGGAACTCTCAGTTTTGAAGGTCTAACAGCCTATATTTCCACACTTTGTTTTGCTGCATATTTTGTGACTTTAAATCTCTGCTGGGGTTCTCACCAAAGAGTACTTTCTCCATCCCTGGGTATTGGCACTCAGGAATTCTCTTTTCATATATAATTATTTTTCCTTGCACCATCACTGCTTTTGTTGTGCTGTGTGCCCCTCCAGGTGGCAATAGCGCAGTAGCATTGGGGAAGCACTGCAGAAAGTGGAAGGATGTGTGGACAGTCCAGTATGAATACACCACTAATGCAATATTATTGCATCAGTCACATGCTGCAGAATGTACACATACAAATCCCTTGTGTAACAAATTGCTGTAATCTAAACTGGAGGTGATGAGAGTGTGGGGAGGACAGCGCCCAGGCTGTCTCTGTCCAATATAAAAAGACCTGGGATACAGCATACCCTTTTTGGTGGCCCAGCACAGGATGCACGAGGATGGGGCTAGCCATGTATCTAGCAGCCTTTGCCAGATTCACATATCATGTTTTGTTTAGCTGGATTCCTACACTGATCCTAATCTATATGTGGCTGAAGTCTTGCTTAAATGGCTTATGTTAACAAACTGGTAGATCAGGGACAGTGGCGATCCAGATGTTGCTGACTCCGCCCCAACATCCTCATTGGCCATGCTGTGTAGGCTTAATAATAATAATAATAATAATAATAATTTATTATTATTTATACCCCGCCCATATGGCTGGGTTTCCCCAGCCACTCTGGGCGGCTTCCAATAGAATATTAAAATACAATACAGTGGTACCTCTGGTTGTGAACGGGATCCGTTTCGGAGCACCGTTTGCAACATGAGCAGAACGCAACCCGTGTCTCTGCATGCGCGGGTCACGATTCGCTGCTTCTGCGCATGTGCGTGACGTCATTTTGAGCATCTGCGCATGTGCGAGCGGCAAAACCCAGAAGTAACCCTTTCCGGTACTTCCGGGTCGCCGCGGGACACAACTTGAAAAGATTTAACCTGAAGCAAACGTAACAAGAGGTATGACTGTAACCTATTAAACATTAAAAGCTTCCCTAAACAGGGCTGCCTTCAGATGTCTTCTAAAAGTCTGGTAGTTGTTTTTCTCTTTGACATCTGGTGGGAGGGCGTTCCACAGGGCGGGTGCCACTACCAAGAAGGCCCTCTGCCTGGTTCCCTGTAACTTGGCTTCTCGGAGCAAGGGAACTGCCAGAAGGCCCTTGGCACTGGACCTCAGTGTCTGGGCAGAACGATGGGGGCGGAGACGCTCCTTCAGATTTACTGGACCGAGGCCAATGGGAGTTGGAAGCCAGAGCACAGACCCTCCCCTGGCCACACCCTCCTTGAGTGCTTTTTTTGCCTGGCTGTTGTAATGTGTCTTTGAACAGCGCTAATCTCTCCTGTTTGCCTGGAAGGGCGATGAAGAGAGATGTGTTTTTAAACCTCCGGCTTCTACAAGGCTGGAGTGTAACCCTGAGCATTTCCAGGCAACCTGCTTTGTTTGCAAGATGCCCCGTTCGCAAGATGACCATTGCATTGTACAAAAGCAAACGTCACCTCACATTTTCCTGTGCATTTCCCCATCACATGGGGGGGGGGGGCAAAAAAAAAATCAGTGAAGCTTGTTTGTGGCACCAGAGTTCTGAAAACGGCTTTAACTATGCAACCTGAATTTACCGGTTTGTGACTGAATCCCACCTGAAAATAGCAACAGTCTGGAAGCTTTACCGCTGGACAAAGATTTGCATCTGGCCCCACCCACCCCTGGCATCTGGCCCCCAGAAGTTTGTTTGCAAGGGAATGTGGCCCTCTGGCTTAAAAAAAAAGGCTCCCGATCCCTGATGCTGGAGTAGCACAGGTGGTCACCACGAGCATGGTCTGAACCATCTGCCTCTGGGGAATGCAGTTCAACCCACCTGGCAGTTTCCATGCATCCTCACTCAGTCATGATCTGGATACACCTGTAAGTGTAGGAGGTAAAACTATTAGGGACTCCTGCATGCATTTCAAGCATGCCAAGAGGGTGGGGGAGGGTTAATGATAACATTTTGGCAAAGGGAGAAGGAAAGAGGATGGACACAATTTACATATCAGCAGACAGGAGCCTCTCTATTGGCTTTTCCAGTGCCTGTTGAAGACATTCCTTCTCCCACAAGCCTTTGAAGTGTGGAGATACTTATCCCTCCCTGTATCTGTACTGGATGTGAAACTGTTTTTACATAGGAAATTGTTCTCGTTGATGCAATTGTTTTTTACTGCATGGTGTCCTTTTAAAATTGTTTTTAATTGCCAGTGATTTTTCTGTGAAATTGTTTTCAACATATTTTAAGGGAAGTGATTCATCAGTGGAAATCACTGGATAACTCCTATTGGTGGGAGGCTGGATTCAGGTGAATCCTTGGTCTTGCCTAAAAGGGAAGTATTTATTTATCCATTACATGAATATACAACCTCTTCCTCCGGGGAGCTTGAGGTGGTGTACATGGTTCTTCCCCTCCTCATTTTTTCCTCACAACAACCCAGTGAGGTCAAGGCCACCCAGTGTGCTTCAGTCTGAACCCTGGTCTCCCAGGTCCCAGTCCAGCCAGCTCTCTAATTGCACCACACTGACCACTCAGTTGTTAATAAGGCCCTCCTTGTATTTGTATTATTAAGGTATTATTACTATTAAAATAGTACTTTTTATTAATAGTAATTCAATCTAATAACTGATGCTATTAATTGGTATCAGTATTAATAAGGCTCTTTGGAATGCTCCCCCATAATCATGTAGAAACATATGTTTATAAATTCTATTTATAAACATTTATGTTTCCAGTCTGGTTTTGGTTTTTGCATTTTTGTTGTTGTATTTTGTCACCTTTTTTTTTTTTTTGCATTTTTAATGCTTATATGCAGGTGTGGATTTATTTTATTCATGCTTTTATTCGCCACTCTGGAATCTCTTAATGAGGAGGGCAACCAAGAAATATTTGAAATCAATATTTTTGGGGCTGACAAAGACCTGCAGACGTCCAGGGTGGAGAGAATGTTGGGCTATCAGCAACTGAGGAAGAGGGATTATAATAAGGGTGATATGGGGTGAGGAATCTAGTCTTCTCAAGCCCCAAATATTTATTTTCAGTATCCTCAGAGGGAACAGATTAGCGGTGGGGAGATGCATGCCATGAAGCTAAGAATAAAATTAAAAACCCTCTCCGCATCGCGGACGTTGCAGTAGGAAAGGAGAGTGTAGTGGTTAGAGCCAGCGTGGTGTATTAGGACTTGGGAGACCAGTTCACTGGGTGATCTTGGGTCAACCCCTGCCTCGCAGCAGCCTAGCCTACCTCACAGGGCTGTTGTTGGGATCAAATGGGGAAGGGGAGAGAACCACGCATGCCATCTTGAGCTAAGGGGTACGAATGCACTAAAGCGCTCAATCAAGAAAAGCGCTTGCAGCCCTACACCCACTTACCTGCGTCTAAACCCCATTGAGTGCAACGGGGTTTACTTTTGAGTAGACGCGTCTTTAGGAGCGCACCGTCGGCGTCCTTTAGCGCCAAGCGCCGGCTGGAGTCAAGCCAACTCCGCCTCTCCGCTGCGAAATACGGTAATCAGCTGTTCGGAAAGGCGAGGCGAGGCGAGGTTCCACCCCCGAGGGGCGCTTGGCCGCTCTCATTGGCTGGCCGCGCTCTTCTTAAAAGCAGAAGGTGAAGTTCTGCTGTCTTGTGCTGGCTGGGAAAAGGAAGAGCCGCAGACATGGGGAAGCTTGCCTTGGTCCTGATTCTCTGCTCGTGGAGCTTTGCTTTAGGTGAGTAGGTTCCTGCTAAAGCAGCTGTGGCGTTTGCATTTCTGGGCGCTGCAGACGCGATCTGACAAAGAAGCCCAAGAGGTTGGGTTTGCAGCTGCTGTGCGCTCTTCCTTAATGTGGGAAAAGGCCCCATCAAATCATAACAATAGATGAGGAAGAATTGCCAACTGACCGCGCTGGGCAGCATGGTCTGGCCTGCGCTTGTGCCTTTTCAACTGTTCCTTTGGCTGTGTGCAGCTAAATTCTACTTAGGAGTAGACCCATTGAAATGGATGCACCTCAGTTAGTCGTGGCCATGAGTATCAGTGGGCCTGCTTTGAGCATGGCTAACCTTGAATGTCACCCTTGGTTTGTAAGAATGGGTAAGGAGGTGCTATCTTCTGCGTGGAGGAAAGTGGGGCTCTGTGTTAATTTTGTAGATCAAGATGCTGTTAAAAGCATGGGAATATGGGGCTGGTGAAATGTTGGCAGGCCATCATTTAATCCTATTTTCCTCTCACCTTCTGGTATCTACTGATCCACTGTTATCTACAAGGCACTTTCAGCTGTGAAATTCTGTGTCAGTGGGGTGCTGTTTAGGACTGGATGGTCTCCTCCTCTGTCTTTGTGTGGAGTTCATGGTATATGCCAGTTCTACATGTATGTTATCCTCCATATGCGCAAGCAGCTATTCACAATTTGCACACATGCAGCACTGTTATATGTATGAATGTATGTTTATTTCAGCCATTTATATGCTGCTTTACATCATAGCAAGGGATGCGGGTGGCGCTGTGGATTAAACCACAGAGCCTAGGACTTGCCGATCAGAAGGTTGTCGGTTTGAATCCCCGCAACGGGGTGAGCTCCCGTTGTTTGGTCCCTGCTCCTGCCAACCTAGCAGTTCGAAAGCACGTCAAAGTGCAAGTAGATAAATAGGTACTGCTCCGGTGGGAAGGTAAACGGCATTTCCGTGTGCTGCTCTGGTTCGCCAGAAGCGGCTTAGTCATGCTGGCCACATGACCCAGAAGCTGTACGCCGGCTCCCTCGGCCAATAAAGCAAGATGAGCGCCGCAACCCCAGAGTCGGTCACGACTGGACCTAATGGTCAGGGGTCCCTTTACCTTTACCTTTACATCATAGCAACTGAGGCTCCATACACACCATACATTTAAAGCACATGTCTTCCCTCAAAGAGTCGTGGGCATTGTAGCTCAGGGAGGGGAAGTACTACAGTTCCTAGGATTCTTTGGAGGAAAAACCATGTGTTTTAAATGTATGGCGTGTACAAAGCCAAGGTATGAGAGGATGTTTGGAGGTGATGTAAGGCAATGCTGCTTTTGGCATGTAGCTGTGCCAGTCTTTTTTCTCCCTGACAGGATCGGTGCCTTGAGCTGCTGTGAAATAGGCAAGAATCCAACAGATGTAGCAGTGGAGGGTGTAGCTGTACCTGGTTGAATATCTGCCTGTTGCACTTCTTTTCTAGGCACACAGCCTGTGACCAATACAGGTGTGAAGCTCTTTGGTGTCTTCTTCTAGAGGAGACTAGAAAAAAGAGTCAGGGAATGAAGTGAGTGAGGGAAAGAAACATGAGGTCATCTGTTGGGTTGCTTAATTTACTTGATTCATAGGATTTGCCTCGTATCACCACCTTTTGCAACATAGGAATAATTAACAGGTCCCTCCAGCTGAGTATTGTCTACCCTGACTGGGTTTTAGATAGGGGACATTCCCAGCCCCTCTTTAACTCTGGATATGGCAGAGTTTGAACCAAGGATCTTCTGCATGCAAGACAGATGCTCTACCACTGAGCTATGATCCTTTTCGCTCTCCAGGTAATTTGGAATGCAGGCATTTTAAGCTGCTGCCTTTAGTTTTAACTCCCACACATACAGGTAGATCCAGAGGCATCTTTGAGTTAGGATGCATAGAAACTGCTAGGGCAGCATTCCCCAAAGGCCATGGGTTCAAACCTCCCTTGCTCGTAATGCTAATCTCTGTTTCATCTGCATCTGGAGGCAAGTGGGCTTGGGCTGGCTGCAGCTATTAGATGTACTTCTGGCCACACCTTGGTGCCTCTGGATCTTTTGAACTCCAGCTTCCATCAGCCCCTGCCAGCATATGGAAACTGGAATCCAAAACATCTGGAGGGTGCCAGGTTGGCAAAAGTTGCCCTTCTGTATCCTACACTGCAGAAAGGGTTATGGCAGCTGTCATGAAGAGGAAGCCACATAGAGGTTGTATAAGCAAAAAAACCCCCCCAACTTTAATGCTGACTCAGGTAGTTTCTGGTATGGCAAGCCAAGAGAGCCAATGCAGTATGCCAACTTTCCCCAACTTGGTGCCCTCCAGTTGTTTTGGGGCCAAGGCTCTCATCATTCCAGACCATTGGCCATGCTTGCCGTGACTAGTGGTGGTTGTAGGCCAGAACATCTGGAGAAAGCACCAGGTTGGGAAATCCTGGGCTATGTTGTAACCCCAGGTCTGCATAACTTCAGTGGAGATAGCCTTGTCACAGTTATCCACACCCTGATGACCTCTTGATTAGATAACTTCCAATGTCACCAGCAACATTCCAGAGTCGTTCACCCCATGAATTGGGAATGGTATTTTGGCTCAGCCCTACTCTGTGTTGTGTGCTCAGCCGAGGAATTTCTTTTTGGTACCAGAACTATGTTCCACCCCAGGACGCTAAGTTTCATTCACTTCTGCACCTCCGTTTAGAAGAGAGAATTTTTGGTTGCTGCTGGGAGTCAGAAACTAGTGCTGAGCTATTGCAGATGTACAGTAGGTTCTCATCTATCTCGTGTTCAAAACACTTAAAGGATGTGGGAAAAGCTTGACCCAGGACGTTTGTGCTTACAGTGTGCAAACCAGTACGATGCCCTAAGCTGGAGGTCTCAGCTGGTCGGTCTAAATAAAGTTGACCCAATGTATTGACTGGCTGCAAATAGCAGAAGTCAGAGATGTTATTGAGGTTGTGAAGCATTTCCCCACATGCCGCAGGTGACAAAATCCTTTGTGAATGTGTGCTAACAGTTACATAAGGCAAATACCCTGATTTCTCCAGTGATAGCATCTTTAAACGATTGAAACACTTGCTGGGATTTGCATTGCTCTCCTCTCGGTGAGATTTGCTTAATTGTGCTGCAAGAAGGAAATGCACACCCATTGGAGAACAATGACACGGAGTAATGTCACACATAAACATGATTAGTGTATTTTTCCCTCACTGGGCATATTGCATCACTGGTACCTGTCATAGTGAGCGCACAATGGAGCTTTAGCAATTGAAATAGTTTGGAAAATACAGTGTTTTGACTTGTCACAGATACTCGCTGCCTGGAGTCAAGGCACTGGTCCATCTAGCTCTGTGTTGTCTACACCAGTGTTTCCCAAACTTAAGTCTCCAGCTGTTGTTGGACTACAACTCCCATCATCCCTAGCTAGCAGGACCAGTGGTCAAGGATGCTGGGAGTTGTAGTCCAACAACAGCTGGAGATGCATCTTTGGGAAACCCTGGTCTACACTAACTAGCAGCAGCTCTCCATGATTTCAGGCAAGGTTCTCTCCCAGCCCCACCTGAAGATGGAACCTGGGACCTTCTGCTTGCAGGGCAGATGCTCTGCCTCTTAAGTAATTTCACAGACTTGTTAGAAGAGAAAATCTGTACTGTGAAAATTCCTGCTACATTTCCCAATCAATTAAAATAAATGCATGGCTGGCTTATTTAGTGAAATTTTTGAGTACATAAAATTGCTCACTTGCTCTTTTGATAACAGGTGTAGCAGCCTTTCTAGTAGAAGGACTTCTCATTCCCTTTTGAGCTTGACAAACTGGCAGAGCCAGAGTGACTTTCCATGTCTGTCCTGTATAGAAAACCACAGCTCAAACAGCAGCTGCAGTTTCACTCAGAACCACATGAGAGTATGTGGGAGGGCAAAAACATGAGTCAGTTGTACTTCAGTGGTCAGAGTCACAAATAATGGTTTTAATTTCGCCACCCAGATGCTCTGGGCAGATGTATCAAAAGGCTGAAACCTGCTTTCAAGTAGATCTGGAGAATGACGTTTCCCTGGGGCTTCCTGGGAACTGTAGTTTTGAGACTGGCAGGACTTCCCAGCTCTTCCTGTCTTCTAACCCTAACTCTGCCCTCTTGAAAAACTATGATTCTGGGGAATTTCTTTGCTAGAATCAGGTAGCAAAAGAGATCAGGTGGTGAAACTCTCATCTTCAGAACTCTTAAATTCTGGGTGGGCCTCATCTTGAGCACTGGAAATTATAAATAGCCACTCCCTGTACAGACACCCACACCAAATGACATAAACAATGAATTGGTTAAGAGCATCATTCCACACTCTTGCCTTCTGGTCTCAAGATTCAGCCACATATAGATGATCTCCCTACTATAAGGGCACCAAAAAGAAAATCAGTGTAAGGGTCCATTCCTTTCTGAGAAGCCTTCTGAGGGTCGTATGCAAGCAGTGGACGGGACAGAGGCAAAAGTGGGTGGAGCAATTAATGCAAATTTTATCCTTCATGCATTAGGCTAGTTTCTGCAGAAACCCCCACACCCCTTTCTGTCCTCCATCCAAGCAAGCAGGAAGCACTCTGAGTCAGGTAAAAACATTTTGGGAGGGAAGTGAGGCTTGTGAGAGGTGTGGCCAAGGGAGCCAGATAGAGGGCTGTCTTTGCCCCTCGGGTACAAGGTTCCCCCATCCCTGCTCACTCCACTTCCATAGGAATCATAGAACTGTAGAGTAGAGTTGGAAGGGACCCTGAGAACCACTTAGTCCAACCCCCTGCAATGCAGGAATATGCAGCTGTCCCATACGAGGATTGAACCTGCAACCTTGGCATTATTAGCACCACGATCTAACCAACTGAGCTATCCAGGGATGTACTGGCATCGAGTGTTTTTGCATTGTTGATTTTCAGTGGCTCATGCTGGAGGCCTAGGATGGCTGTACCCTGAATGATCTGTGTGAAAAAGTATTTTTTGTATCCCGAATGTCCCACTATTCAAGTTCATTGGGTGCCCCAGGGGACAGAGGTGCAGTGGTCCAGGTTTGGGGTGTGGGTGTGTCAAAGTCCTGTCACTATTTCTGCAGCATTGTCCTAGAGCTGCTGAAACACCATGAAGCGAAAGCTTTTTAGCCGCTGAGAAGAAGTCTTCTCATTGTTTGTGCTACTTGGGGTCAAGCAGAATGAAAGGAGGTGAGTCAGCTCCTGAGGCTGGGCTCCTAGGGTCACTTTGCAGAAGGAATGTGGGAAGAACTGGGAGGAATCTGCGTCATTCTGTATGCTCCAAAGCTAAGCATTTGGCAACACAAGGCACTTCCATTCCAAGGAAACAGTGTGCAAATTCTGTTACGTATAAAAGAACTTCAAGGGAAACGCAACTTAAGTCACTTAGAAAGAAGCTACTGAGTATCATTTGCCCATGTATGTGCACAGGAAATAGTAGATCTAGCTGAAAGGCAACACATGGAGCTGCAGTGATTGTTGCAACGTGTCCCTGATTATTATTGTTGTACAATTGTGAGATGATACAACCTTCTAAAATTATTATATAATCTTAGAAGGGTGTGTGGCTCTGGCTGTCTGAATTTGCCACTACAGTGCTGTCCAGGGAGGAATTCAGCATTGTGCTCTTCTGATCGTTCCTTAAGCGCAAGCATTTCAGTTTGCCAGGTGGAATGATCTGCCCTCTTCTCCCCCACACCCTGTTCTGGTGTTTCATTAACCTACTTTCCTAATACTTGGGAAGCTGCCTTATTCCAAGGCAGACCATTAGTCCATCTAGCTCAGCATTGTCCCACAGTCGCTCTCCAAGGTTTCAGACAGGAGCCTCTCCCAGTCCTACTTGGAGATGCCCAGGATTGAACCTGGGACCTTTTGCATGCAAGGCAGATGCTCTACCAATGAGCTATAGCCCTTCCCTGCTATGGAAGGCAGTTGGATTTTGGCGTCTTCAGGAAAAATGCTGACATGGATGAACTTGGAGAGCAGCAAGGCATGTCTCTTCCTGAAGCTTCCCTGCTTCCAAATTAGAGGCTGCTTCCTGCAACCTGCTCGCCCAAATGCTCCAACCCTAGCCGGGAGCCAAGAGCAACTGGGGCTGCTTGTTCTATGTCAGCTTTGCACAGATGTGACAAAACTGATTTATTTATTAAATTCAAGTTTAATAGTAAGAATTACATAGTAAAATACAAGGGGAATAGAATGTAGCGAGGCTTGCTGTCCTTCAGAGCGGGAGGTTCATCTGCTGCCATGTCAGACAACCTTTCTTGCATCGGCAAATTAGGGTCTTGCCCACTTTGCGGGAAATGCTGGCATCAAGGAAGAGGCGGGACCCATTCTCAGGGTGTGTCGGCTTTGGTTTGCGCGTTGTTTAATAGTCATTCCAAACTGAAAGTTGCTTAATGACAGGGACAAGCATTATAAGGTTAGGAGTCATAGGTGTTCCTTGGCACTGCTATTAAAGCATCTCTTTAAGACAAGCTTATCAGATATATATTTTGGGTTTGGTCCCCTATTTTTGCCCTTGCGCAATTTTAATCCTGCTTCTGGGGTGCTTTCCAATGTAGCACCTGAAACTCTCCCATTTCCTCTTCTGTCATCCGAACAACCATTTCTATTTGCTGCATTTTAATCAAATCGCAATCTTAAAAAATTGTATTCTTGCAAATCCTTTCATCCAAAAGTCGACATTGATTGATTGATTCTACAGCATTTCTACTCTTTAGTCAAAAATTATCTTGGAGAGGCTTACAAAGATCAACTCTAAGATGGTCCCTGGCCTCCAGTTCATAATCTAAACCTAAATGACACACAAGGAAAAAGGAGGGGGAGGGAGGAGGAGAAGAAAGAAAGCTCTAGCTCCAAAAGTTACAACTGATGTCAGTAGTGGGGCTGGCTGCCTTGCCCTTGATAAAGATCAGTCCCTCCTCTGAAGCAGTTGCAGGAGCAGAGCTGGTGACAGTGTCTAGGGCTGGAGAGTAGAAACTCAGAGTCTTCTAAGTACGAGCAGAGTGAAGAGGTGTGTGTCCTAAAAAGAATTACTTAAGAGCAGCCAAATTACCCTTCAGAGAACTCGCCCAGCAATTCATGCTGTAAAGCTGTCATTGGTTGGCTTGTGAATATCTGTCAGTCCATGAAATGCCCAATGCCAACTAAAAATATTAAGACTTAACATTTGTATAGCACGTTCAAATGTTTAATGTGTTTCACATGCATTCTCTAGTTGTAATCCTCACAAAAGCCCCAAACAGTAAATTGGCATGGGTAGTATTATCCCCATATTGCAGATGTGGGAAGTGAGGATAACTGAGAGGGTAAAAGCCACTTGGTAAGTTCCTGACAGAGACAAAATTCAAAGAAGGGCCTTCTGGTTTTTGTAGCTCAATTCAGGGACATTTTCTCTACAATGGGCATCCTTTGTTCAATCGCTTCTACATCACCATTGTGATACATTCAATGCTACCATATTTTTTTTCTTATTTCAGGAAATGGGTGCGCTCATTCAAGGATAACCCCTGATTTTGGAGACCTGTACCACGTCAAAGGTAAGCGTCACTCAGTATGGCTTTTCAGAGGCAGGTGGCACAAACACATGCGTGCGCACACAGTGGACCGGTTCTTCCTGCTTTTGACCAAAATGCCTGGTGTGGGCAACTTTGCTATATGTCTAGCCAAGCACTTAGCTGCTTTCTGATGTCACTTTTCCCTTCAGTGGATGGTCATTGTTCCTGTGCAGAAAACTAGTTTATGTAGGAACACAGGAAACCAAGTCAGACCAGTGACTGCACTGGCTGGCAGCAGCTCTCCAGAGCTTCAGAGAGGGGCCTCCCCAAGCCCTTCCTGGAGTTGTTGGGGATTGAACCCGGGACCTTCTGTATGCCTTTCCCCCAAAATGTGCAGGTAGAGACACTGAATCCATCTTGAACCACGCTTGTGTCTCTTATGGCTGTGGTTGTGCAGCGGGTGCAGGTCTCCCTTCATGAGCAGTAGAAGTTGCATCTGGAATTGTGCAAAGTATCCTAAGTTTAGCTGAGAATTAGTGGATCCTTTATCATTGCCAGCCTCCATTTTGTAATATAGGGACGACACTGGAACATAATATGTGGGGCTTCCTAAGAGTTCCGAGATGCGGGAAGTCTCCTGGTTGGCAGCAGCCTGTTCATTTCCAAATGGTTCTCTTAGAAACTACCGTATTTTTCGTGCTATAAGACGCACCAGACCATAAGACGCACCTAGTTTTTGGAGGAGGAAAACAAGAAAAAAAATATTCTGAATCCCAGAAGCCAGAACAACAAGAGGGATCTGGCTTCTGGGATAGCCTCTTGCTGTTCTGGCTTCTGGGATAGCTGCATGAAGCCTCTTCAGGGCAGCGGGATGAAGGCTCCCCCTGCTCTCAAGAGGCTTCACATGGCTAAGCCAGAAGCCAGTACAGCAAGCAGGATCACTGCGCAGCAATCCCGCTTGCTGTCCTGGCTTATGGGATAGCCGCACGCAGCCTCTCCCGGGCAGCAGGATGAAGGCTTCCCCAAGAGCCTTGCTCCCTTTAAAGAGTGCGCGGAGCATGTGTGCAGCTCTTGGGGGCTTTTCCCTGAGGAGGAATGTGGCTCTTTAAAGGGAGCACTGAGCAGAGCCTCCCACCTGCATTCGCTCCATAAGATGCACACACATTTCCCCTTACTTTTTAGGAGGAAAAAAGTGCATCTTATAGAGCGAAAAATACGGTATATACTATATTTCTCTTTTCTGGGACTGTAATCCTATATACACACCCTTAATCTGGAAGGAAGTCCCATTGGGGCTGAATCATAGACACCCTAGTTTTGGACATGTTTCTGCGTTAAAATCGAAGGACCCACGAATTGCCCATCGTTCTTTGCTTGCAAGAGCGGCAGTGCACAAAGCCTTCTGGTCCTGCTCAGGAAGCATGAAGTAACCAAGGTTGAGGAATCTGTTGTTGGGCTGCAGCTCCCATCTGCCCCAGCCAGTGTGGCAAATGACCAGCTATGATGAAAGTTGTAGTCCAACAACATCTGGAGGGACCACAAGTTCCCCATTCCTGAAGTAAACAAACTAGTTATTTATTGCTCATTATGCAGTCAGAGACAGTTGGGAGGAGTAACTAATGTTAGAAATTGCAGCATTAGGTAAACTTTAGCAGAGGGGTCACTACTACCAGGTAAACCATGATGCTCCAGTTTTTTGGAATGCCTTATGCCCAGTGCTGCCATCTCATTAATGTTTCTTTCATATTGCTACACATTGTAACCTGCTTGCATTAAGAGCTTCTAGTTAGCATATCCCAGTGAGTGTCCCGGAAATGCATGTTTGCACCATTGCTGACTCGGTGGGAAGCTAAACCTAGAGGGTAATCTGCATCTTCTCCTTAGCCAAATGATAAGGGTGGGGATTTCTGTGGAATCCAATCTTTCCTCTTTCCTCCTGCCTCAATTTAGCCCCTTCCTGTATAACCTGAACAAGTATGTGCAAAGCTTCCTGAGATACTCTGAGGCAAGTAGGTCTCCCATTAGTAAGCTCTCCTTCCAGGAATATAATTTAGCTGGTGATGAAACCTGACAGGCAGCTCTAATGCAAAACTGTGATTAGATTCAGCAAAATTAAAAGGATTGTACTTGAATGTGTTAGTCACTTCTCCTGGGAATCTGGTGAAATGGCTCTTCCTAACTGTTCCAGGGACACATATAAGAATGCTTATGCTTGGAGCTAACAGCCATGCTAGACACAACATTTTTCACATATTAGTTGGGCAGTATGTAGCCGATTTTTGCTTAAGGTAGCTTAGTGGTAGACCATCTGCTTTGCGTGCAGAAGATCCACAACATTTCCAGGAAGGGCTAGGAATGCCCCCTCTCTGAAACCCTGGAGAACTGCTGTCGGAAAGTGGAAACTGCATTCCCCCAACCTTGTGGCCTTCAGAAATTTTTAGAGTCCTACTCCCATCAGCCTTAGCCAGCATGACTAGGGATGTCAGGGATGATGGGAGTTGTAGTCCAAAACATCTAGAGGACACCCAGTTGGAGGCTAGTTTAGAAAATAACAGATAGATAGATAGATCACTGCTTGTTCTACAAAGCAAATAGAACCAGATAAGAAGTCATCATCATCATCATCATCCATGAAAATGGTAAATGTGGATTAAATGGAAGGGAAATACTGTATGGGACATCATGTTGATGAGGATGGCACTATGTGCAAAACTTGCACGCATAAATGGCATCAAGTCCGCAATGAAAACCAAGGAAGAGGTATTGTTCTGCCTTAGGCAGAGATGTATCCGACATCTGAATGTGTCACTAGTTCATTCAGCACACTTTTGTTGTTAAGTTTCCTGTTTCCAGTGGGTGTCATTTATTGCCTTGTTTTTAAATCTATATTTTAATTTGTTCTAGAAACACTTCGTTGGCTGCTGTTTAACAACCATTAAAATATTTGAGCAGTGACACTGAAAAGGCCACAGTGCCTTTCTGATTGCCAAATTGGCGGCAACTGTATGTAATTCTACCTGCCGGCGTATGCACAGATTTGCCCCCAAATGCTTCCCATGATCTTTTTCCTTTTGCAAGATGTGGAAGTCATTGTACAATTGTGCTTTTCATGAAAAAAAATGCATGGCTTAGGTGAATTGTACCTTCCCCATCCATGCCACACCCAGTAATGTTTTGGAATGCAGCTCCCCACAGTCCATGATGGAAATTATAGTCCGAAACACCCGGAGGGCACCAGGTTGGCAAAGGCTGGCATAGATGGGGCATAGGATGTACACACACAAAAAGAACAACTCTGTGATCCTCCTGTGGAAGTGTGGAAACTCAGCTACAATTCTTCTTGGCAGCTTCAGGCAGAAGTACAATGACTGGGTTGTGCCAGGGTGTGTCCTTATTTCGCCCCATTTTGATTCTTTTGATAGGAATAGTAGGCAAGCTGCCATTCCTGCTCCCTCCTGCAGTCCTTTTGGAAACATCTAATGTCGTGTTCTTCAGTTTTGGGTCCCTACCCACGTGTGGTTAGACCACGATTCCCATCATCCTTGACCATCGGCTAAGCTGGATGAAGGGAGTTGTAGTCAAACCACATCAGGGCACCCAAGACTGAAGAGCACAGATCTAATGCCCTTTGGTCTTGTTCATGCTAGCCAAGGTTTCCCAAACTCCAGCTAGCAGGACCAGTGGTCAGGGATGATGGGAATTGTAGTCCAAAAACAGCTGGAGACCCAAGTTTGGGAAACCCTGTGCCTAGCCAAAGAATGATTATAGGATAAAGTTTTTCAGTGGGTTAAGTGGATATTTTACCCTGGGTCTAGTAATAGGGGAACTGAAGTAAAGTGTAGCAACTGCATCAGATTAATCCAGACTTTCCCAACCTGATGCCCTCCAGATGTTTGGGATCTCCCATCAGCCTCGGCATCTGGGGTTGTGGAAAGTCAAGATGAATTTATCCAGGGTGTGAGTATGATGGAGGGATGGGAAACCTGTGGCCCTCCAGATGTTGTTGGACTCTGACCCCCATCAGCCCCAGCCAGCACAGACAGTGGTCCAGGGATCATGGGAGTTGTTGTCAACCAACAGAGAACCACAGGCTTCTCACTGTGTCCTTTCTTAAGCCTGTCTCCAGGCAGATCAATCCCACCCATGTTGCTGGAGAAGGAGCTGTTTCATCATGACAAATGTTGTGCTGTGCAAAAAGAGGAACTGCAAAAAAATATTTCCCAAGAACATCATTACACTGTAAAAAAAAAAAAGTCTTTGTATATCTCAGCAACATTTCCTGCATGCCAGACACAAAGGTGTGGAAAGTTGTTGTCTTCAAGCCCCGCTTGCAAGTTTGGCAGCATCTATCTGGTTGTCTGCTGCTGGAAACAATACTGGACCTTAGTCCGGGGCCAAAATATTCATTGTCTTTTAAATGCATTTGCCTCCCTGAAATGTCTCCCATCAACTTCTAGTTAAAGCTGGCATGCAGGTGGCTGGTGCTGCACTTGGGCCTCCCCACCTTGGTTCCACGTTGTAGGTAACCCAAGTGCAAGGAAATACTGAGCCCAGCGAAACTGGCATTTCACCTGTCTGCTTGAATAAAAGGACACCGGGAAACGTGGGGAAGAGATGCTGTGAGTTGGCAGGTGTGATTTAAAGCGATGCACAGTCTGCCTTCAATCCAGCAAGACAAATCTTTACCTTCTTGTGAATTTCAACTTGGCAAACAAGTTGTTTGTTGCCGTGACTTGCAGAAACTGCGTTAAGCAAAACTTTGCATTGATTTCTCAACTTCCATTTGAATTTGCAGCTCGGAAGAACAATAGAGTTTAAACCTTTCGAAATGCCTTTTAAAATCTCATCCCTGACAAAGCCCTTGGGCAAATGTTTGCTCAACCTGGTGCCCTCTGGATGTTTTGGACTACAGTTCCCATCAGCCCCAGTGAGCACTACTGGGTGACTCACTCACACACCCCAGCCATCCTCTGCTCCTTTCCAGAGCATAATTCCTTCTTCACCTGTTCATTTTATTTCCATATTTAATTTAGCAAGATTTATATAGTGTTGAGTTGACTAAAACCTCTAATATAAAATAATAATATAAAATATTATCTGTAAATTATTTATTGAAAAATACCAATAAAATCAAACATTTAAAAAATCAACATGCAGTTAAAATATAAATAAAATAAGCAGTGCTGAAACAAATATACATATTAAAACTACACATGAACATTTCATGTCTAGGTTAGCTTGCCCAACAAAGTTTTTTGCAGGGGCTGAAAACAAAAGATCAATGTCTCCTGCCTAAAATAAATGGGCAGGGAATTCCAAGCTGTAGGTCAGGCATAGGCAAACTCGGCCCTCCAGATGTTCTGGGACTACAACTCCCATTATCCCTAGCTTACAGGACCAGTGGTCAGGGATGATGGGAATTGTAGTCTCACAACATCTGGAGGGCCAAGTTTGCCTATGCCTGCTGTAGGTGCTGCCACACTGAGGGATCACTTCCTTTCAAGTGTGACATAAACATTACTGTATATTGCACTTGTAAAAGTTCCAGTTCTGCAGACTGAATCAAGTAGGTTAAGGCAGCCAAGTAAAATGGTCCTAAGTTCTTGAGGGCTTTCTATACTAATAACACAAACTCCTTGCATTTGACCTGGTAACAAATCAGCAGCCTCTGAGAAGGGGTGTGGCCAGGATTTTTGTTGGGGGGGAGGCAGCATTCCCCACTGTGTCAGTGCCATGATCATTGCAGCCAGGAAGGAAAAAGGAAAAAGTGGGGGGCAGTGAGAGGTGAGGCCTGGGAAGAGTTCTGAGGGCCACACTGAGAGGGCCGGGGGTGGTGGTAAGGATTTTTGCCATCCCTAAGGTTGTCAGAGTGATTCAGCTAGACAGGCCTTCAGGAGGACGTGTCTATTTCAGTCCACAAGAATGACAAATTAAATGCATTCCACAAACATTAAGATTTCAGACACTCAGAGCAATCTTTCCAATGAAATGAGAGTTGCACTGCTTTCACAATGAGAGAGAATTGGAACCAGTGCATTCATGGTGAAGTTTGGCAATTTACAGTATTTCCCCCCCTTAACAACTTCAGTCTTCCATCCAGGTGTATCCTCCACTTAACACCATGGGCAAAACTAGATAAGAGTCAGGCAATTTTCCCCAGTGGAATTTTTTTCCCAGTGCCCCATTTTCCTGTGGGAAATTAGCCACTTTACACACATACATTACGGGTTGTATCCAGCTTTAAGTTTCACTGAGCAGTTCCCTGAAGTAGACCTAACGTAGTCAACAGGCCTAACTTATTCATGTTCATTAATTTCAATGGGTCTACTTTGCATATCTTTAGCATTGCGTACAACCCAATGAGCGAATAACAGTTGCAAATACAATATTATGAGGCAAGCTAGGAAGTTTTCAAAGGTTCCCTGTGTGTTTTAGAGCCGTTGAAAATCAGGGGAGCTTCAGCAAATACAGGGAAAAAATCCCAAGCTACACAGAACATTGATCCATCTCAGTCACAGCAACAACTATGGAGACATTGAAGCATACCCTGTGGATGTGAGCATAATCATGTGAGGTTACTTAATATGCAGGCAGCCAAAAAGTCCTTCCTCTGAGTCCCTCACCTGGAAACTCTCGTTGTGTTCTGTAGGAGTCATCAACCTCCCTTATGCCGAAATCGAAGAGCCCTTCGAAGCCTGGTACAACCTTACTGGGAACAAGAGTCGCATCGAGTACTACAACGGTAAGAAGCCGTAGAGAGGGCAGTGGGGTGGGAAGGGGATGCCAAATGCTCTTGGGGCTGGTATGGGAGAACTCATGCTCCAAAATAATATGATGGAAATGGAGAAGAGGAGCTGCAGATGTCACCTTGAGCACCTTGCAGGAAAGGTAGGGTGCAAATGCAATAATACAAGGCAGAAGTGGGTTTCTGCAGTGGAGGAGAAAGTTGCCGGCAGGTATCCCAGACCAAACTAGATGAGACGATGGAGTAGGGACAGCATGGCTGGGTGTCAGCCAAGGGTCCTCCACCCAGCAAGGAGTGCACTGGACCTGCTCATCCTCCTCACCAAGGCAACCATCTTAGCTGCTACTGCCTGCTGGCTCATTGGCCCTCTGCCTGGCTAGCAAGCAACTGGTAGCAGCCATAAGGAGGAAGGGCAGCAGCAGCCTGGTATTGTGGCAGGGAGGAGGAAGTAGACTCAAGGAAGGCGGGAGGCCATAAGTGTCCAAGGACCCTGCAAAACCTGGAGCTGATGCTTCGATGGAGGCCCCCCTTCTAGCTCTTTAACAACAGTTGCAATAAGCATAGGAAACTCCCTTACACCAAGTCAGACCATTGGTCCATTTAGCTCAGTGATGTCTACACCAGGGATGGGAAATTCCAGCCTGTAGGCCAGTCTTGCCCCAATGACGTTTTCCCCAAACCACAACCCACCTGCCCTTCACCATTGTCGCTGGTGTTGTATGCTGACGAGTGAGAGAACAGGGTTCAATCCTGCACTGGCCGCACAGTCCTGCTCCCAACAACAAACAGGGCCACACAGCGTAGGCAGCAGGATTTGATCACAGGATTTTAGTGTCGGAAGTGATACCAAAGGCCACCTAGCCCAGCCCCCCGCGATGCAAGAATCACGGCTGAAGAATCGCTGGCAGCTAATGTGCAGATATTAAAGATCGGAGCAAGATCTGCATGAGATCCAGGATTTATAGTGGAGGGGGGAGATTCTCAAAAGGGTTTTTGCAGGTCTCCTCCCTATTCCTTTTGAAGTCCCTCCCCACTTCCCTTCTAAGTCCCCCATCTTAGAGCAGGGTGGGGAGGCTCACAAAGTCTCCGTCCCTGTTTTAAGGGATACCTTTTGAATTTAAGCAGCGGCCTCCAGTGTTGTTAAACTGGAAATGATTTTCCCACTCCCCTAGTGGCTGTGATTATGCTGAGGCTGCAAGCCTTAAATTAATTAAATAGTTGGAATGCTCACCTCAACATTTAGTTGTTAGTGGGGGGGCAGATTTAAAAGGTGTGGCTGCAACCGAAGAACAGTCTTTGCTTGCTTGCTTGCTGTTGAATTAAATTTACTTACTATTATTAAAGAGAGTCGTTCATTTGAGTGGTCATGTTTATTTAAAGTGTAAGCTCTCCTGCTTCCTTCAGGACCTCAGACCTCTTATTTGCTTCTTGGCATTCTGCAAATGCATTCACATTTGCTTTAATTTACATTTCTGAATTTATTTACATTTGATTTCATTGAAAGCTAAGCTCAAAAAAAAAAAATTAGCATGCAGTCAGTGGGCAGCTGTAGCCTGTACAACTCGTACTGTGAGCACAGGATATTCACGTGATCTTCCTCATTCAGACTGGCCCACGTCACATGCCTGCTCTTCCAAATATTTTGACTCATTCCTAAAACATTCCTGATCTCCTTATTGGCTCTTTCAAGAACCTTCAAGGAGATTTGCAACAATAAAAAGCAACGCAGGCTGTGTATACACCATACATTTAAAGCATCTCTCCCCTGCGCCCCCCCCCAAAAAATCTTGGGAGCTGTAGTTTGCGAAGGGTGCTGGGAATCATAGCTTTGTGAAGGGTAAACTGCAGTTCCCAGGATTCTTTCAGGGCAGTCTGCTTTAAAATGTGTGTGTGTGTGTGTGTGTGTGTGTGTGTGTGTGTGTGGAGCAACAATAAAAGAGATTTCAAACCACAGTAGAAAGACAGGGTTAAAATGCATGTGAGACCCTGGCACTGTTGGACACCCCCACCCCTTTAGTGCCTTCCAACCCCTCCCTGCCCCTCTCAACTTTCTGGCTTGTGTACTTTGGTGAGCGGGGCGGGGTTGCTTACTAAATCTCTGTTTATTAGCACATGTCTACAGGGGCCATCTGCCTGCACAAGGATGAGCTCTTACTGCCTACTTGTATTTCCTCTCCTTTATGGCTGCTGCCGGTTTCTCCCCTTACTTCTGCTGCAGGCCAAGTGGTGACCTTGCAGCTTGGGAGCACAAAGCCCTACGGCACCATGTTTAAGCTCACCCCGCAAACCACAGAGGACGTCGTGAATGCCGAGAAGTGCTTCCAGCTGAACGGCACCAAAGATGGACCTGTGAAACCGCAAGGCGTCTTTCCCAGCTTTAAAGGCTTCAAGGTGAGCAAGTGGAACTCAGCAGTCAAATGTTTAGGGTTGAACTGAAGAGCGGGTGGCCTTATAATATATCCTCCCCTTGTGGTCTACCCTGCTTGGTATTGTCTGCACTAAAGCACTGAGCCTCTTGGGCTTGCCGATCGGAAGGTCGGCAGTTCGAATCCGTGCAATGGTATGAGCTCCTGTTGCTCAGTCCCAGCTCCTGCCAACTAGCAGTTCGAAAGCACACCAGTGCAAGTAGATAAATAAGTACCGCTGTGGCAGGAAGGTAAACGGCGTTTCCGTGCGCTCTGGCACTCGTCACAGTGTCCCGTTGCACCAGAAGCAGTTTTGTCATGCTGGCCACGTGACTTGGAAAGCTGTCTGTGGACAAACGCCGGCTCCCTCGACCTGAAACGAGATTAGCGCCGTCTCATAGTCGTCTTTGACTGGACTCAACCGTCCATAGTTGTCTTTGACTGGACTCAACCGTCCAGGGGTCCTTTATCTTTTACCTTTACCTTTGTCTGCACTGATCGGCAGTGGATCTCCAGGATTTCGACCTCAGAGATGCTGAGGATTGAACTGGGTCCTTTGGCAGGCAAAGTAGTCTGAGCTAAGACCCTTCCCCACTTGGATCTGGAACACCTGCTATGGACTCATTCTGTCACCTTTGCCTGCTGGGTGCTTAGCCTTAGTTGCCCGTCAATAAACGTGACTTACCTTTCAGGCTGCTCATTGGTAATAACATTAATAATAATAACTTATTTATATACCACCCATCTGGCTGGGTTTCCGCAGCCGCTCTGTGCGGCTTACAGCACATATAAAACCACAACAAGACATCAAACATATCCTATACAGGCAACAAACAAACCAATAAATCAATAGAAACCAATAATAACAGTTTATAGTTACACCCAAATTAAAATAACCACCAACCCCAACTAAACATTTAACCAACCCCCACCAGACAAAAACAAAACAGAGGAAGCAAAATTAGAACCGTTTAAAACATTGTAAAACTAGGGTTGCCATATTTTTTTTGGTAAAAGTTGTTGAGCTTTTTAGGAGTCTTTTAGCTGTTTTCAGAGTGAGTGTGAGCCTGGCCCCCTAGGCCAGGTGGACTTAGGCCTTGCAGCAGGAAGCGCTCTTCTTTCCAGAACACATTGGAAGGTGCAACATACGTGGAGATCATAGGGCTGGTTGCAAGCAACTTAGACTTGCAGCTGGGGCAAGGGCATCGGCTCTGGGATTTGTAGTCCAAAGTGTTAAGGAGGGTGCTAGATTAGGAGAGGCTGTGATAGAGCTCTGCCACAGAGCTATGGTCCTTTCCTCAAAGTCTCTTCCAAGCCCAGTCTCCCATGGCTTAGGAATTAGGTGCATAGGAAGCTGCCTTTTTAGACCCAAGGTTAATCCGGATCAGTATTGCCTACACCAACTGGCCACGGCTCCCCAGGGTTCTAGGAAGGGGACCTTCCCAGGCCTGCCTGGGATTCAAACCTAGTAGTTTCTGCTATGTACTCTGCCTTATATCAGCATCGGACTCCTTGTCCTTTGGCCCATGCAAAAATTTGCCACTTGATTCCTTATTAAGTGGAGATGCCAGGGATTGAACCCAGGACCTTCTGCATGCAAGGCAGGTGCTCTGCCACTGAGCTGTAGCTCCTCCCCAGTTCATCAGCCTCTTGTAGCCTACCTGTCTACATCTGCTTCAGAGGCTACTGTGCTTGCAGGGAGACCCGCCAGCTTCAGATGTCACTTGACATTTCAGCCCCTTCCCTTTCTGACAGGGCTCAAGAGAGCTGCTCCTGTCGAAAGAGAGTGGCAGGTCCTCAGGCAGCTTGGCTCAGTGATTCAGCCACTTGCCATAAGCTGCTCTGGCATGTGCCAAGCTTCCAGGACGAATGCAAAATAGGCTTCACCCAGATGCAGTTCCTTGATAATCGTGAAAAGTTGTTCCACGGTGGCTGTTAAAAGTGGCACACGTTGCAGGGAAGATGTGTTTGATGACAAGCTGTAACTTGACTTTTGCCAAGCTGCTGCCCTGAATAGTGAAGTCAGTGTGTGTGTCCGTGCGTCCGTGTGTGTGCATGTGTGACTTTGCTTTAGTTGGAAGACTTAAAAAACAGGGAGGGAGATGGGGAGCTCTAGGCCAGGCATAGGCGAACTCGGCCCTCCAGATGTTTTGGGACTACATCTCCCATCATCCCTAGCCAACAGGACCAGTAGTCAGGGATGATGGGAGTTGTAGTCCCAAAACATCTGGAGGGCTGAGTTTGCCTATGCCTGCTCTACACCAAGAGGAGTCCATGTGATGCCCTCCTGCTGTTGCCTGGCTACTGCAACCATCTGGCCCCAAGCCACTCTGGGGGCCTTTTTTGGCTGAAAAGTGGGGTAAAAATGCTGCAAGCAAGCAAGCAAGCATCATTCAATAGATGCAGCTTGCAAGTGAACTCCAGTATTACACAGTGGACGCTGGCAACCTGTCCAGCTTAATTGGTAGGCTATTTATTTGGAGGCTATGGGAGACTAGAGCAGGGGGAACCAAACTAGCTTTTGGGACTATAACTCCTGTCATCCCAGGCCAGAGCTGGTGGTCCCAATGAGAATTGTAGTCCAACAATATATGGAGGGCACCATATTGGCCACCTTTGGAGGAGACATAAGAGAGCTAGATAGACCAGAATGATGACCTCGGGTTGCATCCAGCTATGTTCTGCTCCGAGTGGACATACTAAAAAGAATAATCCCCATTAAAGTCAATGGGTTGTTTGCCGTGCGTGTCCCACTCAGAGTAGACCCATTGGAATTGATGGATAGGGCTAACTTAAGTTTATGAATTGGTAGGACTCGCATTGGATTACAGCCCTTTTCATGCCTGCCCTTTCCATTGCTCCTCCCCAGCCCATAAGGGAAGAATACTACAAAGGCAAATACTGCACCGTGTGGCAGAACATCTCTTACGGGGGCAAGAAGAAGAATATCTACACTATGTGGGTCACCAACAGCAGCTGCGGTGTGTCGCCTGTGCACTACGAGATGAAGGGCTTCAACACTTTGCTGGGGTCCCACTACGACAAGTATGAAATAGATTATACCGACTTCTCCAACAGCTTCCCAGCTTCCGTCTTCGACCTGAAGCCAAACGGTGAGTACGAGATTATCCTTCTGCACCCTTCCTCCAAGTAGTTCAGGGTGATCTCGCTCACAGTGGCAAAACAACTTATCTGGGTTTATCTTGCTCAACAACTTTGTAAGGCGGGCCAGTCCACGTGTGGCCTCGAGCTGGTCCGCATCTTCACAATGGATCTTCTGCCTGAGTTTGACATGTTAGCCTCTGCACTGCAGGGGTGAGGAATCCCGGGGCTCTTGGCCTGTTGTTGGACTCCATCTCCCATCAGCCCCAGCCAGCATGGTCCAATTGTCAGGCAAGATGGGAGTTGTAGTCAAATGGCACGTGGAGGGCTGCAGGTTCCCTATTCATTTCTGCTTTGCAGCTTCTCTCTTGTGTTTTCTGTGGCTTGGTTGGCATTCCACAAAGTGCACCCCTCACAAAGCTGCTGTTCCAAGCACTCTTAGCAAACTATAGCTCCCGGGATTCTTTGGAGGAAGTCATATGCTTTAAACATGTTGTAAATTTGTTCTTTAATTGTACGGTGCGGATGTGATCTAACTGGTTGGAGCACTTTGTGGAATGCCAGCCAAGCCACAACAAACACAAGGGCAACAAAGTATGAAATAGCTCTGTAGCACAAGATCTGGCAGAAAGTTGTGTGTGTGTCTGTGTCTGTGTCTGTGTGTATCTATCTAGTCCTTAAGACAAGATTTTTTGTCCCAAATCCTCCCTAGCAGGCACCCACCCTACTCTTTCCTGAAAAGCGTCAACTACTGTGATTTCTTCACCTTCGTGTTGAGCTTATTTCTTTGATGAACCTTCCTGGTCCAGTTGGAATATTCTGAGCTGGTTTTGCAGAACACATTAAAAGCATAGTTTTAAACCCCCATCCTGCCACTGCTCCTGCTCATGAGACAAGCCAGAATCTGGCCCATTGCGTCATTCGAATTTGGGCTGGTTCGTTTCTCTCCAGACAAACCACGAGTGGGAGCCAAGGTGTGTTCATGGCTTACCACATGTGGTTTATTTGGGGGAAAACAAACCATTCACCTGGGTTTGTATAACACAACAAGCCAGATTGTGGCTCAATCGGGTTGCTGTGCGGGAGGAGCGCCGTGGGAATTTTAACTGTGCAGCAGCTCACTGCTCATTCACAGGAAACCATAGTTCATCTTAAACTATGGTTGGTGCAAAGGGAGCCAATGTGGTGTGTTCTGGAACTCGCACTGATCACTAGCCATGCTGGGGGGAGGGGCTGAGGGGACTGGGAGTCCAGCGAAGATTAGAAGTCACCACATTGGCTACCCTTGGTTTTAATGCAGGAGTGGGATACCTTTGTCAACCTGAGAGCCCCGTTTCCGTGTGGGCCACCTTCCTGGGGCTGCATAACAAGTGGTAGATGTGGCCAGACACACACCACTCCCAATCCAGGCAAGCAGGAGGTATATAACAATTCAAGGCCGTGTTGCAGCCAGGAATGTGCAGAGCAGGGCCAGTGAAGGGTTTGGCCTGGGGGCATGGCCTGGGCAGAAAGGCCCCGGGAGCTGCAATCAGCCCCCAGGCTTGACGTTCCTCAACTGGACCTCTGTTTCCATGGGTCAGCTAAATCAGCCTCCCCATAGTCAGACCTTCTACCTGCTTGTCTGTTAGGAGAATATATGGGACAATAACTGATAGATCTGTTTGGGCGCCACAATTTAAGAAGGATATTGACAAGTTGGAACGTGTGCAGAGGAGGGTGACCAAGATGATCAAGGGTCTGGAAACCAAGCCTTATGTGGAATGGCTGAGGGAGTTGGGTATGTTTAGCCTGGAAAAGAGGGGATTACGATGGCCATCTTCAAATATCTCAAGGGCTATCACATGGAAGATGGAGTAAGCTTGTTTTCTCCTGATCTGGAGGGTAGGAAGCCAGTGGCTTCAAGTTACAAGAAGGGAGGTTCTGACTAAACACCAGGAACAGTAAGAGCTGTTCAGCAGTGGAACAGTCTCCCTTGTGAGGTTGTGGACTCCCCTTCAATGGAAGTTTTTCAGCAGAGGCTGGATGGCCTTTCATGGATGCTTTAGTTGAAATCCCTGCATTGCAGGAGGTTGGACTAGATGACCCTCAGGATCCCTTCCAATTCTATGATTCTATGAGTCAGACCATTGGGTCTATCTAGCTCAGCACTGTCTACACTGACTGGCAGCAGCTCTCCAGGATTTCATTCTTTCCCAGCCCTACCTGCAGGTGTTGAGGGTTGAACCTGGAACCTTCTGCGTGCAAAGCAGATGCTGTACCACTGAGCTCTGCCCCTTCCCTAAGGTCTCTCTCTTCATCTTCATTTGCTGCACATTGAGAGGATATCATACCTAGTTGTGACTGGTGCCCATTGGAGATTGGTAGGGCAGAAGACAGGGAGCCCAACAGTAGGTGGCACCATAGCCGATGGCAGGCAGAGGCAACTGTATAGTGAAGAAGTCAGACACAGCTCTGTGGGGAGAGAATTCCACAGTTTAGGGGCCACCTCTTCTGGGCCATACACACTGAATTTTTGAAAGAGGTGGAACTACCAGAGCACCCTCTGCTGATCTTAACAACCAGGAGGGTCTGTATCGAAGGAGACAGTGTTTCAGATATTACATGTATAGTAATACTCTTACTATTCCTGGTGTACAGTGCTGCACTTCGATCTAGGGAATGGACAGTGTTACAGGTGCCACATGATACCTGTTCCCCATTTATAAGAAAATCTTTTAGCCTGGCAATCACCTGCATGCCTGTCTATTGACATCAGGCAGGCATCTTCACTGTACTCTTTTCAGCACCAGCTTAAAAACATTTTTGTTTGGGCAAGCTTACCCAAACTTGTAGAATGATATGTTTTTAGTTTGTTGCTTTTTTTTTTTTAATGTTCTAAATAGTTGTTTTTAACTCTTTATAATTTTATCATTGTATTCTCTTTGTGTATTCTGCTTTGAGGATTTTATTTATTTATTTATTTGCAATCAAGCAGTGTATTACTAATTAGGAAATAAATAAATAAATATCTGCCGGGTGCGTTTTCTCCCTAGAAACAAAGCTATGCGATGAACTGCCTGGCGACTCCTCAGAGCACCACATCATGGCAAACCCCATGGCAGATTTTGTGGGGGGAGAAGAGGACCGAGCCCACCAGGTGTTCCACCAATACAGAAAACGGTTTGGAAAGACCTACGACGATGAACGGGAGATGGAACACAGGAAGCACACCTTCACCCACAACATGAGGTCATTGGTTGTATTTGAATTTTTTTTTTCATCCTGTCCTTCAGCCAAAAAAAAAGGGGGGGCCCTCTGTGAGCCACAATAAGATAGTCCCTGACCTCAGGTTTACAATCTAAAAGGCACGGCACAAAAGGAAAAAGGGACTGGGAGGGGAGAGGGGGAAAGCAACCTTATTTTGATAATGACTACCTAGGACTGAAAGATTTGAAGAGGAGGAGCTAGGTATTGGTAGCCAATGGAGAGGCGCTGTAGTCCCATCTCACCTTTACTGATGGAGTATATTATAAAAAGGAGTACAGTGGTACCTCGGGTTAAGAACTTAATTTGTTCCGGAGGTCTGTTCTTAACCTGAAGCACCACTTTAGCTAATGGGGCCTCCTGCTGCTGCCACGCCGCTGGAGCACAATTTATGTTCTCATCCTGAAGCAAAGTTCATAACCCAAGGTACTATTTCTGGGTTAGCGGAGTCTGTAACCTGAACCATCTGTAACCTGAAGTGTCTGTAACCCGAGGTACCACTGTAATTATGAAATAGGTGGTGGCTGTGCTGTCAGAGTCAAAGCATTTATATTTAGATCTGGCTCTGGTTCCTGGAGGTGAGGGGAAGGAACATAGGGAGATGCTCTATACCAAGTCACACCAGTGCTCACACCATTGCTGTCAACACTGACTGGCAGCAGTGGTTGCTGACTTGCCAGTTGAAGACCAGTGGGTTAGAGAGCCAATAGGAACACGGGAAACTCCCTTGAGCTGAGTCAGACCATTGGTCCATCTAGCTGAGTATTGTCAGCACTGACTGGCAGCGGCTCTCTGGGGTTTGAGGCAGAGGACATTTTCAACCTTACCTGAAGACACCGGCAATTGAACCTGGGACCTTCTGTACACAAAGCAAATTTTCTACCTATGAGTGACAGCCGTTCCTCAAGGGAAGTGTGTACTCTTGCATATGCATGGAGGCACACTTGGCTTTTTGATGACAATATTGAGATGACTGTAGCTACACTTGTCTGAGGCTACCTTGTTGTTTTTAAATCTGTTCAATATAATAAAATTCATTTTAAATCCCAGTATCCCAGCCTTTGCTGAGCCCTGCCATTTAACACAGGTTTTGGGGCTTAAGCTTTGCTGAAATCAAGACCCAGATCATTTGGGGCCCTTCCTCGAAGCTGGGGCCCCTCTGCTCAGTTGCTTCCCTGCATTTTGACCTAGGCTTTGGCACTGTGCTCTGAAGCAGCTTTTGTTGAATACATTTATATACTTCCCTTCGGTGCCAGTTTATCAGGACGATTTACAACCGGGGTCAAAGCACATCATTGTAACAGAAACGTACTGAAACTGTGTTGATGAAAACAGCAGAATAAAAAGCAGCATAAACCAAGTATCAAAACACCACACTAAAAAAAAAATCTTATCCTCTGTCGAAAGCCTGGAAAATTGTAAAAGACTTGATATGTGCCCTGGACGTTGAAAACAGTGCCATGCCACTTTAAAGAGTCATGAGCTTCCCCCAAAGAATCCTTGGAAGGGTGATATGTTGCTGAGATTTGTTAGGAGACCCCTGTTCCTCTCGTGAGGCTGCAATTACCGGAATTCCCTGGGAAGAGGGACTGACTGTTAAACCACTCTTGAGAACTGTAGCTCTGTGAGGCGAATTTGGCCATAGCAAATTTCTACTGTGGTTTTATCCCTGTACTTCCAAGAACCGTGTGTTAGTGTTCAAGGAACCTTTAACCCCAAGAGGGTTAGGGGAGGGTGACAACAAGCCTGAGCCGCCCCCTGCCCAGCCCAGCCCTTTCTCCTCCAGCTTTCCCATTGTTTCTGCCCCCCCCCAGGTTTGTCCATTCCAAGAACCGGGCCAACCTCTCCTACAAGCTGGCGCTGAACCACTTGGCGGACCTTACCCAGGATGAGATAGCTGTGATGAGAGGCAAGCTCAAGACCACAGCGCCAAACAACGGGCTGCCTTTCCCTGAGGAGATGTACGTGGGCCTAATCCTGCCAGAGAGCTTGGACTGGCGGCTTTACGGTGAGTGGTGTTGGAAGGCAATCCTGTGTAGGCAAGGAACAAATAAGAAGGGGATTATACTGAGTTGTGCCTTTGGTCCATCAAGTTCAATACTGTCTACACTGACTGGCAGCAGCTTTTTAGGATTTCAGGCTGGCCTCTCTCCAAGCCCTACCTGGAGATGCTGGGGACTGAACCTGGGACCGTCTGCATGCAAGGCGGATGCTTTATCTCTGAGCTATAGGCACCAATTGTTATAAGCAAATGTGGTCCTAAGCCTTGGGAAATGCAGAGGAGAGCAATAGAATCTCCTGATGTTTTTTATTTCTGCCTGAAAAGTGGCTGTGAAGACTCTGCAACTTGACTGGAGCAATGGTAATGGAGAAGAGGGCATTAGTTCCCTCCCAGCCAAATGCAGATATTCCAATATACATACAGGTATTCCTCTGTTTGCCCTAAGGGCTCATCCACACTTTTTGCTTTCTCCCAGGAAAACCTGCTCTGTAATGCTGAATTGGAGCAAACCTCAGTAGGGTTTTCTTTGGATTGATGTTTGCTCCGATTTAGCTTTAAAGAGTGGGTTTTCCTGGGAGACAGCGCAAAGGCAGAACCATTCCAACTCATGCCTAGAATGAATGGACAAGTGGGAAACCTCTTTGATCTGTACTTTCTAGGCATGGGGCAAGCAGAAGTTTCCCCAGCGCTGCTGCTCCACTCAAATGTCCCCCCCTCCCTGTCCCCCAGTTTGTTTTAATTAAAAATGAAAACAGAATTAACTCTTGAATGGCGCGTCCTTGAAGTTACACACCTCTGCTGCTGCACATCCAAAAGGAGTGATGTTGCAGTAGCTTGATGGCGACAGAAATGGTTGTGCAGGTGGGTCTCAACTCTTTTCTGCTTGTCCCTTCCAGGTGCAGTGACTCCAGTTAAGGACCAGGCTGTGTGTGGCTCCTGCTGGAGTTTCTCCAGCACTGGAGCTCTCGAAGGGGCTCTCTTCCTCAAGGTAAGAGCTCACCTGTCTCTTACCAGGGAATTTCCTTTCAACTAATTTGGAAGGTGTTGGGGAACTCAGAGATTGGATGCTACATAGATCCAAGCTGTTCACATTCCTGAGAAAAGTATTCTATTATTGTCCCCAGACACTCTGGGTGGCTAAAAACTTCCCGATACAGGGCTGCCTTCAGATGTCTCCTAAAAGTTGTGTAGTTCTTCATCTCCTTGACATCTGAAGGGAGGACGTTCCACAGGGAGAGCTACCCAGCAGGTGTGTCATTTCTGCTTACCAGGAGACATGATGGGGAGGTTGGTGCGGTGCACAGGCATGCTGATGGAAATAATGCTGTGATTCTGCTGGTGCACTTACACTGCACTGAGCTCCCCACCACCTCCCTCCTGGTAAGCAGTGGCAACGTCTATTTTAATATTTCATTTAGTACATTTAATTTCCCACTTCTATTCAGTAGGGGGAGCACAGAGCAGGGATACAAAAAGGCATCATTTTCCATTCCACATTGTAGCTATTGCATGCGGCTCTGCTTCCATTTCGCCGCAGTTCATCTTTCACCACATCTTCACCTCACTGTCCACTGTGGCAAAATTGCAAAGTTGGCTATATAAATTACACTGTCATTTCATTCTTCCACTCTGTTTTTTTCAGTGCTAAGGAAACACAATGCAAGGGGTTTTTTTGGCGGCGGGGGGGGGGGGAGGAAGCTTAATTGATGCATAATCATTTGTGGACTGAAAGCACCAACAGTGAATGCCAATAATTTTTTCTGGATTGATTTTCATTCTGAACATGGGTCAAATTCCTTTGGAATTTTCCAACACCCCAGGTTAGTGGTCTCCAATCCAGATACTGGCCAGTGACAAAGCTGCTCAGCTTCAGCAAAGAAACGGCCCTATTTTCCACATTATGAATGTAACTTTGCTTCAGCAGTAAAATATGCTATTACAGTAATGCTTCTTTTCTAAAGGGAATGTTCCATGTGTGCTATCCTGACATTTACGGTTTAGCACTGCGTGGCTAAGCAGGTACAGTGGTACCTGTTTTTGAACGTCTCTATTGACGAACATTTCAGAACTCGAACGCCATAACCCAGAAATAAACGCTTCCGTTTTTTAACGTGCCTTGGAAGTCGAGTGGCTTCCACTGAGTGTATTCTCAATTTTCTCTGTTAAATTTGCAGACTGCCCTTTGTGCCTCAGTTTTCGGACGTTTTGGAACTTGAACGGTCTTCCAGAATAGATTACGTCCGAAAACCCAAGGTACCACTGTAACAGTTTCCTCTCAACCAAGACTGACATTTTGCTTCTCCCCTGTTTCCCCAGACTGGGCAGCTCATCCCTCTGTCTCAGCAAATCCTCATTGACTGCTCTTGGGGCTTTGGGAACTATGCCTGTGACGGTGGTGAGGAGTTTCAGGCGTTCGAGTGGGTCATGAAGCACGGCGGCATTGCCAGCACAGAGTCCTACGGCCCATACAAAGGCCAGGTGAGAGAAGTCAAACCAGAATTAGTTTACTAATAAGCCATTTATTACACAACAGCTCCCAGGATTCTTTGGTGGAAGCTGTGACTGTTTCAAGTGGCGTCATAGTGCTTTGAATGTGAATATCCAAGAATCTTGAGAAGGAAAGTCTGCCAATCTCACAGGGTGAGATTATGCCCACTGACTCCATCCTTGGCTGCACGTTCATGTGAAAGAGGGGTGGGCATCTATACTGATGCTGTGCATTGGAGAGCATGTGTCCGGCAGGCACACTGGCGTCTGAAGACTTCGCCAGGAGGTGGAAACTCCAGCACTCCACACAAATGTGTTTCTTGAGCACGATAGCATTTGTATGTGCAGCATCACTATGTACATCATATGTATGCCAGTCTTGACTGTGCATAGGGTGGCAGGCAATGAGGTAAGGCGGAGATATGCATGGGCATAGAAGGTTGTGGTTTGCACAGTGTGCTGTGAACTGGTTGTCCAGCAGCAGTGTCCCCAGCCCTCCAGCTAAACTGATCTAGCCCAGACTAGAGGGGCAGATCAGTGAAGACTCCAGACAGCACATGGAGGAAGAAATGTCTTCGGAGAGCTTTTAGGAACTCCTGGACAACAATGGTGGTTAATGAAATGATGAGTGAAATCTTGGGGTTTTCTTTTTGGGGTTCATCCCCACCTGGGTGATTCTTCTCTCTTTCAGAATGGCTACTGCCATAGCAACGACACTCAGCTTGTGGGCAAACTCAAAGGCTACGTCAATGTCACCTCTGGGAACCGTACTGCTCTGAAAGCTGCCATCTACAAGCATGGCCCCGTGTCTGTCAGCATCGACGCCTCCCACCGAAGCTTTTCCTTCTATTCCAACGGTGTCTACTACGAGCCCAAGTGTGGTGAGTCCCAGCCTATGAGATTGTGGCAGAAAACTGTAAATTAGGGCGGGGAATCTCTTCTAGCCTGCGGGCCACATTTTCTCTTGCTTGTGGGTAATCTTCCAGGGGCCGTAGGCTAGGGGTGAACAAAGCCAGAGGCAAAACAGAGTAGAGCAGCGGATGTGAATCCTACCTTTATGCAGTAGGCTATGTTCCCCCTGAACTACACCTCTCCATCCTGGCAAACGAGTCCTTGTCAAAGTTGCACCCTCAAGGAGGAGTGGAGCAGAGCTGGTGAGGAGTGTGGCTTGGTGTGGGGTAGGCTGTGGCCTAGGGGGAGACCCCCGAGCCAAAGAGAGAGGCCCAGAGGACTGCATTTGTCCCCTGGGCTCAAGGATCCCCACTACCTGCTGTAAATAAAGTTGCACTTCCTGCGATGCATCTCAAGAGCACTTGGCATAACCTGCACATCATCCACATGGCTATTTGCGATACGGTAAACTCCTCCATGCTTTGTATGGTGAAATTGGAAGCTAATGCCTCCCCAGGTTATGGTCTGAAGGCATGTGAGGCTACTGAAACAAATGTCCCAGGTCTAGGTCTGGTCAGTGCTTGGATATGGGTGGTCACCTGGGTACCGCACGTAAGACATCTTGGGTTCTATAATGGAAGAAATGCAAGGCAGTAAATAAATACATAGATGCTGATTTCCACTGCAACATCCTCTGTGCTATCTGCACAGACATCAGCCCTGTGCAAATCGGAGCGAGGCCGTGGGTATCTGGATGGTCACTTTGAGAACAGGATTCTAGACTAAATAGGCCTTGGCAGGGATCTCCTGCCCTCTTGATTGCTGTGGCAAGCTGGAGCACCGCCCACATAGATTTAAGAGTTTCGGGTGCCTACCTACTCACTAAGAGATCTACTTGTGGGAAAGTTCTGCACCCTGCTGCTTTCAAAGGGGAGTTGAGGTCCAGCAATGCACATCAGCTGCAGCCAACAGGGCCAGTGGTTAAGGGTGACTGACGTTGTAGTCTAGCAGTGTTGGCAAGTCAATAGCCTCTTTACCTCTGAGGTAGAGGATGGTGCCACATTGCAGCCTGGCTGATGAGAATCATCGCTTACAGAAAGTGTGCGCAATGGTTGTTACTGCAAATCATCAGCTGGTTATAATTACGCCTTTTGGCAAGCACTGCCAAGACCTTTGCATATCTTATTCATCATCCCGACCCAACCTAGGAGGCAGGTCATTATCACCACCCCATTTTGCATATGGTATTTGGGATGGATTGAGAGACAGGGAGAGAGGAAGAATGCAAATGGGTCACTCAAGGTAACCCAGTAAGTAGCTTTCTCTCTTCCTGGTCCCACTCTTAGGGTCTGGATCCTTGTGGGTAATCCTGAGTTCTAATATGGTGAGAGGAAAATGATCTCCCTTTTCTGCAGGAGGCCATTGCACATGAGGAACTGAACTCTCAGTCTTCAGCAGTACATTTGGGTGGCAGCCATGCTCCTGTGCTCTTTTCCATTATCCCACTTGTTACAAAGCTTGACTCTTTTATTTTATTTTTAATTCATTTTTAGGAAACAAACGAGGCCAGCTGGATCATGCGGTCCTAGCTGTAGGTTACGGTGTCCTCCAAGGCGAACTCTACTGGCTTGTGAAGAACTCCTGGTCCACCTACTGGGGAAATGATGGCTACATCCTCATGTCTATGAAAGACAACAACTGTGGAGTTGCCACTGATGCCACGTTCCCGATCATGGCATAACCCGACCTTGCCTTGGGAAGCTCCTTCAGGGAATCCCAGAACTGATACTGTCCAAATATATATTTTGCTCTCAATCAGGACCACCACCCCATACGCCCAAAACTCCTAAACATCCCTAACATATTTGTTTTTGTGTGCTGAAATCTTTAGCCACAGGGCTGAAAGAGTTTTGGGGTTGTTGTTATTGTTGTTGTTGTTTTAAAAAAGCCTAATCTCAACTATACTGGAAGCTATTTCATGAAGGCTTTCCCCCACCCTGAGAAGCAGGGTCTAAATACTACCTGGATAAATGAAACCACAAAGTCCAGTCGTCTTATAGGGATCGCCCTGTTGGAACAAAAATAACTTCTGCCCCTTCTTCCAATATTTTTGAGAGTCCTAATCCTCCTTGTGCTTGCTTCTTGAACAGGCCCTTCATCACCCAGTCTCCATCCCTCCAATTCCTTAAACCCACTACAGTCATACCTTGGAAGTCGAATGGAATCCATTCCGGAAGTCTATTCAACTTCCAAAACATTCGGAAACCAAAGCGCAGCTTCTGATTGGCTGCAGAAAGTTCCTGCGGCCAATCGGAAGCCCCGTTGGACATTTGGGTTCTGAAAATAGTCACTTCTGTGTTTGTGGTGTTCAGGAGCCAAAATGTTTGACTTGCAAGGCGTTCGGGATTCAAGGTACGACTGTAATAAGAATTATAGAAGCCGTTTTCTTGGGTGTTTGCTGTCTCCTCACCATGAACCCCTGTTTCCAAAGCTTTTACAAAAACCACTGTACAAACCGCAGCACAGTGTATTACGGTGCCAAGCCTGGAAATTTGCAAGTGGGTGGGGAATTCCTTAAGCCATGCACAAGCCAAGGAGCTATGTCCTTGTGGGCCCTTAGGTCAGGGAGGTGGAACCTGTGCCCTTCCAGATGTTGCTAGAGTACAACTCCCATCATTCCTGAAAACCTGCCATGCTTGCCGGAGCTGATGGGAGTTGTAGTCCCAACACCACCTGGAGCCCAGCAGCTCTGCATCCCCACATCCTGGAGTGCAGGATTCTTTTTACATGAAAGGTGATGTACAGCAGTTGTAGAAGGATGGGTAATCAACTATGGCTTTGTCAAAGCTCCATTCTCAGGTGTTCCCTCCTCTTCTGCATCAGCTGCTATGGCTCTTCCCAAGTGAGCCAATTAAAAATATGTACATACCATGTGTCCTTGTCTGTCTTATTACTTCTCACAATGCACTTGGCACAGGGTTGAAGCAACATCAGGAAGACCAAGCCAGTGAATAAAGGCGGGGAGGTTGGAGTTTCACTTCCTGAAACTGGAGCTTACATCTCCTCTAGCTTGAGGAGGAGTGGGAGATCCTTATTCCCTCAGGTTTATAGTCTGAAATACGTGACACCCAAAAAAAAGGGATAGGGAGGGAGCGAGAAAAACAGCAAGTGCAGGTGCCAGCTCTTAAGGTTACAGTTCTTCTAATGGCAGCTGATCTCTGAGGAGAAGCAATGGGAAAACTCCTGCTCTGCTCTGCAGCCTGACAGCATGAAAAGCCAGGGACCAAAACACAGAAGGCCCTGTCTGCGCTGTACAATCAAAGCAGTTTCATACCAATTTAAATAGTGGTTTAAACGTTCCTCTTCCTAGGGAATTCTGGGAATTGTAGCTCTGTGAGGGGAATAGGGGCCTCCTAATAGCACCCTTCACAAGCTACAGTTCCCAGGATGCTTTGGGGAAAAGTTATGACGGATAGTGCTTTAAACATGAGGAAAAGGGAACTCAGGTGTGTGTATATACTTGCCTGCTCAGACAAAAAAAAATGCCATGATGGCACATTGCCCCTAGGCCTCATGCACACAATTATGTCATAGAGCATGGTTATTAAAAGGGATTCTGTGCTGGTGGAGTTTATTAAGCATTAAGCTGGCCACTCGACACACCAGTTATTAGTGCTGGGAATAACTGCGTGGAAAGTGTTGCCATGATCAAAGGCGCGCATAATTTTGGTGGCAAATGCTTACTCCAGCCACAGGCCTTCATTAGCCGTCCCTGCCTGGAGCCATTTCGGTGGTTTCGGCAGGGCAGCAAAGGCCTAATCTGGCTTTAAGAGCTACTCTCGCCCTATAGCTAGCCCTGAGAAAGATTAGTTCTGTGAGGGTGTCAAGTTTTAGGGATCTCTCAACACCCTCAGAGGACTGTAATTCATGAGGTGGGGGCTATGAAATCCTATGTAACACTTTTCATAGACCACTTTTCCTCAAAGGAGTTCAAGGTGGCATGTGTGGTTCTTCCCTGCTCTCCATTTTGATCCTCACAACAACCTTGTGAGGTAGGTTAGGTTGAGTGGCAGTGACTGGCCCAAGATCATACAGTGAGTTTTATGACTGAGTGGGGATTGAACCCCTTTATGGCAGTATTCCGACCCCTCCCCCCAACCACAAACCCATTGTAAAGGAAAGGCCCTGTATTCGACACCGTTTTAAAGATAAAGGACCATTAAGAAGGGAGAACAAGAGCATTTTTTGGAAATTCCCCATCAGCTGTTATTTATTTGGTTGATTGCACTTTACGCAAAATACCTCGAAGCGATTTCACAGATCAAACAAACAATTAAAAGCAATCTCATATATAAAAACAACTTCAAATGCAGTGCAGATATCTGCTGACAGCAAACAGTGTTAGAAACTCAGATATATAAGCTAGGTGCCAAATGGCTCCTTAAACCAGGGTTACAGCTGCCAAAGTGGAATGGCTAGTTGCCATTTTGGGGCCAAATGTATTTTTCAATATAACTTCTTGGTTCCTGAAATTCATTCTGATTGTGAAGATAAAATATAATGGGGAGAATTCTACATGGTGCGTTGCCAGTGTTTCAAAACAGTCAAGATCCACGGATCCCCAGGCATGCGCCTCCAGATGGTGGAGACATCAGGTGCCATCCTGGCAGCCGGGCATCTTCACTTGGTCACAAGTGGCCAATAGCCAGGTGCAAAATGCAAATTTCGAATGCTGCTGAGGAGGCACACAGGGCATCTGGTCACTGCGTTACTCTGATAAAATGTTATTTCTATTACAAATTTAATAAGATTTCATATAAATTTCATATAAACCAGCATTTGAAAAAAATTATGTAAGTCTGTGCCCCCTTTTTTGTCGTCTTTTTGATATGCACTTCTCTTTTCACCCTAACCAGGCAAACTGGTGAATTCTGGGCTCACCTAGTGTGGTGGTTGTGGGAACACAGCCAGCAGTTGCTAAGCAACTACAGTATAAGGAAAGCATCTGAAACACCCAACACTTCTCTGGGCAAAAATGAAAAGAGTGCTCCAGCATAGAGCTTTAAACTGTGGGGTGTGCCTGGAAAGCGTGGAGGAAAGGTAGGTATAGCTAAACCCCGGATCTTTACTGCTGAATCAGAGCAAACGTCAGTAGGGGTTTTCCACACACTGACATTTGCTCTGATTCAGCCTTACTCCAGAAAAACAAAAAATGGATTAGCTGCATTTTAAAGTGCTCCTTGAAAGCCCTACCCCTCTTCCCATGTGAATCGAGAGAGGAATAGGCCATGGATAGTCGTTGATGCTCTCTGGACATGTTCAGAGGCACTATCGTTATTACTTCACATGGGCTGGTTGATGCATTCCATTCCCTGGCATTCCTGGGACCTGGCAATGCTCCATGGCAGGGGTAAGCAACCTCCTCCTCCCCACCCCTGGAAGGGTTGCATTCCATCTGTAATAATCTTGCACATGCCACTCCACACACCCCTATTGCCCATTTCTGTCTCTCTGGAGAGGGCGGGTGCGTGTTATGGTGATGAGTGACCTTAACTTTTTTTCTCTCTCCCTGCCACCCGCATGAAATTAGATCTAGGGCTCCTCAGAATCCTGGAGCACAGATTGCCCACCTGGTTCTATGCCACGGTGAGGCCAAAAGAGAGAGAGCTCAGCCAGAATCGATTCCCCATTTTGCCCTCTTGCGTGTTATGTAAGCAACAGGAATTCCATGGGGCATCTCTGCCAGCCAGTACAGGCCTCATGTCATCCTTTAGCTACCTAATCCAGGGCCAGGCACCTTGAAATACAGTACTCTAGCTGTTCCTGCGTGGAAGGAACCATCTTGTCCTTCTGAGTCTTCATGGAAACCTGCACCTGAGACGAGGGAGGAAGAGAGATTGCCTAAAGCCTTAGCAAAAGCTGGTGGAGACATCGTTTCTGCGCTCAGCACTTTTTTAATGTTGTCAGGCAGGCAGGAACCCAGGGATTGGGGCTCCTGGCACACAGCAGACAATGGCAAGGCTGCCCGACATGGAGACTGCGCAAGATTGCAGCCTTTCCTCATCCCAGAGGATCAGGGCAGGGGTGGGTCTGCTATGAAACTAATGAAGCTTAAGCTTCGGGGCCTCTAATCCTGGAGGGGCCTCAGAAGTTGACCTTAGTCCACATTGTTTAAAATTTTTGGGTCGCATGACTCCATTATAATTTTAAAAAATAACTGCAGCATTCCTAAAAGCGTATGGTCTGCCTTGCAGAATGAATCTCTGGCAACATGCCTTCCCCTTGGCCACATTGGGCGGATCCCTGACCAAGAGCTCTTGAAGCTGTCCAGTTGTGTAGCTGAAGAAATAGCAGCCAAGAGAATTCACAAAAGCTTAGAAAATAACTTTTTGGACATCAGAGCAGCCTTCAGACAGGCTTCAGAGGTGCATATATTAAACAGTCTACATTTGTCAGGAAAGGTCAAGGAGCACCGGATTTCACTGAAATTCAGAGGCAAACCACACACCCTCTGGATGGAAAAACAATTATTTTGAAGACTAGAATGGTATGCTGTTGCCACCTAGTGATCAAATCTGTGTATAGCGCCTCTGTAGCCCTGCAGAAGGAATGGAATGTGTGTGTAGTTTCTCGCATTGAACTTCTCCACTGGCAAAAGACATGTAGGGCAGTGGGGGAATCAGTATTGCCAGATGCATTTGCTGTGCATGGGATTTGAACAAGAACTATACTAGCTCCAGAGTAGAAAGCTGGAATGTACAGCACGAAGTGAGGAAAGCACCATTTCCCCATCTGGATGACTAGGTCTCTGCCAGGTCCGTTCTGTTTTGTTTTCAAAGGAAGGGCTCATCCACACTTCCACTTGTCCTCTGCTTTGAAAGCATGGGTCCAAGAGGTTTTGCCTTTGCCCCACTGCTTTCCCCAGGAAAACCTGCTCTTTAGAGCTAAATTGGAGCAAATGGCAATCCACAGAAAACCCGATTGCTGTTTGTTCCAATTCAGCGCTAAAGAGTGGGAAGAAGTGGAGGGGGAAACAGAGGTGTGGCTAAGCCCTAAGTTTCTTCTCTTTTTGCAAAGCATATTTGTATGTCATTTTTCACTCTTACATGCGTTTTTATGCACCCTTTACCCTAGCCTATGCACTGGGCTGAAAACTGCATTGCATACTTTGGAGCAGTGTGAATTCCAAAGGGGCGGGTGGGTTTCGGCTCTTGTAGTCTTTTTAAAAAAGACTACAATTCACTATGCATGGCTTGAAATGCAAACTGAATTGAATTTGTCCCCCTTCTGTGACGGAACTCCAAATACCGAGTGGGCAGCCCACCTATCAAATTTGGCCTGCAAGGCGTAGGGAAGACTGGCCCTATGAGTTTCCCCACCCCTGCACTACAGAACGGTCCCCCTATCGCTGCTCCTTTAAGGTCTGTGGTGTTTGTTAGTCCTTCAGCCACAAGACAAGGGCAGCCCAGTTTGAGTGCACCGTCCCTTGAGAGCTATGTTCATAATAGCTCCCCTTCCCTTGTAAGGCTGTAGAAAACCTACTCTCAGAAAAAAGCCCAAAGCAGAGTACAGCAGAGCAAGTGCCTTGATAGAATGAAGGATGACCTTAATCTCCATCTCCTTGGTGTCAGCCGGGGTCATTGCATAGCTCTGTTCCCTCACCAGCTGTGGTCAAATACAGAGGAAGGTGCATAGCCAGGCTTTCTTGCTTATGGGTAGCAGCAGAACAGGAGCAGGCAACCTTTTCCAGCCAGAGGCTCACACTCCCTTCCATGTACCACCCAGCACATCCACACACACTTCTACTCACACACTTCTACAAACACATACATAAGAACCATGGACAACAAGTGGAAACAGTTGGTAACCGCCTTCAATTTTAACCTAAAGATTGCCACCTGTCCAGTTTTAATTTTAATTTTAATTTGTTTGAATTAATTGTGGGACATATCTTAATTTATTGATCGCTTGTTTTTATGCATTGTCTTACTTGTATGATGTTAGCTGCTCTGAGCCCGGCTTTGGCTGGGGAGAGCGGGATATAAATAAAAATTATTATTATTATTATTGTTATTATTATTATTATTATTATTATTATTATAGCCAAGGGGGAGCAGGGGGGCAGCATCTCCCCCCCTCAAGTAAAACAATAGAAATACTTAACTAACTGACCAATCACATCGGTTCTGCTCCCTAACAAAAGTCGTGCCCCCTCTTACAAAAATCCTGGCAACGCCCATGTTAAGAACATAAGAAGAGCCTGCTGGATGAGTCCCATGGCCTCTCCAGACCAGCATCTTGTTCTCACAGTGGTCAACCAGATGTCTGTGGGGAAACACACAAGCAGGATCGGAGCACAAGAGCACTCTCCCTTGCTGTGGTTCCTTGGAACTGGAATTGGAACTGGAATAGCCATCATGGCTGGTAGCCTCTGATAGCCCTCTCCTCCGGAATGCTGATTTCAAGGTCACTTCAGGTCCCTGAATGACCTCTCCCTGCAGTTTCAAATAAAAGTTTAAAAGCATGAGAGACAAGAATGAAACCTGTGGGATCCCATAGGGGAGACGGTTGGACATGGGATACAATTGCAGTACAGTGGTACCTTGGTTTGCGAACTTAATTCGTTCTGGAAGTCCGTTCTTAAACCAAAGCGTTCTTAAACCAAGGCACGCTTTCCCATAGCAGCGGGGGACTCAGTTTACAAATGGAACACACTCAACAGGAAGTGAAACATGTTCTGCTTCCAAGGCAAAGTTCACAAACCAAAACACCTAATTCCAGGTTTGCAGCATTCTTTATCCAAGTTGTTCATAAACTAAGCTGTTCTTAAACCAAGGTACCACTGTAAATACATGAAGCTTATTCACTGGGTAGCTCTGAGTGAGAGGAATAACTTAGTTTACAAGCACTGTTCAGTCAAATCAGTGCTGTGCTGTTCTGCTTTTTACACTGTGTGGGGGTGTTTACGGATAGCAATTTCACCACCTTTTTCGAGCACCCATCCTACACCCGAGAGGCACACAGAGAGAGTTTTCCTGTTCAAAACCTGCTTTGTCTCCTCCCCAGGGCCAGCCTGACCAAGACATTTTGCCGCTGGAGACAAACAGAAAATGGCGCCCACAAGAATAATAGTTTATTAAGTGTGTGTGTGTGTGTGTGTGTGTGTGTGTGTGTGTGTAAAACACAGGGAAAAGTCCTGCCTCTCCTTTGTCTTCTGCTTCCTCTGCAGCCCCACCAGCAACAAGCGGTGTCAGGAGCAGTGGTAGCAGCAGGCAAACCCCTTGCCCAGCTCTGGGTAGGGACAAAGCTAAGGGCTAGCACAGGCAAGCCAGTGGCTGAGGATGGCAGGAGGGGTGGCGGCTGGGGCCTGTATACCCCATCGCTGCCTCCTCCACCCTGTGGTAGCCTCTGTGGGGAAGCCATGACCACAGCAACTGGGGGTGCCGTCAGACCTAAGGCCTGCCCATGCGGGTGGCAGCAAGTTCCTTGCTGTGCTGCCCCCGAAGTTCCTTCAGAAATGGGTGACAATGTGCTGCAAAGCAAATTCAGCAAGGAAAACCAGAATTCAAGAAAATATTTATCCCTCCGCTCCATATGGGGCATATCTCAGAATGAGAGGAAAACACTGCAGAACTGAAAAATGTTTACATAGCTTGCAGATAATATCTTTTCTCCAGCCCACGTACAGCACATCCCCCAGACAATGCTGGAACGATGTTATTATGGCTATGAGATAAGGCCTTGTCGGTGCCTACAGTTTTAGGGTGACGTAAGCTTTGCTTTTGGCCCAGTGTGACTTCATTCCATTATTTGACCTTCATGGACACTTCTGAACGTTCTCTTCTTTTCCGATGACAGCTGCGCTTGATGCATCTGAGCAAAATAAAGGTAAAATGCAAAGTTTGCAGCAGTATTTGTCCCTTCCAGAGACTGACTAACCATCACTTGTGGCATGGTGCCAGGAAAGAAAGCTTAGAGCTCTATTAATTTGTTTTATTTGTTCTAATTCACTATTACATTTGTGAGTTGCTCTACATACACAAAAAGTGTCAAAACCATTTAACAAGATAAACAAGAGAACTTAAGGACCACCTTCATCTCTACACACCCTCTTGGATGTGGAGACCAGCAGAGGGGGCCCTCTTTTTTTTAAAAAAAAATGATATTTATTAAAGTTTCACAAAGAAAAAATCACATCAACAAAAAAGAAAAATTCAAGAATATAAAGAAAAGTACACAATACAAAATACAAAAAGAAAAAAGAAAAAACAGTTAAAAACAATTCCATCTTTTCATCACTACTTTTACATTTACTTGTTTCCCGGACCTCCTCATACCTCCCTCTTTTCTATTCCAATTCAGTTTGTTAGTCCAGCAATTCCTTTCCCTCCTTCAGCAGAGGGGGCCCTCTTCGTAGTTCCTATGCCCTCAGAGGCTTGTAGGGTTGGTGGCTTGGGAGAGGGTCTTCCCGGTGGAGGCCCCTAAGTTGTGGAACTTCCTCCCCACTGAGGCACATCAGGCTCCTTCATCATACAGCTGCTGGTGAGTGCTGAAAAGGCATCTCTTTACTGTGGCTTGAGAGGCTTGAGGTGTTTATTCTTCCCAAACTTTTCACCCCAAATCCACCATTGTGTTTTAATATGTTACGGTTTTAAAATTTTAGATTTTTTGATAATAATGGTAATCATGATACAGGATTTGCTTATTTCATTTTGTTATATTTATGACCTGGGTAAAATTTAATCTGTTTTAATTTTGAAATTATGATATATATTTTTAAAGTATTCAAAATTGCTTGTTGCTTTTTTAAAAAAAAGAAAACATCAAGTAACTCTTGACCAAACAAGGCAAACTGTCCTGAGTGCATAACAAAACATTAAGCGCTAATACAGAATCTGGTTCAAAGGACTGGCTTTGCTATTTTTGTTATGACTTCCAAAAGAACATGCCGACACAAGGAAGGAGGAGGACAGATTGCTTTCTGACCTTGGGTAAGAAACCAGCTGGATTTTGAGCAAGATGAATGAGACATGTCAACATAAGAATGAAATCTCAATATATTATAGTTTCTTGTGTTGCTACATAAGAATGCAGAAGATCCCTGCTGGATCAGGTGAAGGTTCTATCTGGGGTTGGGAAGCTATGGCCCTCCAGATACTGTTGACCAAGGGCTGGGCCTGATAGGAACTGGAGTCCAACAATATCTAGAGAGTCACAGAGTTCCCCCAACCCTGACTTTATGATAGTGGGGGTGTAGGATAAGCCATTTTTGGCTTACAGCAGGGAGACAGAGGCTCCTGGTAAGCCCATGAGCAGGTATTCATTTGTCCAATTCCTATTTAAGGCCATCTAAGAAAAAGACCATTACTGCATTTTGTGGCAATGAGTTCCACAAGTTAGCAATGTGCTGTGTGAAGTTCTTACTTCTATCTGCCCTGAATCTACTGCCCATTGGCTGTTCCATAGTTCTGCTATGAGAGCAGAATAATTTCTCTCTCCCCATATCATTTTACAAACCTCTATTTTGGATTGCCATATTTCAAAAAGTGAAAATCTGGACACAATCCTACTATACATACACAGGTCATCTTTCTTTCTTTTTTTTAAGTTAAAAAGCCCTCAACCCTTGAGCATTCCAGTTGCTTTTCTTCCCAGCACTTTCCTAACTGTCTATTGTCCTTTTTGACATAGGGTGACCAGATCTTCACATTGCATCCCAAATGTGGCCCAACCAATGACTGGATGACTTACAGTCATCAGGAATCATGGACTCACCTTTTTAATTTCCGTCCATTTCCTGATGACTCCTAGGATAGAAGTTGGCATTTTCATGCAGCTGCACACTAGATTTTTTATAATGAACATAGTCCGCCATGTTCTGCAGCTATCAAATGTTGAGCATCAGTTGAGAAGAGTGGAAGGTGAGAATGGAACACCCTGATTCAGCCTCTTATGGTCTATGCCACAGGCCAGGGGTGAGGAACCTCAAGCCTGGGAGCCAAATGCAGCCCCCCAGTTCTCTTTATCTGGTCCTTGAGACTCTCCCTAGGCCACACCCCCTTTCCCTAGGCCACACCCATCACCAGCCCTACTTCACACGCTCCATGAATGATTTTGCCTGGCTGAAATTGATTGATTGCATTTATATCCCACCTTTTCTCCAGTGAGTTCAAGGCAGTGTCCATACTTGCCCTCCTCATTTATTCCCCACAACCACCCCATGATGTGGGCTAGGCTGAGAGGCAGTGACTGGCCCAAGGTCATCCAGGGAGCTTCATGGCTGAGTGGGGAGCTGAATCCTGGTCTCCCAGGTCCTAGTCCAACGCTCTAACCATGATGTATCCATGGTGTAGCATGCCTCTCAGTTGCCCGGATGGAGGACAGAGGTGGAATCTACACACATATAAAAACGTGAACATGCTTTTAAAAAAACATGTTCTGAAAAATATATTGAATCTCCCATAGCTCACCATCGCCATCTAGTGTCACATTTGTATAATGCACATTACATCACACTTAAAACATTTTATTTATAGAAAATGTTATATATTTTATATGAGTGTAGAAATTAGCCTATTGTACAAAGCTTAGATATGCGGCTGTTCCTTTACCTCCTTTTCCAGAGTATTTCCGATTACAGCCTGTTCCCAAAACTTAAGATAGGTAAAGGGACCCCTGACCATTAGGTCCAGTCATGGCTGACTCAGGGTTGCGGCGCTCATCTCGCTTTATTGGCCGAGGGAGCCAGCGTACAGCTTCCAGGTCATGTGGCCAGCATGACTAAGCCGCTTCTGGCAAACCAGAGCAGCACACGGAAACGCCGTTTACCTTCCCGCCGGAGCGGTACCTCTTTATCTACTTGCACTTTGATGTGCTTTCGAACTGCTAGGTTGGCAGGAGCTGGGACAGAGCAACGGGAGCTTGAACTGCCGGCCTTCTGATCGGCAAGTCCTAGGCTCTGTGGTTTAACCCACAGGGCCTAAATGGGGTGATGCTTTCCTTACCGAATTTATCTGCCTGGTATAGATTGCTGATGCCCGCCTACCAGACTGAGCTATGGGGACCACCTCGCCTCCTCCATTCTGTTGAAAGAAGTTCAAAAGCTTTGGACTCACATACTACCGCATGTCATCCTAGCTCTGGCCTCTAGATAAATTGCTTTGGCCACCATCCACCATCACATCAAACAAGCCACAGCCTAGCAGCCTGATTTGCCATTTCCTTATTGGGAGCTGTATAAATAGCCAATAGGAACTGGTGCTTTCTCCAGGGCCATTCAGAAATTCTGCAGGGTTTCTCACCTCACCCTTTGGGAGGGCCAGTTCAACTATTGGCTAATTGGCCGCTGCTTAAAGTGGCTCTGAGAAGGAGCATGTGTGGCTGAGCAGTAATGGGGATGCTGCTGATCTTCCTAGTATGGACTGCTTTTCTTGGTAAGTTTGACTCCTGTTTTCTAGGCAGCTATGTTATTTTATTTTACCCTTCTGGGATATTAGGGCTAGAGGGCTCTGTATAAGAACCTAGCAGATATAAGGTTAATAATAACACTGATGAATCTAGCTGGAGGAGATGGAAAGATATGCCAATTTCAGTGCTCTCTCTCTCATTTTTTAAATCTTATATTCAATATTCCACATTTCTGCCATGTTTGTTGAGTGTTCGTTTATTGAAATCCTCATGAAAATTTATCAGTGTTCTAGTGCTAATTTTTCCTAATAAATACATTTTATTAGGCAGCAGCTGCACTTTGGAACTCCCTGCCTATTGAGATCAAGCAGGAACCTTCTCTGTACTCTTTTTCAGCATCTGCTAAAAATATTCTTGTTTAGACAGTCTGCTCAGATGCTTAGGAAGTTAAGGTTATTTTAATTGGTTTTAGTATTTCAACTTTTGTATGTTTTAAAATACTGTTGTAGACAAAGGATCTCTTCTGTGTTAATTATACCCAGGTGGTTTCTTTAAAGTTAAGTGTTCTTTTACATTGAATTTATTGCATAATCATGATTATTAGCAAAAATCTTGGAGAGGGTATGTAGCAACTTCCCAAGGAGGAAAGGGTTTAATGTTTGGGGTGGAGAGAGGAGAGTTGGGGATGGACGTATAAAATTATGCATGGGGTGGCAAAAGCAAACAGCAAGAGGTAGTGAAATTTAGCAGTTAGAGTTTTGGACTAGGGCCTCTCAGAGCAAGATTCAGATCCGTGCTCAACCTACCTCACCATGTTGCTGGGAGGATAAAATGGGAAGGGGCTGAACCACATATACATATACAATTTTGAATTTGTTGGAGGAAAGGTGGGATATAGTTATAATAAACAAATAAATTGAGAGGTATCTGTCTCTCGTTATACTAAATTCCAGAGTCACCCAAGGAAGTTGAATGGTGGGAGATTTTTTTTTTTGTCTTCTAATTTTTTATTTATACTTTTCAAATTTCTACATTTCATTAGTTTTACAATCAATGTAACATTTTGAAATTTGACTTCCTTCCCCTCTTTCTGCGGTTTCTTAAATTTATTTTTTAATATCTTCGGCATATCCAAATCCATTTAATAGGGGGAGATTCAAGACAGCCAAAAAGGAACACAGATCATAATTAAACTATGGAATTAGCTATCTTAAGGTGCGGTGATGGCCAAGAAATGGGATGGCTTTAAAAGGTGATGAGACAAATGCATGGAGCCTAAGGCTATTAGCGGCTGCTAGCCATGATGGCTGTGGACTACCTTCAATGTCTGAGGTGAAATGTCTCTGAATACCAGTTTCTGGGGAACATGAGTCTGATACTGATCCTGCGCTCATTTGCTGCTTGTGGGCTTCCCATAAGCATTTGTTGGCTTAGAGGCCGAAGCAACGTTTTGTGTTTTGTTTTGTTTTGTTTTTTGAGGAAGCCGGGGCCCCTCAGTGTCCAGAGGGCAGCCCTCTGGCTCCTCACAAGTCACATGCACAATGTCAGGATGTCAAGTTGGGGCCCCTCAGCCCTCTTGAGCAGCCGGTGCCTCTGCTGGTTGGCCACACTGAAAACAGGATACTCCTCCTGGTTGGGGCTTTGGTCTGATCCAGCCAGCCTCTTCTTATATTCTTATGACGCACTGAACACAATTTCCTTTGTGGGCAAGTGGCATTCTCTACGTTAACCGAATCTGACCTAATCCTTTTGTCGCCTTTGTTTTGCATTTCAGTGGTTGACTGCACACCTCCACACAAACATCTGCAGGTGCTTCCCAGGTTTGGGGGTGCCTATCATATAACAGGTAACGAACTTCTTCACTGCTCTTGGATGCTTCAGGGGGAAATTATTTGTAGAGACTAGGCAGAGATGAGACACCTGCGTTGGGGGCAGAGTATGCAACACTTCAGGTGATAATGGAAAGGGATAATTTATTAGTCTTCTCTACACCGCTCTCCTCCCAATTTCTAAAGCAGAGATGGGAAGCCAATGGCATTCCAGATATTATTGGACTCTTAACTCCCGTCACCCTTGACCCCTGGCCATGCTGGCTGGAGCTGAAGGGAGCTGGAGTCCAGCAACATCTGGAGGGCCACAGGTTCCCCATCCCTGTTTTAAAGAACTGCATCTTCCCATTTAAGAGGTATGCTCACTAGAAGCAGGGCAGAAGATGATCCGCTCCTTAATTTCTGTATTAAAAATGGTTTGTGGCGACAGGAAGCACAGAGCTGGTTTCTGATTAAAGCTTATGCTGACGGATCGCATTAATTAATTGAAGCTTGCAGCCCCAAATGTGGAGAGCGGTGTCCTCAGAACAGGACCATCTGGCAGCATAGAGGCACACCTGGAAGAATGTGCAGGCTTAGTGCAAACACAGAAACAAATAAATCTCAAAGCAAGTTGGAACAAAAAAGGCTCTCTTGGGCATCTGTGAAATTACCTTATGAAAAAATAAGCAGCCATCTATCAGTCACTGCCTTTGTGTGTTAATTCATTGCTTTAACTTTTTATCAGCCTTCTGTTCTTTCTAGGTATGATTTGCCAACTGACAGATGTCCACTGGAATAATGTTTATCTCTTTGTATTGCACTCATTTTTCTCAATCTTATGTAAATGCAGCACGCTTGGAGCTAGATTATTTGTGATAAGTACAATGCCCATATCTCAGAGATGCCTCATTATGGAGGTGGCTCTGTGTGCAGAGGGCGTTTCCTTCCATTTTTATTGCAAGGCTGGGGAACCTCTGGCCCTCCAGATGTTACTACACTACAACTCCCATCACCCCTCACTATTGCTCATGTAATATCCAACCATCTCTGGAGAGTCACTGGTTCCCTACCCTTGGTGTCAGGAGCCAGAGTCAAGGGCAGGTTAGCAATGAAACACCCAGTGTCAGTGAAGTTAACTCTTTATTCAAAGGGCAGACCTAGTGATCACAGCAACTCTTCCCAGTAGGTCTTGCCCCCAATGAGGCAGTTGCAAGGACTAAAGGTCCCTGCCTTTCCACCGCTCCCTAAGGCTCCTCCCCAGGGTTCTTCCCCAGCAACTTGAGGCTCCTTCATCTTGTCTCTCTTTGCTCTGCCCTCTTCATTCCTTTCCATCTTCTGGGAGACCAGGGAGGAGGGGAGCAGGAGGGGGAGATTCCCTGGCTTCCTCAGCAGCCTGCCCCCACTCCTCTCCAGCCTCGAATTCTGGACTGCTCTCTGCCACAGACTCTTCCTGCTCACGAAACACTGTTACCTCTTCAGCTTCATACTCCTCCTCCCAGTCTGCTCCCTCTCCACCCTCTGACCACACATTGTCATCTTCCCTTCTTTACTCTGGCTAAGCAACTGTTGCCATTTGGCTTCCTTCAGGGATCCTGAAACTGCCTTATGCTGAAATAGAAGAGCCCTTCGAAGCCTGGTTCAATGAGACGGAGGGGAAAAGTCGTATCCAGTATTATCACGGTAAGAGAAGTCTGGTATTGCCAAGAAGGTGGTTGGAAGCCCAGTGAAAAAGTCTGTTTCATTTCTCCCATGAACATAACCATATGGATTGGGAACAGTTTTAGATGCCTTACACCAGGTCACGTTATTTCTCTGTTAAGCCTCATACTGTTTACTCCACGGATGGCGGATGAGCCCTCCAGATGTCACTGGACCACAACTCTGATCATCCTTCCCATCCAAACTGGGGCTGATGGGAGTTGGAGTCCAATAATATCTGGAGGACCACAGGACCCCCACAATAGACCTGCTGTCTCTGACTGGCAGCAGCTCTCCAGTGTCTCATGCGGAAGTAGTTCCCATTGCCTGCTTTAATACGATGAAGATGATGGCTTGTATCCAAAGAAGCACTTAAGTCTATGTACACATTATACCTTTAAAAAATAGTCAAAGTACATTCCTTCTCTCAGATACCAATAGAGTCCCAATGACAACTGGGGGGCTGCTGGTCCTCCACCCCTGAGTTATATAAACACAAGATAGGAATAATAATAGCAGAAACTTGGAATGTGCTCCTTAAGCTACTCCAGAGACTGTCCCAAGGGGAAGATAGTGCTGTGAAAGGCTATCCCTTCCTTCGAAGCCAAAGAGGTGGTCAAGGAGACCTGTTCTATGTCGCTGGAGGTCAGGGTTGGATCCAGTTTTCAGGTGGGCCAAGAGCAACATGCTCTTTCATACATTTGTACGAGAGGTTACTTGGGTTGGTGGCAGGTGGCAACAGCACCACAGCCAGTGCAGAGCAGCTTGGGACCCTCGTTTAAATTTCTCACAATGCCCTGGAGCATTCTGGGAAGTTTAAAATGGTGGCTACAAGTTATCCAGCATATGGGGCACAGGGCAGGCAGCAGGGCAATATCACCTCAGATGTTTGTTTGTTTGTTTGTCATATTTATTCATATAGCAATTATATCCTACTTTTTCTCCCACAGGAGCCCAGGGCTGGTGTATGGTACATTTGCCCCACATAAAAAGATAATCAAATCCCTGCAAGTAAAATAAAAACAAAGGCTTGGGACATTTGGGAGGAAAAGAAATCTAGGCCCAGCCCACACCCTGTGTGCAAATTTTCAACTTGTATGGGTTTTTTTTTTTTTTAAGATATTTATTGAGATTTTTAAAATGTTACAAAAAAGAGAAAAAATAAAATAGAAGCAGAAGAGAGTACAAAGGATAAAAATAATTAACATAATAGAAAAAAGAGAAAAAAAACCCAACCCCTTCCCACCATATACGAAAAAATTCCAAATGAGAAAAAATGACAGAGAAAAAAAAAGAAGAATGCAAAAATCACAAAACTTTAAAAACATTTAAAAACAAATTCATTATTTTCAAATCCTTAACTGTCATTACCTTCTTTCTTAGACCTCCTCCTCCTCCCTTTCTTTGTATCCTAGTTATTAATTATCCCAGCAAATCCTTGACCTTATCTTTCTATAATAAAATAAACCTTAAAACTTAAAACTTAAATCTTATGCTTACCAACTTCTCATAATCATAATATTCTTTCATAATTCTTTAAACATCTTTGCTAAAGCCAAATAATTTCATTTCAACATTTTTCTATCATTCATCAATTTTATAAAACAGTTCTAATGGTAGAAAAAAGAGGTATAAACAGATCCAATCTTCATCCAGCTTCCCTTCCTCCTGGTTCCGGGTTTTGTCAGTCCTTATTCCCGTCAATCTAGCCCATTAACCTGGCAACCTTATGTCCGAGGCCCTCAAGTCTCTTCCATGACCCTTCCGCGGCTCTTCTTCATACTTGTAACTGTATTTTCCCTTGTCTCCTGCTCGTGGTAACTCCAGCTTGACAATGTTTTTAACCCTTCTCAACAGATCAGCCATGTTCAACAATGAATTCCATGTAGTATTTAAAAGCATGTTTCAAAGGCCCTCCAAAATTGAGAGCCCCCACAGTCCCAAACATCTCACGGCCCGTTGTCATATTTGAAAAGTCCAAACATCCCAGCATAGGGGGGTCAATCCAGCCCCCCATTTCCAAACCAAGCCAAACTTTTCCTTTCCAGATATGGCTTTTTCCAAGTTCATTTGTCAAATCCAAAAATCATATTCCTGTTGGGCCTGTTCTGTCAAAACACACTCCTGATTTAATGTCAAAAACTCCTGTTCTGTCAAGACACACTCCTGATTTAAATCCTGAGTGGGCTCCACATATTTTCCCACTGTCTGTTCAAAGTTTCCCACTGCCTGTTCAAAATTTCTAGTCGAAGTCGCCATCCAATTCACCTTCTCGTGTAATTGTTCCAGTAGATCGTTTGTTTTATAGAGAGCATACAACAAGGCTTCTGAATACATTGTCCTACAAGGTCAGATACTTGTTCCCACGGTTGTAATCTGTAACAGCTGTCGACTCCCTGGAGTTAGTTACAGTTTCACAGTTACACTTTCACAGACTCCCCCTAGGGGGAAGACTTCTATTTATTCTTGCAACAAAGTTTCCTTTTTTAAGATACTTTGTCCATATATAATCCTTTAAAATGCGAAAGGGAACAGTGGAATCACTAGGTTTCTCTTCTTTAGCCATCTGTCAAAAACACTTGTCTTTGGTTAATGAACTTCACGCGTCAGTCCTGACAGCCCGCTCCAGGATCAGGACGGAGGAAAGTTACTTCACTTTAAAGTCACTTTAAACAATCCAAAAAGATCCCCCCCTTCTCCTGCTGTTGAAGGGGGGTTCCACAATTTTAAATGGTGAAATCCAATCTTTTAAAAGCGATTTCCTGAGCTCTAGTTTAATTTGCCTTTGCTTTATTCTGTTTACAAAAGAACGGAAGGATGACTTCCTGTTTAGACCTTCCTGTTCCGTACCAAATTCAAATAAATTTTTAAAGTCCGATTCTTTCCTACTCGCAAGTCCTTATTTGATGTCCAATTGTTCAAAGTCTAAGTACTCACGGGTGCTTATTTTAAAGTCCAAATTGTCCCAGGAAAAGGCAGCGCTCTCCGGCAACAGCTATGCGGCTTCGCTCCACGGAAATAGCAGTTGACTCACAGCACCGCGCCACTTCCCCCTCTTCACTTCGGAGCCCGTTAGTGGGTTCCTTAGCGGGTTGGGGGGGCGCTAAAGGTGCCCGCCGAGTCCCATGGTCACAGGCTTCATCCGCCTGTGATTTTTAAGTGGGTCCCCGCTTCGCCGTAGCGGAGAAGACCCGTTTTCCGCGGAGCTAGTCCCTCCAGTTCAGAGGGAGTCCGCCATTGCCGGTGGCGCCACCCCGGAAGTCTGGGGTTTTATTTTGTGGAATGGATATGGGAAGATTCCCCCCCTCCCACACACACATGCAGCCTGGAATGGCATAATCCATTTTGCTACCTCGCTCTGCTGCATCTGTAGACCAGGATAGAGTTTTAAAGACTGTGGTTTTGTGTTCACGTCAAAATGTTTATAAGAGTTGCCATTGGTTCCTTCTCTGGAATAAGAGTGGCCCACTACATCCTTTTTATTTCTGGATCATGAATAAAGCTGCAGGCTTTCCCCCAAGACCTGATTCCTGTCATCTCTGAAATAAATAATCCACCCAGCTGAGGTTGAAGAGCAGACCTCAGATTTATGCAGCATTTGTTGTAAAGGAATACTGTTTCCCAACATGGTGGGCTGGAAATTCTAATGGGGTTGGGGAGCCTGTGGGCTTCAAATTGCTGTTGGACTTGAGCTCCCATTAGCCCCAGCCAGAGTGGTCAATGGACAGGGATGGTGGAAGTTGTAGTCCAACAACATCTGGAGGGCCACAGTTCTTTGATCTAATGCATGGGTAGGCAAACTAAGGCCCGGGGCCAGATCCAGCCCAATCTCCTTCTAAATCTGGCCCACAGACGGTCTGGGAATCAGCGTGTTTTTACATGAGTAGAATGTATCCTTTTATTTAAAATGCATCTCTGGGTTATTTGTGGGGCATAGGAATTCGTTCATATTTTTTTTCAAAATATAGTCCGCCCCCCCCCACAAGGTCTGAGGGACATTGGACTGGCCCCCTGCTGAAAAAGTTTGCTGACCCCTGATCTAATGAAATAAGAATTAGATGTAGTTTCTGAGGCAGATATTAGTGTAATGAATGCTTCTTTCCTTGCTTCTCCAGGCCAGGTGATCACTTACCAGTTTAGCTTTGTAAAACCTTTTGGGGCCAGCTTCAAGGTAACTCCAGAAACCACGGAAACCGAGGCCAACATTAAGGAGTGCTTCCAGATCAATGGAACATTGGAGAATCCCATTAGGCCTCAAAGTGTCTTTCCTAACCTATCTGAATTCCAGGTGAGTCCCTCAAGCTCCTGCTTCCAATCATCTCAGTTCAGACATCACACCAAACTGTGCATTATGTTAACCATAGTTATAAATAAGTTCATGCCATGGTTTGAGTTTCCAGACACACGACAAGTGAACTATGCTTTAGAGTTCCTGATCTGCTTTTCTGTCCCATGCACTCAGTTTTGTCTGTTCACCCCTGTCTCCACGGTGCAACAACTCTTTGCAGAGCAAAATGGTTTGCCAGTGGACTGTGAATTCAGACATAATGGTAAACAACGGTCAGCCCAAAAGTTGGCTTGGCTTGCAAACCTGAGGTTTGATATCCTGATTTGGAAACCCCTCATAAACTACACTTTGAGAACTGGTATGGTTTTAGACATACCGTAACACCATACCATGGTTTGATGTTGTGCCCGAATGCAGCCAATATGCCGTGAAGTGCATTTTGAGGATTTCGAAAGCTGGATTTCAGAGTTGGGGTTGGAAGCTTTATGCACTGTAACTAACCAAGAAACCTAATTTCTTTTAGAGATGAAGAGCTTTAGCCAGCAGTAGCCTTGCTCCTGAACAGAGTCTGGTTGCTGGTGTGCTTTACTCTGTCTTAACTTAAGCTGAGGTATTTTATGCCAGCTTCCCATATATAGACTTGCTCCTTACACCCTTAGAGTAGGGGTGGGCATTTGTTTTTCCTGTTAAGTCTTCATTTCTTCAGGGGCAATCTATTGGGAGCTGCATGCTGGTGGAGGGTGGGGCCATAGCAAAAGGGGGCAGGTCACCTCTGCTTTCTCACTTTCTGGCTCCCTCTGCACCATACATTTAAACAGTATCATATAACTTTGAACAGCCCCCTCCAAAATCCTGGAAACATTGGTTTAGGGTGCTGAGAGTTGTTGGGAGATTCCTATTCCCCTCACAGTTCTACAATTCCCCAAGTGGTTTAACATCTTATCCTTTTTCCCAGGAAGCTCTAGTTAAGAGTGCTGGGGGGGGGGCGGGGAGGAGAGAAAATTGTGGTGAAAAACTAGGAAATGCTACTGAACTACAACTTCCACGGTCCTCGGTGACTGACCATGCTTGCTGGGGCCGGTGAGCAGGACCAGCCTACCCATGAGGTGAGGTGAGGTAGTCAGGTTAGGTGGCAGATCTGGCCTCATCTGCTTCCATTTGCTTTCTCCTCCTCCTCCTCCTATGTGTCCTGCTACCTCCTTTGCCACTACCATGGCCTCTGTGCCTGGCTGTAGTGGAGGGGGAGGAGGAGGAGGCTGGGCGCAGAGGAAGTGTTGATGGTGACAAGGGGGCACAATTTCTGTTTTGCCTGAAGTGCCAAAACGTCCTGGGCTGACATTGCTGATGGAAGTTACAGTTCAGCAACATCTGGAGGGCCAAGGGTTCTCCATGCCTGTTTCAAAAGCTCTTGTTTGCTGCACATCAGTGGTATTTTCGAACCTGCCCTTCCCAGCCTCTCACTGAGAATCTTACTCTTTCCTGCTCTCTCGCACTCCAAACTCCAGACTGTTCTGCAGGAAGACTACAACGGGCAGCCCTGCGCAGTCCTGGAGAGTACGTCATATTGGGGCAAGAAGAAGAACATCTACAGGTTCTGGGTTGCAGATGCTTCCCCAGAGCCTGTCCCAGTGCACTATGAGATGAGGGGCTTCAACACTCTCCTGGGCTCCCACTACGACAAGTATGAGATAGACTACACCAGCTTTTCCCGCAGATTCCCCTCTGACGTCTTTGATCTCCCTGGTGGTATGTTCAGTGCAGAGCTGTCCTCTTGCATAGAGAGCCTCCTGTTTCTCCTTCTCCTCACCTACAAGGGTGCATGTTGCAGCTGTGGTAATGTCTAGCGCAGAGATAACCAATGCTGTGCCTTTCAGATACTGGGGACTCCACCTCCTATCATCCCTGACCACTGGCCATGCTGGCTGGGCCTGATGGGTGTTGGAGTCCAATGACGTCCTGAGAGCACCATTTTGTCTAATGCCACTATATATATTTGTTATATTTATCAGCAGGTTCCAGGGTGGCATACAACAATTTAAAATTCCAATTAAATATGTCAAAACGAATTACAGTCACAGGGTGGGTCCTTTAAATGCACATCTCAGGTGTCATCTCAACTTGCCAGCTAACCATGGAAAAGCTATGCCTGTTGAATCTCTGCCTGCTCTGGATTCTATTAAAGGCACTGAGATTCTGTCAGGAAAAACAGCAATATTAGTTTCAGCCCAAGTACCAAGTATGGTTGCCAACTTCCAGACAGCAGTGATGTGGTAGCATTAAAGAAACATCACAGGGCAAACTAAATTGGAATAAACCTGCTCCTATTGTGCTGTTGTTGTGTAAAGAAAATCTTGCAGACTACAGCCACAATAAAATACCAGTCTGGACTGCAGCCCAAAGCAAGCAAATAAGAACTGAAGGGGAATAATCTGTAGCTTATTTTGACTTCTGGTCATGGCAGTCACTTCTGCTTTCTGCCTCATAGGTATAAAATGCACACGTTGGCCAGGTGTAGGACCGGAGCATAGGATCTTGGCCAATCCCATGCAAGAATTTGTTGGGGGAGCCGGGGAAGTAGGCCGAGACCACGAGCATCTATTCCATCACTACAAGGGGAAATTCAGAAAGACCTACAAGAGTGAGGAGGAGATGGAGCACAGGAAGCACAACTTCATCCACAACATGAGGTACACAAAATGTGGATGAAAAAATTGTACAGTTGGAAACTGATAATTTACAGCTGGAAAATGGGAAAGAGGGAAATCAGATATGCCAGGCATATGTGCTTTTCATTATTATTGTTTTCCAGATACGTCCACTCCAAGAACAGGGCCAACCTCTCCTACAAACTGGCTGTGAACCACTTGGCCGATCATACACCAGAGGAGATGGCAGTGATGAGGGGGAGGCTAAAGACCGGTGAACCCAACCAGGGCTGGCCCTTCCCTGCCCAAGGCTATGACAACCTCACCCTGCCAGAGAGTCTGGATTGGCGGCTTTATGGTGATCATAAAGCCCTCGTTTTGAATTTAAATTTGGAAAGAATACTTATAGTAACAGTTCGGGGGGGGGGGAATCCAAACTGAAATAGGACATCTGCAAAATTTAATTGCAAAGAAGTAACATTCCCTGTGAAAACCCACTCTTTAAAGCTGAATCAGAGCAAACATCAATTTAGGTTTTCCGTGGATTGACGTTTGCTCTGATTGAGCTTTAAAGGGTGAGTTTTCACAGGGAAGGCCGTGGAGGAAAATAAAGGGCACTCAGACAGGGAGCTTTAAATTGCGGATGTGCCTGGAAAGAGCAGGGGAAAGGTTATTATGGATAAGCCCTGAGTGCAATTTTATCCTCTCTATTTGTCCCATTTATTCCCACACTGCCTCCCTAAATCTGTCATTTGGGGGTCCCCCAATCCTTTAGAGCAGATCGGGGGGGGGGACACACGAAGCACTAATGAGTGCTGCATTGTATACAAGCCAAAATGTATACAAGATTAAATAGAACGCAAGTGTATATTTCAAAAGGATTTCACTAAAGTGAAAAAGAAAAGGGAGGGGAAGATAGGACTCTACAATATATCAAAAGCTTTTGAAAGTAAATTAAATAATAATTTAACTAACCTAAACAAACTTGACTTCAAAACAGCATAAAACTGAAATATATTTCAATTAACCCTACTTTTTTCTCTCCCCCTTCCCCCTATATTAAATAATGGGAAGTAGCAAGTGAGGGGCAAGGTGGTGGGAAGTTTGGCATGGTGGAAATATGCCAGTGGAGCCAATCCTGTGCTCCTGTGTGTGGATTTGCTCCATGCCAACTTCATGCAGCAGCGACTTGGGCTTTAAAAAAATAATAATTAATATGACATTGTGGTTGGGATCTGTTTCTCTATAATTTTTGTCCCCATTTCTCTCTGCCTACCAATGAAGGTGCTGTGACCCCAGTCAAAGACCAGGCCGTGTGTGGTTCCTGCTGGAGTTTTGCTACGACAGGAACACTGGAAGGCGCCCTCTTTCTCAAGGTGAGGACCTGGGCGCTTGACTGTGTCTTGAGGCTTCCTTGATTCCTCAGAGCCCTTAAAGAACATGGTCTCGCTTCCCCCAAAGAATCCTAGAACTGTAGTTGGCTAAGGGTTCTAGGAATTGTAGCCCTGTGTGAGATAAACTAGAGTTAAACACATCATTATTATTGATTGATTGATTGATTGGATTTATATACTGCCCTATATCCAGGGGTCTCAGGGCGGTTCACAGAAGAAAATCAAGATATAAAACCACAAAATACATAATAAAAATAAAAACAACAACCCAATAGCCACACACACCCAGCACATTTTAAAAGGGCATAGGATGTAAATCAGATCAACCAAAGGCCTGGTTAAAGAGGAATGTTTTTGCCTGGCACCTAAAGGTGTATAATGAAGGTACCAGGCGAACTTCCCTGGGGAGAGCATTCCACAGATGGGGAGCCACTGCAGAGAAGGCCTGTTCTCGTGTTGCCACCCTCTGGATCTCCACTTGGTATAGATGTCACTGAAATTGTGAACCTGTTCTGGGACCATACCTCTTCATCCTGGGAAGTATAGTTTAAGGGTGCTGAGGGTTGTTAGAATATTCCTATTCCTCTCACAGAGTGGCAATTCCCAGAGCTCTCTTGGAAGAGTGGTTGATTTTTAAACTACTCTGGGAACTGTAGCTCTCTGAGGGCAATAGGTGGCTCCTAACAACTCCCAGCTCCCTTAACAAGCCAAAGTTCCCAGGATTCTTTGGTGAAAAAGTAGAGTAAAAGAAAAATGCCTTAATGGAGGGCTCCCCCAAACTTCCACTGGTCCCATGCCTAGGGTCCAAGCAGTTTTCTGTTTGCCCCACTGGTTTCCCGGGGAATATCTGCTCTTTAGGGCCAAACATCAACCTGTGGGGAAACCCGGTGGACGCTTGCTCTGTTTTGGTGTGTGGTAAAGATCTGGTTTCCCCGGGGGAAAGTGGTGGGACAAGGGGAATTCTGGATGAGTCCTAACTAAATAAATATCCCATCTTTTCCGTACAGACCGGAGTCCTCACTCCACTGTCACAGCAAGTCTTAATCGATTGTTCCTGGGGCTTTGGAAACCATGCCTGTGATGGGGGCCAGGAACGGCATGCCTATGAGTGGATTATGAAGCATGGTGGGATTGCCAGCACAGAGTCCTATGGGCCGTACCAGGGTCAGGTGAGTGCAGAATGTCCACCTGGAGCAACCAGAGGGTGGCATTTCTCTTGGGCAAACTTCCAGGAGCCACGTGCCTTACCTTTACATAGCCATGCAAAGGCCAGAGGTTTCTATGCATCCTCCATCTAGGCAAGCAGAAGGCATCATCAGTTTGATGACACATTCCAGCAGGGCAAAAGCACCTGAGCTTGGAGCAAGGGAGAGTCCCAGGGGCCAGACAGAAGGGAACAAGGGCCACATTTGCCCCCCGCCCAGGCCTGAGATTCCCTACCCTTACAATAGTGATGCCCACTGCTTCCTTCTTAAACGCTATTGCACCTGAGATAATTTGAAGAGGGGACGGTGGGCTGCTGTCATCAACATATTTGATCCTTTGAGAAAAAGGAATGTCTCAATAAGACAAATATGTGAATCATCCAGGTATACGCATCAGAGGCAGGGCTGGTTGTGGTTCTCGGCTGGGTGGGCTTGCCAGTGCGTAGGGTGAAAAATTGCCCTCAGGAGTATGGGAATGTTCAGGGAGGCAGGAGAGGATATATTGTTTAATTATATCCTTCCCAACTTGTGTTAACAGGTTCTATAACTTAGCAGAGTAACATTCCCCTTTTTAAACTTGTACAGCAGATACGTCTCTTCCAGGCTTGCATAAGCCTCTAAAATACGTTTCTTGGTAAATTCCCCTTTATTCCCTCGTAAAAAGATTAGACACAACAGTCTTGTATAAAAGTATAAAAGAGTTTACTCACACACATTCTGGTCACAGATGGATCCCAGAAGGCAGACTTAGGTTACAAAATATATACACCTGGAATCTATCCCATAAGGAGATAGTTCCTTTGTCCTCTCTTGGCTGGAGCATCTCAGGCTGATAAGATGTTGCTTCTTCGACGAATGGAGTCGGAGAGAGATGTGGCTGCCTCCCCTGTGCTGTTTTGTTACCTGCATAAGTAAGGCCACGCCCACCTCTGTTCACATGTAGAGGAAGTCTGTCCCAGCCCAGGAGGAAACAGGAAGTTCCGACAGGCTGGTCCAGACATCCCCTTTTATGTCCACTCTAGGAATGTTGTATTTGACTCTGTGTTTCACATCCCACAAGGAGTTACTAGGAATCAGCATTCTTTAAGTTACCCAAAACAGCTCACCAAGGCTTTGTTGAAGGATACAAAGCAACAATGCAGCTTCAGAGGGCAGGGCAATTTTTCACCAGGATGGCAGCAGGAGAGGAAAGGGTTAAATTCCCTGCTCTGCATTTGTTGCAATCCAGGCCTGTCGCCTCCCCTACCAATCAGCTGTTACTTGCATGTTAAGAATACAAGAGGAGCCCTGTGGAATCAGACCAAAAGCAAATCTAGTCCAGCATCCTCTTTCCTAGAGTTTCCAACCAGGCTCCTGTAGGAAGCCCACAAAACAGGGCAGGAGAACAATAGCTCCCTGCAAGATATAAATGATGAATGCAGATGTGCACCAAGTTTGACTCTTAGATTCCAACGCCCCATATACTTCCAAGCATATTTTTGTGTTCATAAGGACTAGAACATGGAAGATAAGGTTCTCAGGAAGTTGAATGCTGCAATCTGTGGCTTCACTGCCCTTTTGTGGTGGCGTTCTGCACAAACAGCTCATCGTGTACTTTGCACAAATTGCAGCCCAAAAGCAGGGAGTGCACACAGAATCACAAGCTTATATCTGGGGCTGGAATAGCTTTCTTGCAGTGAAACTGGGGTGTGTGTCTGCTTTCCCTTTGCCAGAATGGCTACTGTCACTACAACCAATCTGAGCTGATTGCAACTCTCTCTGGCTATGTCCGTGTGGCCTCTGAAAACACCACTGCCCTGAAGGCTGCTCTTTACAAGCATGGCCCGGTGGCCGTGAACATTGACGCCTCCCACAAGTCCTTTGCCTTCTACTCCAGTGGCATCTACTATGAGCCAAACTGCGGTGAGTCTAATGTCACTCCTTAGTTCAAAGCCTCTGTGGTGGGATGGGAATTTTATGGATGTGTCAACTTTATAGGTAGGTGTCACAATGGAAATTCTCTTGCACCACCAGTCACCATTTAAGGCATGCATGGGGAGCCTGTGACCCTCCAAGTATCATTGGACTCCAGCTCCCACCAGCATGATCCGTGGTCGGGGATGTAGAGGGTTGTGGTCCAACAACATCTGCAGAGCCATAGGGTCATACTTGCTATGGTGCTTAGAGCTGTCAAGTCAGGAGCATCCCAGACCCTGAGACTTCAGAACCCAATTCTGAGATCAGGAGTGGCTCCTGGTGATGTCATGGAGATGGGACTTGGTGATGTCACAGGGCGGGCCCTGGTGATTCTTCCTCTGCACTCCTTCTTACCACTAAGCCCTGGAGATGGAAGTTAATTGGGACAGGGGAAGAGGGAGCTGTGGATGGCAGACTCCTAGAGAGTCCATGCAGTCATTTGCAGCTGACTTCTGCCAGGCTGAAGCTTACAAGCTGCACACATAGTCTTCTTAATAAAAAATATTTTTTTAAAGGCACTCTTGCCCACCTAAAGAGTCAAGCCCTCTACCCAGCACCTGGAGTGGGGCAGGCAAATGTGGAGACTTCAGGTCAGCTCTGGAGGTCTGTCAGCATAAAATCAACAATAATATGATCTCCTTAAAAACAAGTACAAAATGCATCACAAATCAATCATTAGATCAGCTTAGTGCATTGACATAGCTGGATCACCTATCAGGGAAAGTCTGGGTAAACAGATGAATTTTAAGCAGGTGCTTAAATGCCAATACTGTTGGTAGTTGCTTGCCTGATGTTCACTAGAAGTGCATTCCAGAGGGCAGATTTTACCACAGTAAAGGCCCTGGTAGAGGGAGGGAAGGATCTGTCAATCTTGGTTCTCTCTGTTTTGCATTTTGTCCCAATCTTAGATTTAGTTGACCAATATGAGTTGCAGCAATATGAGATTTTATTCTTTTAATCCTTATGAAAATTCATTGTTATTAATATTAATATTATTCTTATTATATATTTATACTCAACATTTCCCCCTGGCTCAGTTGGCATTTTTGTGCACATTTATCCTAATAAAAACAGTTTTATATGCAGCTTTGACTAATGCACACATTTCTGCAAGCAACCTTGCCTAATATATGCATTTAAAAAAAACAAAACAAAAAAACACTGGTTGGTTGGAGAACTGCATTTCAGAATTCCAGTAAGTGCAAATTTTGAAGGATATCTGCATTTCAAATCACATAATGTTTCACAAAGCGCAAATTTGATAGATTTGGTTTTAAATGCATATTTACTCTGATTTCTCCTCCACCCCTGGTCTTAGTGTACACAAGAAAAGCTTGGGGATCTGTGGCACTAGGTGGTGAATTGATTCCTGGTCCTCTTTTCTTCTAGGAAACAAGAGCATGGAGTTAGACCATGCAGTCCTAGCTGTGGGATATGGGGACCTCGAAGGGGAGAGCTACTGGCTCATCAAGAACTCTTGGTCCACATATTGGGGCAATGATGGCTACATCCTCATGTCGATGAAGGACAACAACTGTGGGGTGGCAACAGCTCCCACCTACCCAGTCCTGGCCTAAGGGGGAAGCACTGGCAAGAAGGATCACGCCAGTCAATGTACAACAGCCCTTATCTGGAGCGACCTCTTCTGAACCACATGTTGTTGAAACACCTAATCTAGAAATTGGGAACCAGAGTTTGGGTGGTGATCATGCCACAACACATTCCTCCAAGTCAAAGTCCTGAACTGGAAGACATTTGTTCACCCAGTTCCACATCTCTATGGCTGCGTACATGCCATACATTTAAAACGCATTTAAAGCGCATTCCACCTCTACTAAATCCTGGGAACTGTGATTTCCCCTCACAGAGCTATAGTTCCCTTCACTCTTAATGAACTACAACTTCAAGGGTTCTTGAGCAGGGAGGTAGAGAGAGGTGCTGCTTCAAATGTGTATGCAGTCATAATTTAAGACTTCAGTCTGGTTCCTGTAATTTTTTAAAACATCTCTCTCCATATTTACTCTGATTAGTGTAACCCACACTGTTCAATAGTACACCAAACCATATTGCTGTAACAGTCTTTTGACAATACTTCCTTACCCTCCAATCACTGAGCAGCAAGGATATTGGGAGGGGGTATATTTGACCATATATAACGTGGCATGTGAATAAATTATGCGCAGCAGACAAGCATTCATGGCTGGGCTGGAATTATTTAGTCTCTTGATGCCTCCTAAGATAGTAACAAAGTGCATATAAAAATACACAACTTGTTTAGTGAAACTGAAACATCACAGATGTTTCCTATTGTTGTTCAAACATACACATTTCTCTGCTGGACTACACTCAGGAGAAGCTGCTCCTGTCTGCCTATAACAAAAGCCAGCTCAGCATAGTACTGATTGGCTAGAACCAGAGTAGTCAAGAAATCATCTCTTTCCCACACACCCCAGCTGCCTTCCTGACGGTTGTGATACTTCATTTCAAAAACTTGGTTTTTTAAGTATATGTGTTTCTTCTTAAGATCTATCTAACTTAATTTATACATGGCATTTTGAAATGAAAAATAGCCTTTTGAGACAGCCCATAAAGCAGCTCCAGATGCAGTTCTTGGGAAATTCCCTAGAGGAAATTCTGAAATACCCTTTTGGTTTATCAAAAAAGCATGACTTTGGCAGAGAGAAAGCAGAAAACAGACATTTCCTGTGGGAATTTTGCTGATAAGAGAGTATTTCACAAGTAAGTGTTTTTAAAGCTATAAGGGTTTCCTTGGAGGGTCCTCAAGTGGTGCAAACTTGCCAACTTACACTTAGTTTTTCCATTGTGATAGGCAGACCCAGGAACACTGATTGATTACGCAACTGGGAGGACTTTGGTATTCTCCGCCTTGTTCTGCCTGCTTGCGCAATGGAAAGCATTTAAGGGACAAAGCAGTCCTAACTTTAAAAAGTGGCTGGATGAGCACCGGAGGCGGCTGCCAAAGGACAAGATGGCAACCTGGATGAGCCTTTTCTTAACTCAGTTGACCTTCATTGCTGCATCTATAAAGGGCGGCTTGGCAGAGGAGCCAGAAACTAGCTGCTGTGCACGTGAGTGTGACTTGGAAGGGGGCAAGAGGTGTTTGTAGAAATGGCAAATGCTCAGCGCCAGCCTTCATCGGGCTCTTCTGTGATGACAGAAGCTGCCTTAAACCAAGACAGACCATTGGTCCATCTAGCTCAGTCTTGTTTTCAAAGATGCTCTATGGGGGTTTAGGCAAGGAGTCTCTCCTAGCCCCACCTGGAGATGCTGGAAACTGAACCTGGGACCTTTTGCATGCAAAGCAGGTGCTGTCCCACTGAGCTACATTCTTTCCTTAGCCGATTTATCTGAGGACTGGCAATGGGGTGATTTCCATCCCCATCAGGCTCTCTGTATAGACAGCAGTGTGTGCGTGTGCGTGCGCATATGTATGCACACAGCACTGCCAAAATGAGTGAGAGTGCAAAGAAACTTTGCTTGGTGGTGGATGGATCCGATTCTTGAGCTGGGGGTTAGCTACCCCTTTACCTCTCCAGAGTAAATAGCCAGCAACCAGTCTTGCTAACATGGTTCAGAATCCTTGCCTCCAGAGCATCTTTAATTTCATTGTTTTGCATGGGCACAGCCCTGATGCTAGAATGCTGCAGGCAGAGGTCTGGCACATCCTTAATTGCCCTGGGTGGGGCTAGCTAAGATGTGCTGGCTGTGCCCAGTGATTCACCAGGATCTACCCACTGGGCATATCTAGAAGTGTCCCTAATTTCATCTGTCACACACTGAAGGGTATGATCTCGACAAGGCTTGTTTGACATGTCAGAGTCCATTTGCAGTGACTTCGCCGAAATTAAAAATAGCGGTGCCTGTCAATTGCCTTGTAGCTGAGGCAGTAGTGTTATGGTCAGCTGACAAGCTTTTGGGATGGAATTGATGAGCCCTCATAAATAAAAATTATATTATTACCTGTACTTCACCCCGAGATCCTAGGGTGGGTTGCTACAAATTAAAACACAGCATAGAATCAGTGAATTGTAGGGGTGGAATTCCAAAACCCAGGATGCACAAACAGATAATTCCAGGATATTGTGTCTGAAAGATACCAACACAGTAAACACAGTGTTTTTTAAAAAAGGAAGTTACCAAAAAAATACAATCATTAAGAGGTTGGATCCTGAAAATATGCTTCTCCCATGTGAAAGTTGCCTCTCTAGCATTCCCCCAAAGCTGTGTAGTGAATACAGCTCTGTGGGGAGAGAGTTCTACAACTTGGGGACTGCGACATAGTGCCTTCTCCTGAGCAGCCCCCCCTCAGCTTTTGAGGGTGGTGGAACAAGCAAGAGGGGACCCTCTGCTGATCAAACACCCGGGGGGGGGAGGTCTGTAATAAAGAAGGTGGTCTTTCAGATATTTGTGACCTGATTTGTTTAGGGCTTTAAACGCTAACACCTTGAATTGGTCCTGTAAAACAAAAGCATCTAGCCCGAAACTGAATTTCAGTGTATAGGTACAGCCAGGGACACCTGCACCTGAATAACAAAGAGATGCTGTATTAGGCAACACCCCCTCACCAGTCCTGCCTTGCCCCTTCCTTGAGAGCTTTGGCCTGGCTGAAAAGTGTACTTCAAGATAAGTACCCATTGGCTTGGATCAAGAGGGATCTGTGAGCATGTGTACAAGGTAGCTACCATATAAAGGTACAATTCACATTCATTGCTCTGCCCACCCCTGAAATGTGGCCCCTAGCAGGTTAACTTGAAGGAAAGTGGCTCTCAAGTTGTGCTGGAGTATAGGGGCAGCTCTGACCTTGAATGGCTCCTGATCTTGAATGCACAGGATCCTGCCGGGAAACAGAAAACTTTGCCTTGTGACCGTCAAGTTCTCAGAAAGCTGTGGCCCTAGAACCCTGTTTGAATCACTGCACCATTTTTGTTTTCCAGAGCTAAAAGGGCTGTCTGAGTGTGGGCCAGAGAAGAAATTCTTTTTCCAAGGCCAGCCTGGGACTCCCGGGATCCCTGGCATACCGGGAACAATTGGATCACCTGGAGCTAAGGGAGATCCTGGTCCTCTGGGGCCCCCTGGTAAGAGGACCCCATCAATATCCAGATGGAGAAGGCCACTCGCCCTTGCATTTCCCAGTTGAAGTGTTGCTATTGTTTGCATTTCTATCCCACCTCTTTCTCCAAGGTGCTAAAGGTGGCATCCCTGTTTCTCCCCCACCTCATTTAATCCCCACATTAACCTTGTGAAATAAATTAGGCTGAGAGGCACTGACTGCCCAAAAGGTCACCCAGTGGGCATGGTGAAATGGGGATTTGAACTCTGGTCGCCCGGGTTCTAGACTGGCACTCCAACCACTAAACCTCACAGATGTAGAAGCAGCTGGACTCTTCTGTTGTTTATGCTTAGCACAGTCACCATCAAAAGTAGCACCCTCAAAAGATGGGGCACAGCAGTTAGACTACCCCTTCTTCTGTAGCGATAATTTCCCCTTTCCAGAATTTCTTGCTTCAAAATGAACTCAGAAGAGCTCATTTACCCTCCTCTGTCCGATCTCAGTGTGGAGTTGTTGGGTGGCCAATGCTGTGCCCTCCTGATCTTGTTTGACTCCCAACTCTGATATGCAGGGAGATAATGCATCTCTGCTGGGAGGGGATTCCAACAGTTAGGGAGCCGTGACTGAGAAGGCCCTGCTATGAGTCACTGTGACACGAGCCGTAGTTAAAGGTGGAACCAGTTTGGTTTTTTTCTGGGGGTACACAGGGGTACCCATACCCCTAAACATTTTGTGAATCTAAGTTTGGCCTCATTGAGGAGCAGTATTTCAATAGGAGTAGGAAAATGAAAGTACCCCTAAACATTTTTTTTTAGAAAACAGCACTGGGTGGAACTATTGGCAGGGCAGATCTCAAAACTAGGACTGGTATATTCCTGGGAGAGGCGCTATTTCAAGTATGCTGGCCCCAAATTAATCTAGGGCTTTTTCATTCCTGGTGGTCTTTATACGAGCTACTATTTAAGAACTGATGCCCGAGTTTGCTTTCCACCCCCCTCTTCCTTCCTCCTCCTGTTTTCCTTTTGTGTCGCCTCTTTTGGGGTGTGAGCTGAGCCTGTGAGCAGAGACTGCCTTGTTTTAGCTGATTGTGCGAAAGCTGCTCTGGGAGACTTTTCAACTGAAGAGCGGGTTAAAAATGCTTCACTTAAATACATACATAAAACCCTTCTCTTTCATTCAGGTGAGAAGGGCTCCCCTGGAGAGCATGGAAAAGCTGGACCCAAAGGAGACAAAGGTACAAGAGGCATTTCTTCTAACTCTGTGGACCAAACTAGATAGGATGATTGGCCCTGGTTTGTTTTTTCTTTTCAAAATTGGTGGTGGTTGTGTGTGTGCGTGCCCTTAATTAGGACTGCAGCCACAAGGTAGAGAGGGGTTTAACCCTTCACCATAACCATGAGTCTAGTCTGCATTGTAGGGGTCCTGGACTTGCTGTTCTTTTCTTTGGTGTCCGTGGGAATTTCCCTCCCCATGCAGACAGCAAGAACAGGGGGAGAGATCCAGATCAGGACAGTCAAGGGGTTCCAGAACCTTGACAGAACCCGAGAAGAGCCTGTCGGGAAGAGCCTGCCAGTGGCCCATCTAGTCCAGCACCCTGTTCTCTCAGTGGCTACCAAGGTGCTTGTGGGAAACCAAGTGGTTTCTGGGAACTGCCATTCAAAAGCATCACTGCTTCTAAAGTGATGGACTGGCTAAGTTATCATCAGCTCAATGCTAGGTTTAAGATAGATAACAAAAGAGAGTTTTGCAGACCAGCAATCACAATTCGAAAGGGATTTATTAGGTTCCAAGGTTAAAATTCTTTCTAAAATGTACAAATTATTACTTGAATGGGAGACAAAAGAGGAGTTGGTCAAGTCATCTATGCTTAGTTGGGCTAGGGATGTGGGACACAATACTGATTTAAACTTATGGCAACGTCTATGGACAAACAACATGTAATTTCCATCATGCTATACTTTAAAGGAAAACAATCTAAAGATGGTTCACAGGTGGTACTTGGCATCAAATAGGTTGGCAAAGATGTTTAAATCACAGAGTGATAAACGCTGGAAGTGTAAAAAACACACACACAAAAACAGTAGGAACAAGTTGCCACATGTGGTGGTCTTACAGTGTGATTAAAGAATACTGGGAAACAATTTATAACGAGCTCAAAAAAATGTTTACAAGATCCTTCCCTTCCTCCTGGGCATAACAACATCTGAAGCCCCAAAGAACCAAATGAGTCTGTTGCCATATGCTACCACTGCTGCTCAGATTTTACTGGCACGAAAGTGGAAAACGGACGCAGTGCCAACAAAAGATGAGTGGCATCACAAATTGTTGGAGCTGGTGGCTATTCTACAAATAGAATAAGAAATAGAGATGACAAAAAACTGGAAGTTATATATAGAATATATGAAAAATCATTATAACAAGATAATTAACCTAGCAGGGTGTGAGTAGTTATAGCAGCGTAAGTTATAACAAGAGGTAAAGAGAGGAAGAATGAAATATTTAGATAAACAAGAAGACGAGGTGGGGAAAGGATTAGAATTTGTTCAATCTTCTTTTAAAGCCTTCCAGCCCTGTGGTGGTCACAATCTAACCTGTTCACAGCCTTGCAGTTATTTACTAAAGAAAGTGGGTGCAGCAGGATCCACCAGCACACAAGGACCAATCACGTGCTAAACGTCACATCTTGAGTTTAAGATTCTTTTCACATGTGAACTTGTTTTTATATCTGGAACCGTTTTTTAATTGTTGTTATTGTTTGTGCTTTTGCTGTGAAATTGCTTTGAGATACCTTACGGGAAGCGATTCATAAATGGCAGTAAATAAATAAATGGGCTGGCATTTGCAGGTGACACTAAGCCAAACCATGGTTTAGCCAAACATGTGAACGTGTTGTTTCTCAGGAGAAGATTGTACCTCCCTGCTCCTTTAAACTCAGTACAGCACAACAGCTAAGCCAAGGTCTGGCTTAGCATGTGGTCTGAAGCCAGGGTTGTGGTTAAACTCTTTCCTTTACTGCATTTGAAGTGAGTGCTAGCTACATGTGACCCTCACACTGACCTCACTAACCAAAGGCTGTTTGTTTTCCACCCCCTATAGGAGAAGCTTGTGCTTTGGACTGCGGAGGCAGCTCCCAGCAAGAAGGTAGAGCCTTTCCTAAGCCAAGCCATGCTTATGCCCTATCTGCACAATGCATTTAAAGCAGGATCACACCACCATAAACAGAATCACCATTAACTGACAATAAAAAAGTATGAAAGGAAGGGCTTTCTGCCCAAGACTCTGGGAAGCTTAATAGAAAATACTGGGCTGTAGGAACAAATAGTCAGACCTGGGGTAAGGCAGCTTCCTACATTCCTAACTTGTGCACAGGCCATAATTCATAACACCTGCTTTGCATGTGAAAAGTCCCAGGTTCAGTCCCTGGCATCTCCAGGTAAGCCTGGAAAAGACTCTTTTTCCAGAAAAGAGCATATGCTAGTCACTGTACGTAGATCAGCCTCCAACAACCTGGTGCCTTTCAAATGTTTTGACTACTGCTCCTGTCATTTCTGATCATACATATGCCATGGTGGCAGAGGCTGATGGGAGTTGGTCCATCTGGTGGGCACCAGGTTGGAGATGGGTGATGTAGAAAATACTAAACTACATAGACCAATGGTTTGATTTGCTTCAAAGAATTCTGGGCACTGTAGTTGACCCCTTGCAGAGTAACAATTGCCAGCAGCCCTTAACAGAAGACAGTGCCCAGAATTATTTGAAGGAAATCATGTGCTTTGAATGTGCTGCAAGGTAGAGTGTGTACGCAGCCTAGGTGTGCATACATGCATGCCTACCCACACAATCCATATAGTGGCAATTAGCCTTTGAGATTACAAGATAGCAGCTATTCACATCTCTTCAGTGGGAGTTAAGCACAAGTCAGTGAGAGGCATCTGCTCATCAGATGGCTTGTCGGCCTGACATAAATCTCCTTGTTTTTTGAGAAGGCCCAAGAGCCAAGAACTGCAAAGAGCTTCTAGACCAGGGCGAGACCCTAAGTGGGTGGTACACCATCTTCCCCACAGCTAAGAAAACACTGGCTGTCTTCTGCGACATGGAGACTGATGGAGGAGGCTGGCTGGTGAGTCTTACTCACTGAGGCATTGGGACATCGCTGCTGCTGCACCGTGAGTGTTGGGGAAGGCCGCTCCCTCTTCAGGCTGATTCCACCTGGCCTAGGGGGCGGGGCCCAGACTCACCTCCGCTACAGTTTTAAGGACACTGGTGCTGCCGCAGCAATTGTTAAAAATGTTTTTATATATTTTAAAGTATTTTAAAGGTGTTTTTACTTCTTACGTTATTGTACCACCGTGAACAGTGGTTTTTATCTATGTATTTTTATTTTGTTCTGTTTTATTGTGGTTTGGGGTGGGGATTGGTTTTGCTTAGGTAGAATTGTTTTCAGTTTGGTTTGGTTTTCTATTTTGTAAATGGAGGCTTGTATGAGGCTTAGGATTGCTACCGTGGAGGGCGAGGGAGGTATGGTGGTGGGGGCAGATGTTATAGGCGAAGGGGATCGAGATACGGATATGCTCGTACCCCTTCCAATCTGCGCCCCATCCCGAGGGACGAGGGTAGGGTGAGCAAGGATTACTCACCTCCGTCACTGGTGTTGTGCAATGCCAGGTCTATAGGCAACAAAACCGCCACTCTGCGAGATTTCTTTACCTCGCAGGGGTTGACCTGGCTTGTGTGACGGAGACCTGGGTACGCGAAGGGGCAACAGTTACCTTACGAGAGATGGCGCCCCGGGTTTCTCCGTCCTCCACCAGTCACGGACTGTGGGCCGGGGGAGGGTGGCATTGTTAATCCGGGAAGATTGTCCTTTCAGGGCTCTACCATCGCCATCGATCCCGGCATTGAATGTGTTGGCCTAGTGTGGGGCTCTGAGGTGAGCTTGGCTGTCTGGCTGGTGTACCGGCCACCTAGCGCACCAGCAGCCACCCTGTCAGGCCTACTGGAGGCGGTGGCCGGCTGGGCCTTGGAGTTCCCTAACCTATGGGGAGTGGGGGACTTCATCCGCCATGCTGATGCCACTCCCTCCTCACAGGCTCTGGACCTGGTGTCTTCCATGGCAACACTAGGGCTCTCCCAGTTTGTTTCAGGCCCCACACATCAAGCAGGCCACACGCTGGATTTGATCTTTGGCGTAGGTATAGATGTGATCATGTCTCCTTCAATTAAGGTGCCATGGTCTGATCACTACGCTCTGAAAGCCAGGATTGACTTTCCACCCCACCCTGCTTAGGTGGCGAGCCGATTTGGGCTCGCCCGCAGAGGCTGATGGACCCTGATAGATTCCGTCAAGCCTTGCGGGACCTTGCTCCCCCTGGCGACTCATTGACTGAGCTTGTTGAGGGCTGGAATACCCAGCTCCTGGCAGCCATAGATGAGATCGCACCTAAGCGCCCTCTGCGACTCCGCAGAACCCGGGCTCCCTGGTTTACCGCGGAACTTCGGAAAATGAGCGGGACCTCAGGCGGCTAGAGCGAGTATGGCGGGGTGCCCGTGGCGAGACCTCAAGAACATCTTATAGGGTTTTTATGAAAACCTATGAGATGGCGGTGAAGGCCGCTAAGAGTCTTACTTCTCGGCCTCCATTGCATCCGCTAGCTCTCGCCCAGCGCAATTATTTAGTATAATTTGTCTTTAACGTCCCTTGAAGGACAGCCAAATTTAAATAACAATCTGCCACACAGCTGCGAGGCATTTGCGAGCTTTTGCGGAGAAGGTCCTGTTGCTCCGCCATGACCTCCCTGCCAATTTGGATACAATAAAGGAACTGGAGGCCCCTCGACTGTCCTCGGGTCCAGTATTGGACCACTTTGATCGGATATCCCCAGCCGATGTGGACAGACTCCTCCGAGCTGGAAAGCCCACCACCTGTCCTCTTGACCCGTGCCCGTCTTGGCTGATTAGAGCGTGTCCAGTCGTGGTGCGGGCCCCTGGGAGATATCATCAATTTGTCCCTTGGCACCGGGATATTTCCAGGGGAAGGAAGGAGGCAGTGGTGCGCCCGCTCTTAAAGAAAACATCATTAGATCCCTTAGATCTATCCAATTACCGCCCGGTTTGAATCTTCCATTCCTGGGTAAGGTGATTGAGAGAGCGGTTGCTGAACAGCTTGGTAGGGGACTGGATGTACCATCGGCTCTGGATCCATTCCAGTCTGGCGTCAGCGCTGGGCAGGGGACCGGGGCGGCGCTGGTCGCCCTAACAGATGATCTCTGCAGGCAGCTGGATCGAGGTGGGTCGGGGCTGCTGATTCTTCTAGACCTGTCAGCAGCCTTCGACATGGTTGATCACGAACTCCTGGACCACCGCCTTGCCAGCGTGGGGATCCAGGGCACAGTCCTTCAATGGCTGCGCTCGTTTCTCTCCGGTCGGGGACAGAGGGTGGCGCTTGGGGGGGAATTGTCATCCCGCCACTCCTTGGTGTGTGGAGTGCCTCAGGGTGCGATACTCTCCCCGATGCTTTTTAACATCTTTATGCGCCCCCTCGCCCAGCTTGTCCGGAGTTTTGGGCTGGGTTGCCATCAGTATGCCGATGACACCCAACTCTATCTGTTGATGGATGGCCATCCTGACTCGGCCCCAGACACACTGACCAGATGTTTGGAAGCTGTGGCTGGATGGTTACTGCGAAGCCGGTTGAAGTTAAATCCTTCGAAGACAGAGGTCCTCTGGCTGGGACGGGACGATATGGGATTGGGGGCAACTCCCATCTCTTGCGAGGGTGCAATTAGTGCCAGCACCGTCCGTTAAGAGTTTGGGTGTAATCTTCGATACCTCCCTCTCTATGGAGGCGCAGATTACAGCTATAACAAAGGCGGCATTTTGTCATCTCCGCCAAGCTAAGCAGTTGGCCCCTTATCTCTCTCGCCCTGACCTAGCCACTGTGATCCACGCGACGGTCACCTCCAGACTGGATTATTGTAACTCGCTCTACGTGGGGCTGCCCTTGAGACTGACCCAGAAACTCCAGCGGGTGCAGAATGCCGCGGCGAGACTCCTTATGGGGTCTTCGCTGCGAGATCACATTCATCCGGTACTATACCAGCTGCACTGGCTCCCGGTGGAGTACAGGATCAGGTTTAAGGTGCTGGTTTTAACCTTTAAAGCCCTATACGGCCTAGGACCCTCGTACCTACGGGACCGCCTCTCCTGGTATGCCCCACAGAGGAACCTACGGTCTGCAAATAAAAACATCCTGAAGGTCCCAGGCCTCAGAGAGGTTAGGCTGGCCTCAACTAGAGCCAGGGCTTTCTCGGCTGCGGCTCCAATCTGGTGGAGCAGCTCTGTCACATGAGACTAGGGCCCTGCGGGACCTGACATCTTTCCGCAGGGCCTGCAAGACAGAGTTGTTCCACCAGGCCTTTGGTCAGGGCCCAGCCTGACTCCCACCTCCGGCAACCTGCACAGAACTTTGCTTAACGGTTGCCATTAATTTGATTTTAATTAATTTTATAATGAAATGTTTTAGAATGTTGGATTATTTGATTGTTTGATTATTTGTTTGTTGTTAGCCGCCCTGAGCCTGGCTTTGGCTGGGGAGGGCGGGATATAAATAAAATTTATTATTATTATTATTATTACTGCCCCTGTGCAACCTGCCTGATAGCTCTAAAACAGGCATCCCCAAACTCGGCTCTCCAGCTGTTTTGGGACAACTCCCATCATCCCTAGCTAACAGTGGGAGTCAGTGTGGTGTAGCGGTTAAGAGAGGTGGACTCGTAATCTGGTGAACCGGGTTCGTGTCTCCGCTCCTCCACATGCAGCTGCTGGGTGACCTTGGGCTAGTCACACTTCTTTGAAGTCTCTCAGCCCCACTCACCTCACCGAGTGTTTGTTGTGGGGGAGGAAGGGAAAGGAGAATGTTAGCCGCTTTGAGACTCCTTCGGGGAGTGATAAAGCGGGATATCAAATCCAAACTCCTCTTCTTCTTTTAATAGGACCCGTGGTCAAGGATGATGGGAATTGTAGTCCCAAAAGAGCTGGTGGGCCGAGTTTGGGGGTGCCTGCTCTAAAACAAGCCCTCCAAATGTTGCTGGACTACAAATATAACAAATATAACAAAATATAGTCATCAACGAATATAACGAAAGTAGTCATCAACAATAAATAGAGCATCTTGATGTACACAAATTGAAACAATCTCCACATAAACCATAAGATCTAAAAAACAAAATATATCTTAAAAACAGCAACAAACCCCCCACAACAACCCCCCTAAACAATATCTCAGACCAAGAGTCTGTTCTTAGCTTTTTGAAGCTGGAGTCAGTCAGGGCCCCACTCTCCCAGGCCAAGTGGAAAAGGTCTTCTAGGACTCACAACCAAGGTGGGTCCTGACTGTTGGCTACGCTGCCTGGGGCTGATGGGACTTGGAGTCCAACAACACCTGGAAGGCCACAGATGCCCCATCCCTGCTCTAGAAAGAAGACTGTGGCCATGGTGCTCACACTGTGCCTGAGGAATCTGTCATTTCCATTGGGCACCTAGAACAATTCTGGCAATAGATGCTTGTTAAACATGAACAGCAGTAAAACTGTATGGCATCTCACTATACTGAATACAATAAGATGGGTCACTGGGGATTAAATTGGTCTTCTTTCATCATTGGCCAAAAAGATGTTACAGAAAAAGCTGGGTTTTTTGTTGGTACAGTGGTACCTCGGGTTAAGTACTTAATTCGTTCCGGAGGTCCATTCTTAACCTGAAACTGTTCTTAACCTGAAGCACCACTTTAGCTAATGGGGCCTCCCACTGCCGCCGGAGCACAATTTCTGTTCTCATCCTGAAGCAAAGTTCTTAACCCGAGGTACTATTTCTGGGTTAGCGGAGTCTGTACCCTGAAGCGTATGTAACCCGAGGTACCACTGTATTGTTATTGTAGTTAAGGGGTGAGTGATTCTGGAGATTAAGCCCATTCCTGTCACGAATGAAGGTCACCAATAGCTGCCCTCCTCCATGTGCATCTACCTTACACTACATAGGAGGTCTACAGAGATATTCATGGATGGAACTCAAATTCCAAACTGTGAGAAGCTCTAGGGTGGGAACAGGAAATCTCCAGCCCAGTGACCGTCGCACATCCCATTCACTGCCTAAGGTGAAATATGAATGTACCACCATGTCCCTCCCCCTTACCTGAAAAGCTGAAGAGACAAGATCTCTCCTGAAAGCAGCACTACGGCTTCCACCACCAAGGCGGCTGCTTCACCTTGCCTCTTTGCCAGGCTGCCTCTACTCTAGCCTGAAGGCCAAATGTGGCCTTCCGTGCCTCTCCATTTGGCACTCAGAACTGTCCCCGAGCCACACCTACCCACCAGCACTAATAACAATACAAAATGAACACCTGAGGCAGAGACCTTTTCATCCATCTAGAAAGGCTTGTAAAAGAAAGAAAAAAAGGCTTCGTTTGTTTCTGAAAAGCACGGTTTCAAGAGAAAGCTTGGCCTGTCATCTTCCCAGGTGTTCCAGAGGAGACAGGATGGATCAGTAGATTTCTACCGTGGCTGGGAGTCCTACAAGAGGGGGTTTGGGAACCGAGCATCTGAGTTCTGGCTGGGCAACGACAACATCCATGTTCTCACTAGTTCGGGTAAGGCAGTTTTTGTGTTTCCAGTTGATGACTGGAGTATAGAACTCATGTGCCTTAGCATCTCCTGTGAGAAGAACCCATATTTACCAAAAGGCTCCCTTTTGCTACAGGTATTCCTGTCCTCTCTCGACTCTGACAACCCTATCCGGGTGCTTCCAGACTGACTATGGGGTGGGATTCAATCACATCCTAGCAAATTCGGGTTGCATAATAATAGATGATTGGGAGGGCTTGTGCAACAAACCCACTTCATGCTTCCAGTGACTTTGTGTGTTTCTGATTAGGGACACACCAACTGAGGGTTGATGCAGAGGACTTTGCCAAAGTCAAAACTTTTGCCCTGTATACAAGCTTCAAAGTCCTGAGTGAAAATGACAACTACACATTGACCCTGGGCTCTTACTCCAGTGGTGACATGGGTGAGTTACTGGGAGAACCACACTGGGTCTACTCAGCTAGTAAAATGGGCAAGTTCTTTCATCAATGGACAAGCATCTATCATGTTTATGTAAATTATTTTGACATAGATACCATATTCCACAACAGTTTATCCTTCAGTCCTGTGTAAGACTATATCAAAGCTATTGGTTCTACCTCCGACCCATGTCTCAGTAGTTTTGTGTATTTAATCAGAGTCTCTTTCACTCCCTCTTAATGAGCTCAGCAAATGTGGATCAAAGACAGCATGACCGGTTCGGTCGCACGGGGCACAGAGCTTTGGGGGCAGTGCAGCAGGCACCATAACTATGAAGTCCAATGGAAGGCAAGAGGTGTAGGGAGTGGATTTTGGTGATCACCAGGTGCCTTGGAATGTTTAAAAATGGAAAACTGAGGAGAGGTTGCATTGGCCTGTTACAATTTATTTTACAGTCTCCCAGATGGAGGCGTGGCTGGCTACCTGGGACCCCAAAATAGAAGCACTCCTGTTACAGAATGAGGATGTACTGCAACAATTTGTTGCAGATCCCACCTGTGCCTTGTATAAAAAAGAAGCCTTCCTTATGTATGCCAAGTAAATTCAAGACCTGCCTTTACATTCCACCTCCCCAGGAGATTCTCTATCTGTGCACGACAACATGCCATTTTCAACGCGGGACAAAGATAATGACAACAGTGTCTCCAGCTGCGCAGAAGTCTACACGGGTGCATGGTGGTATGGGGATTGTCATCATTCTAACCTCAATGGGCTCTATCTCAAAGGCGAACACAGCTCTTATGCCAATGGCATCAACTGGGCTGCTGGGAAGGGTTATCATTACTCTTATAAATATGTGGACATGAAAATAAGACCAGAGTAGGTGGTGAAGAAAAGGTCTAGTGTAGGCTGGGTGCTTTACAGCAGAGGGCCTGGGCACTACTTCAGCTTCAATCTCTTGTGCATTCTCCAGTTTTAACCCGTGAGGCAGCCTGAATTAGGAGACATCTCCACAAAGGTGACACCTGAGTTATCCTCCTTGCCCCAGGCTTGATCCAATAAGGTTATCAGTAAGGAATAGGGGAGCAGGCACCTTCTGTAGCCTTAAGTCAGGGATAGGGAAGGTGTGACTCTCTAGATGTGGTTGGGATTCCAAACTCCCTCCTATCAGCCTCAGCCAGCAGTCAAGGATGGTGGTTGTAGTCTAGTGACAGCTGGAGGGCCATAGTTTCCTCATCCCAGTCCTGCCAAACAATCTTTAACTGCAAACAAGCACACATAGTCCTACTTTATATTAGATCCTGAATCTACCCCTTCTGCAGAACCGCCCTTCCCCATGCATCCAATAGCTGATGTAGGTGGAAGATTTGGATACAAGAACTTGATTTAAAGTAAGCTACGTTACTGAGGATCTTGGTACAAGAAACTGTACGGATTGTGGTCAATGCATTGACAGCTATTTCTGATAACTCATAGCAGGCCAGCCTGAGATAGAACTGGTATAGTTGTGTGCTCACACACATATTTTTAAAGTCTTATTAAGGGCCTATCTCCTATGTTTCTTCACCACTTAACAAAACCAAACTTAAAAGCCATGACTTCTTATGGAAAATGAGACATAGAGTCATACCTCTGTATTGCAACCAGCCTTTATCTAGATATCCCCTACATCCCTAGGCAGGATAGGAGCTGCCTTCAAGAGCTCTTACAGGCTCAACCCTGTCAGGGCATGGTCCACAAACAATAAATGCTGACTATTTGGTAATTCAGAATGTATATCGCTTCTTAGGTTTGACTTTTGGCTGGAGAATGCCTTAGAATTTTTGCAGCTAGCTTGACAGAAGCAGTTATGGGGACAGCTGTTGCTTTCGGGGACTGTTGTAGCTCTTAATTATTAATATTATTTGTATGAGTATGTTAGCCTGCTCAACCTGTACATGAAAAACAAATAAACAGATTTTAAACAGACATGGTAAAATCTCTAGAACTCTCTTTTCAAAGATGATGATTCTTTAGGCTGCCCTTGGAATTTAAAGGAGTATAAAATACTATAACCATTCCCTACCCTGTACCATACCTGACCCTATAAAAATATGTCTCCTACATTTAGGAGGAGAGGGTGTGGTGGCCTTATATAATTTTGTGAGAAAATATTGGTAACAGATCTTGGTGGGCGGGGGGAACATGGCATTTGATGCAAAATTAGCCATTGGTAGTTTGGATTTCCATTAACATCCACATACGCAACATACCCTGTAGGAAACACCAGAAGTAAAATATACAGTCACATTCCATATCGAAAATGAAAATAAAATTGCCAATATCATAATGCCATTACACAGATCTATGGTGCAACCACACCTGAAATACTGTGTAGTTCTGGTCACCTGCCTGAAGAAGGGTATTATTAGAGAGTTGGAAAAGATTCAGTAAAGGGCAAAAGATCAAGGAGTGGAGCAACTCTCCCATGAGGAAAGGTTGTGGCGTTTGGAACTTTTTAGTTTAGAGAAAAGATGAGCTGTAGGTGACAGAACAGAAGCTCAGAAACAGATACATGGAATGGAGAAACACTAGAACTTGCAAGGTGTCCTATGAACCTGAATGCGGAAGGATTCGAGACACATAATAAAGAAAAGTACTTTTCTTCACGAAGTTGTTAAAACTCTGGAAAACTCGCTCGCCAGAGGAAACAGTGATGGCCACCAACTTGGGGTGGCCTTAAAAGAGGATTGGACAAATTCGTGGCAGCCGGGGGCTCCTGGCCAGGACGACTATGCTCTGCCCCAGAGGTCAGAGGCAATGGGGCTTCTGGATGCCTCCTCGAGGCATCTGCGTGGCCACTGCGAGAACAGGACGCTACCTGCCCTCTGCAAATAGGACCCATAACAATTAAAAGCCATTTCGTAATCGAAACAACATGTGAAACGGGGATACCATCCTCCACCCCCTCCAAAGCACACACAGATCTCGCGAGAGAACAGAAGACGTGCGGGAGCGTAGAGGCAATTGACGGAGATGCAACTATAGAGTCACACGTTGTCTCAATACTTTCTATACTTCTGATCTAGTTTTGCCACTCAAACTTCCAGTTCGAGTTATATCAGTCCTGTTTTCCTCACAGAGATTCCACGCCGTACTTATGGGCAACACTAGCAAAAGGGAGGGCCCCCAGTTTTTACCACAGCAATAACCACAAGACAACATATTTCATATTGAACGTTACTCTACTATTTTCTCTGACTGTCTCTATGGTTAAGGGTGACCCGAGTTGGTGCCGTGACGCCGCTCCCCTTGCGCAACCCCGGACGGAGGCACACCCGGTGACGCAGCTCCGCCCTTCCCTTCCCCGGCTTCTTCCCGCAACAACTCGAGCCCGCCCCGCCCTAAACCTCTGAGTGACGTCTCCGGAGAATCAATGAGCCTCCAGGTACGAACGGAGGCCCCGCCTCCGAAGCGGTGAGTGGCGCCGCCCACGACCAATGGCGCCGTAGGCAGGCGGGAGCGTCACGTCGGGTTGGGTTAGAGCTGCGCCTGTCAGTGCGGGCGGCGGGATGGCGGCGCTTTATGCTTGCACCAAGTGCCACCAGCGCTTCCCGTTCGAGGCGCTCAGCCAGGGACAGCAGCTCTGCAAGGTCAGGGCCAGGAACGGGCGGGGGCTGAGGGGGCGCGGGCGCCGTGGCGGTTAGGAGCGCGAGCTGTGAGCCGGAATCCCTCCCGCCGACCCTTCTCTTCCTCTCCCGTCGGAGCTCAGCTTAGCCGCCTCCTTGGGTGACCTTAGCCAGAACAGCTTCGCTCGGCCTCTAACCTCCTTCTGTCTGTCTGTCTCTCTCTGCCTCCTCCTCCCTGAGCCTCCAGTTCATGCTGGAATCAGAACAACACCGGCCTACCTCACAGGGTGGTTGTTGTTGTTGTGGCCGAGGCGTGCTGTAATCGAAGGGCAGCATTACTCGGCCTCCCCCCTCTCTCCCCCCCCCAGGCCACCACTCCATATTGGAATCAACTGGCCTACCTCACAGGGTTGCTGTCATCATCCCTGACAAGCACGGCTGAGTCATGACGTATTCAAAGATCTTTGAAGGCTGGGTGAAGGGAATAAGAGAAATCATGATCAAAATCAGGATGCGTTTATATTCCTTGCAACTTTCTGCACAGGAGCTGTAGGTGCCACAGGGGGCATAATCTCCTGGATATCCATGCAGTAACTGTGTGAGGTAGGCTAGGTTTGAGAGTAAGGCCCAAGACTGTTCAGGGATCTTTGGGGTGAGCGGTGGGAATTCAAAGTCACGTCTCTGCGGTCCAGTGTCATATAGCTATTATACCACCACTCCGACTCTGGGACTGGTTTCTTCTTCTTCTTCAGGACGTGCTTTGATGAAGACAATAGAAGGGGAAAGGAATGGAGCAAGAAGCCAAGACTTCAGTTATGTGCTCTTACCTGAGAGAAAGCCCCACTGAATGTAGTGGACCTTATTTCTGAGTAAACATTTCTGAGTAAACATTGGCCTATAGATTGTAGTAGGTGTTGTTGCTTAGGGAGGTGGTTTGGCAACCGGGTAGGAAGGCGCTTCTTGGGTTTGTGAGTGTACCCACAAATCCCACTTAACATAGCTTTAGTTATTTCCTGCATACATCCTTTGTGAAGTCAGAGTGTATTTGTTTATTCCTATTATTTGTATGCTTGTGCCTTGTGTGTTAGCTTCTTCTAATTGGGGTTCATTAAGAAAGATGTGGCCTGTGGCAGTATGTAGTTAGCATGTTTCATAAGTTATTCTTCAGCCAAACAGCTCCCAGGCAATTTCACAATAAAATCAATATAATCATAAAAGAAATACATTAAAGACCATATAACGGGACAAATGAGTCATATAATAAGATCAGGAATAAAGATGTTGGTGTCTCATCCTAGGCAATATTATTATTAGTTATTAGTTACCCAATTTGTATAACACCCTTCATTCGAAGATCTCAGGGCGGTTCACAACATAAAAAGAAAGAAAACCACAATATGTTATTGTTTTTATTAAATTTTTGTTTTATTAACTTGTTAAGTCACCTAAAAAGGGCATTCCTTAGGCAACTTACAATCAAGTTTAAAAACAATTGGATTTAAATGTACTGAAAGTAATTACTGACATCTTGCTCTTGTTTGTGTTTTGCACTCTTGCTTAAAGTTAAATGCTGCTTCTTATCTAATGTGGTATCTAACTACTGTTCCTTTGCTGCAGTATGACTCTCTTCAGTGACTGATTACAATCAAGAGCAACAGTGAAGGAGCCATGATTTTCTTTATGAATCCCTATTAACATACTCATTGCTAAAGAGACACTATGTTGTTTTTCTTAGAAGAATTCCAGTTTTCTGTGCCACTAACAAAATACACAGATGAACTATAAAGAGAGGAGTTTTGACTCTGGAGACAATAACATTGTAAGATGACCCTGCATGTTGCACTAGTCGTCTTCTCTAGCTGGATGCTGTGTAAAGCAGTAGCCCTGTCTAATTGGTTCCTGGGCCAGAATACAAAAATCTGTTGTTTGATAGTTTGCCACTTTGAGTCATCGCTCTAGTACCTGCCTTCATCTTTATCACGATGGGATTTCTCTCTTCACCATTCCTTGTCAGTATCTCACTCCTTAAGTTATGGGATGATACATTAGTGACAACCCGAACACCTTTTGTATGTTTTTGCCTTTCAATTCAATTCCCTAGATGTTTATAACTTTCAAAAATCTTTCTCTTTCAGGAATGTCGGATTGCACACCCCATTGTTAAATGTACTTATTGCAGAACTGAATTCCAGCAAGAGAGGTAAATACTTGCTCAGCCTTTTTACACTAGATTGTCTGGGTGGGTGGGGGAAATGGAACTGCCTTCTTTGAGTTATCTTAAATTGTGGCTTTTCATTGTTTGATTCCAAAACAAAGACTGCCTGTTCTGGTGCCTTCAGCATTTGTTGACTCTCCAAAACACTTGAGCTATTGTTTTAAACATAAGAGTGGTGCTTTGCCAGTCAGTCAGGGAGTCTGACCTTGTATCCAATAGCGAAAAATACTCGGCATTATTTTGCTAACTAATTCACACATCAGTTCAGAAGTGAACTCTATCAGAATCTGTTTCCAAGGATTGGAAGGCTTGGGATTGCAAGCTTGGACCATAGAAACATAGGAAGATGCCTTGTGCTGAGTCAGACCATTGGTCCACATAGCCCAGTATTGTCTGCTCTGACTGGCAGCAGCTGCCCAGGATTTTAGACATGGTTCTCTCCCATGTCCTTTTTGGAGATGCCAGGGATTTAATTTAGGACCTTTTTAATGCAAAGTAGAATTGCTTTGTAGAATATAATTTGAAATAGCTTTGCACAACTCCAATTGAGTTGAACACTCATGAGCAACCCCTACTATTTTAAACAGGAGACAGCAAATCATTCTGTCTTTCTGCATTTTTATATATTGTGCATTTTTTTATTTCTTAAATTAAAATATTATAGAATTGGATCCAGAACTTAATAGTTACAAACTGACCATATCATGTAAGGCATAAATGGTATATAATTCATAAAGCGACAAAGTTACTTCTTTTTGCTTTATAATCTCTAAATGCAGATCACGTTACATCATGTTTTCCTATCTTAATTTAATCTTTTTGTTGTTTTGCTAGCAAAACCAACACAATATGCAAGAAGTGTGCACAGAACGTGAAACTTTATGGGACGGTATGTTTCAGTCTTCTTTCCTTACGCACTGGAAGTTTATCTTAATTCCTATAGTATAGTGAAAGGGTGGGAAATCTATTCCTGCCAGTGGGCCAGATCCTTATCTTCCCACCCTGAGGACCAAATTTGCCAGGCAGGTGGATCCATCTACCTGTGTGTCAATCACCTGACATCATAGTCACATTGGGTGGCATTGCGCTTTGCAGCCCTGAATGTCAGCTAAACTGAGCAGGATCTAACTCCTGCTTGTCAGCTGGTGAGGGGATTGCATCCAGCTGCTATGGCCAGGGGAACTGGTGTGGCAGCCAATGCCAAATCAAACTCTATCCATCAGGTGACATCATCCTGCACTGCAATGACATCAACTAACTAGGTTTGGTTTGGCTTTTTTAAAAAAAAATGAACTCAGGAGAATTTGACTCCCTAGTGTGACAAGATTGACATGCAGGCTGGAAATTCCCCATTCCTGCTACAGTGGTTTAAAAGCAGAGGTGGGTGGAACTCTGGCCAGTTTCCAGTGGACCAGCAAGTGGAAGAAAAGGTCACAGCAAGCTTAGGGTAGTTAAATGTATGTAGTGTGTTTTTGGAAACTTATCCTGCTTAGTTGAGAGAAAGCAGGGAGGCAATGTTGAGAACACTAGAGCAAGTCTTGGCGATTGCATATATAATTAAAGTGCATCATTAATCTCTTTACAATTTTCTGGTTTTTTACAGCCCAAACCATGCCAGTATTGCAATATAATCGCTGCATTTATTGGTAACAAGTGCCAGCGTTGTACAAACTCCGAGAAGAAGTACGGACCACCACATTCGTGTGAGCAGTGTAAGCAGCAGTGTGCCTTTGACAGGAAAGATGACAGGAAAAAAGTGAGTGCCTATATACATTCAGCATGAAAAGTGAAGAAGCTGTCTGCTGTGTGTAGATTCTGAGCACCAAAAGGCTATTTAACACATGATACAGTTAAAAGTATGTCCTACAGATGTTCCAGCTTTGCAGGGGGTTGGACTAGATAGCCCTTGTGCCCCTTCCAACTCTAAGATTCTGTGATTCTGTGTGCTCATCAGATTGCTCCCTACTGAGTCGTCGTTATGACTTTGGTATTGTCATTATTTTCACCATGTCAGGAGGTGGAGTACGCGTCAAAGTCAACTACCAAACATTAAGTCCCTCGCAATAGGGACTGAGGGACCTCCTCCTCATTGGCTCACTGCATTTCCTTGGAGTTTTTCTGCCTCTTGCAGGTGCCCACTGCCCTGATGTCTCCTTTGCTCAGTGAGACATGGATTCCACATGGGTTCCTGGCCAACATCTTGAGATCTGGCCGGGCATCCAGCATGAGAAGGAGTGAAACTTAAATTCACTGGTTTTAGGGGAAAGATTGTTGTGTGAATTGGCTTGTATCTTTATCACCAGTAATACATGGTGCCTTCCAGATGTCAGATACCAGCTCCTGTCAGTCCCAGCCAACATGGCCAGTTCTCAGAAAAACCGGGAGTTGTAGTCCAGCAATATCTAGAAGGCACCACATTGGCTACCCTTAAGTTGAAACGATCGTGACTATTTTGTTTCTAAATATGGTCTGTTTCAGAAGAGCTGCTTCTCAGTTCCATTTTGGCTGTTGTGCTTTTCCTTTTGTCCAGGAGAGTGTGTGATAACATCCTGCCTGTTTTGTCCCTTTTCTCATCTACCTAGGTGGATGGGAAGCTACTCTGCTGGCTTTGCACACTCTCCTATAAAAGAGTCTTGCAGAAGACCAAAGAGCAACGTAAGCACTTGAGCACCTCTTCCCGGACAAGCCTGCCGGAAAACGAACAGTATGGCCGACTCAGTGGTGGCACCCACTACAACAGGTAATGCGCTATCAGTGTAGCTCCCTTGGCAGCTTCACTCTCTGTGTGCACTCCTGGGGCATATGGAGGCGTATGCAGCAGAAAAGCAGGCTTGCTTTTTCTGGCCAAAGGATTGTGGCCATCCTACAGACCTTCAGTGGCCTTTTGAACTCTGAGATAGGATGTATACAAACATGCATGGAAAGATGCAAGGGTTCTATGAGAAGGCATGGAACGTTGGAAGCTGCTATTGGTCTATCTGGCTCCATATTGTCCACACTGATTGGCAGCAGCTCTCCAGGGTTTCAGACAGCAGTTTCTCCCAGCCCTAACTGGAGATGGCAAAACTGCCTTCTGCTGCAAAGTGAAGAAAAAAAACTGTTTTCCCTGAACTCTGTCTGGGGGGAGAGGATGACACTTTGGCCCAAAATGTGTCTAATGCACTTCCACGGTGGGCTAGCTGCTAAAACTGTATGTTTGAATGCTTCTGTAGGGTAAACCAATATGTTCTTGAATATTAGGATATGTTCCTCAAATCATTTATTAAGGGAGCTCTCAATAGCAGGCTGTTGCATTATGGTAAATAAGAAATATTCGTCTTTTGGTGTGGTTTGCTTTTTCAGAGGACCAAAGTATGCGCTAACACATATTGCAGTCCTCTTGCTTTAAAAACAATAATAAACCCAAGCCACCTTTGGGTTTATTTGGGATTTAGAGCAGGGAGGTGATTAGGAGAGAAACAGCACTTGCCTGTCTATTTAAAAACTATTTTGACATTTAAGCAGGCATGGCCCACATTTCTTCCCAGCTGTGAGGACTGGAAACTTGCTGCTTTACTCTGTACTTCTGTACAAGTTGAGGAGCCTGTGCAGCAACTGGGAAGGTGGAAATCTTTAGTGGCTTTGTAGTGCACTGCTGCTATTTAAAGTTTATTTTTTGATGAATTCTGCACCCAGTGCCACATGGGATCACAACATACACATTGCCCTGCTTAAATGTGTCTTGGAAACTGCTTGGCAAGGAAGTGTGTGAGTCGGGATAGCGTATTGGATACAATCAGGGTTTCTCTTTCTCATACATACATACATACATACATCCCATAAGTTACCTCACTGGGTTGTTGGGACGATAAAGTGGGAGGAGGGTTTAATGTACCACTCCCAATAACAAGTGTTGCAGTTTTTTCTACTTTAGTCACAAATCCACAGCTTCGGCACATAACTAGTATTAAAATGTGTAGCCACTGAGTATGGTCAGGGTGTTCCCCCCTCTTTTTTTAACAGGTGCATTAAAGGTCATCTCATGTTTACTTCTGTTTAAGAAACCCTGCTGCTTTATCCACAAAGAGTTCTTTTTTTTTTAAGGAGCATACTGCAGTTAATTGAAAACAACCAGAAAACTGTCTTGGAATTGCCAAACTTCTTAACGGTGTGTTTTGTTGCTTTGTTTCCTTTTGCAGCCAGAAAACATTATCTACATCTTCTATTCAGAATGAAATCCCAAAGAAAAAGCCCAAGTTTGATGCCATATCAGCCAATGGAGACAGGTGAGCGCCTTAAAATTTGGAAGTGCGGGTGGGTGGTCTGATCTGTTTTTAGTTTTAAAAGAAAAAGAATTAGAAAACTTTTCAGCACTTAGAGACTTAAAGAGTGAAACTTATCTTCTGGAGCTGCAAGGCTCTTGTGAACCAACTTTATCATTATGGGGAAAACGTTTGGCGATAGGTTGCGTTTCTTTTGCATGGTTATACGTGCAGTTTTGGGATTCCAGACTATGCTGTTAAATTAGGCAGTGCAGAATAGAAATATATTAGAGAAAAGAAAGCTACTGTCAAGCAAGATCATACTTTTAAAAAGAGACCCACTTTACCCCCATCCGTTGTTTTGGGAGAAGGAAAGCCTCTGCCAATCTCTGAAATCTGTAGCTTCTGTTCTGTGACTGCTGTGTGCAAAAAAATGTGTTGGTTCCCCCCCCCCCTTCCCCAGCAAGTGACATAGTAGGGTAGGTTTGGGTTTCCCTGACACTTAAAATCAGGAAAGAATGAGGAGGGGGGCGGGGTGTAGTTAGCATTGATGCTCTTGATGTGCATATTTTCATTCCTCCCTTTCCTCTCTAATTCTCAGCGTTCCTTCCTCTCCCGAGATGCTTTGCCCCCCTATCCAGAGTGCCCCGTCCGTGTTGGTGCAGTGGGCTGCTTCCCAACAGAGTCTCGGTGCCCATGATTGTCCTGTTTCTCAAGGCACTGACATCCTGAAGTGAGATCACCTATCATTTTCTCCCCCACCCGTTTCCTCCCCAACCCTGGGAATTGTCTCATTTTATGGAAGCAATCCATGCTCTTGGATTTCCTCCTAAAGCATATCATTCCAGGAGCGTGGGCCAGACTGTAGGCCAGGACTTCTAAGTGTGTAGGTAATTTGTTGGCAATTGCTTTATTAACCATCGCTTGAAGGTCTGGTCTAGTTCCATGTTACAACTCTCCTGTCACTCCCTCATTGTCTGTGATGGCTACATTTAGAAATATCAAGGCATGAAATCCATGTGCGGAGACAATATTGTACTATACACTAATATCGAACTCCTTATTCTAGTGTGCGTTCTCATAGAGCCAAGGGGGCATTATCCACACACAAGAGGGAGATACTGGCAGGATTTGTTTTTTATATATTTATAGAATTTATATCCTGCCCTCTTCCTCCCAAAGTTGCCCAGGGTGACAAACAGGTGGTAAAACAATAAAAACATCTCCAGTGTGGATGCAGATGGGGAAAGGTCTCCACTTAAAACGCTTGTTGAAAACAGAAGTTCTTCAGTAGGCCCTGAACAGACAACCCGAGTGGGTGCCTGTCTAATATTTAAGGGGAAGGAATTCCGAAAAGGAGGTGCCATAACGCTAAAGGACCAATTCCTGTATTGTGACGAAATAGACCTCCTGACAAGATTATATCTGCAGGAGGCCCTCGCCAGGAGAACTCGTAATCAATTGGATTTGTAAAGAGAATCCTGAACCCAAGCTATGTAGGGCTTTATTCATCAAAACAAACACCTTAAACATACCCCAGTAGCTAATTGGCAGCAAGTGCAAGTCTTTCAAGAGTGAGGTGATGTGTTGGCCATGTCCTGCCCCAGTGAACAGTCGAGCTGCCACATTTTGCACCAAGTGGAGCTTCCAGACCAACCTCAAGGGCGGCCCCACATAGAGCACATTGCAGTAATTCAGCCTGGAGGTTACCAGTGCTTGAGAGAACCCCAACGCTTGCAAAAGTACAAAAAGCCACCAACAGCCTTTAGGAAAAGAAAGCTTTAAATTTTGCTACTTTGATAGTGATTTCCTTAATGGAGCCTGACAAAAGGAGGGAAGTGTAACATTTATCAGATCTGCCTGGGAATTCAGTTAAAATAGTTAAAATATATAAGGAACAGATGTCCTTATAATATAAGTAATATAGTAATACATGCTCAATGGTTTCAATGCTTGACTGACAAAAGCTAGACACATTGATTATAAGGAATGTATGAGGATCTCCTTTCCAATAGAGTAAATGGTAAGGTATTAAAGCCAGCTATGGTATTTAGAAATTTCAAAAGTACCATATTCACTTGAGTCTAATGTGCCATCAAATCTAATGCACACCTTAATTTTCACAACCTAATTTGGCCAAAAAAGATGAGCATTAGATTAGAGAAAATACAGTATACAGATAATCAGCTGGAATGAAGTTTTTGCTACAGTTTCCTGCTGCTGAGTAGCATGCAGTTTGAACTTTATCCTTTTGGAGAGCTACATCCCAGATTTGTTGTTTAATCATATCTGTAGCTCCCAAGGTCAGAGCTGAGGGGCTGAACTCATATAATTTTTTCGCCTCTGTAGCTCTCTCCCAGCTAGAGAAGTTGTCTGATAAAGTAAATGGAGCTAAACTAGAGGGGTTAGGATTTCACTTGAGGCAGTGGATAATTTTGTAGAACCATGCATATGCTTCAAGTGGGACTGTACCAGATTCCACTCTTGAGTAAGGCGTTTGGATTGCTGTGTGGGATGCCATAGATGCTGCATAGGCATTTGGACTGTATGGCTTTCTCACTGACTCCAGCACCCCCTACCCCAGCACCACTTCCTGCAATGTGGATAACAGAACGAAACAACTTTACAGGGCCTTTGTGAGGATTACTGAGCCAATGTGCATGAAGCCATTTGGAGCACTTGAAACATACTAGATATGATGTTCATGGCATGACCACAATTCATGTGCATTTTATCATTCTATTTAACACAAATGGCTCCCAGGTGTTTAGAAACCTTGGAAATTCAGGATCCCAAAATGCTTGGATGCCTCCCTGAGTATTGGAGGCTCCCCCACTGCAGGAAACCTTAAACACACAGAGCTAGTGCGTGTCCTCTCCTCTCCATCCATAAGACAAGATACTGTATTACTGAATCTATATCAAGTTTCAGTGATTAGAGCAGTAAGAATAAAGGCTTGTATATGTATGCTTGATTTAATTCTTATTGCTCTAATAATCACTCTATATTCTGTACACCTAAACCTACTAGACCATGGCGTACATGCTATGATTTCGAAACGACTATCTAAGGAAGAGAGTGCAGTTTTTTAGCACAGACCTGCAATTTCTCCTCATTGCCACGGGAGGGCAGGCAGAAACCAGCATAAAGAAATCACAGGTTTGTTGTGATCCATAAGAACTGGGGTTTGTGAGCAACCTGGCTGGAACTAGCCTTTCAGCCGGGTCTGTTAGGCTCTTGTCACCTGCTATATTCTGGATGGTGTAGCAGAAAACTTTGCAAAAACTGCACAGTTGAGATCCAGCAGCACCCAGAGCAGGCATGGGGAACCTCTGGCCCTCTTGAAATTGCTGGATCAAGGGCCAAGGCTGATTCAGTTCAGCAACATCTGAAGGGCCAAAGGTTCCCCACACTTTATCTAGAGGCTCCCTGGTTCCACAGCTCCCATTTCTCATTTCACAGCAAACTTGCACCATTTGCAACCCGCCAAGCTTATGGCAGCCTGTTACTATACCTCCTGTTTTTGCTGCCTGCCTGGGACTGACAAAGGGTGGGTCGGTGAGTTGTGAAGCTGATGGACTGCATGGTGTGTCTCAAGCTGAAGAGCCCGTTCAGTAGTTAGGAAGGTGGACATTTTTGGCAGCGTTGTACAGTGCTGCCTGCCTCACTTAAGGCTGGTCAGTATGGTGAGGAAAAAAACTCTGAAGTTCCAAGGGAGTCCTCGTCTGCCCTGTGATTGCTTTGCCTGACCTCCCTTTGAGGACTCTGGGTCTCAAGTTATTTGGAAATGAGCGATATTACATAAGCGCAGTCTTGTACTGAGCGGCTTGCCTGGTAACCATAGGCAAGCCAGGTATTCCATGGAGGTCATATGGGGTGAACGTGGCCCTGCGGGTATCTCTGTCTGGCCCTCAGGACTCTCCCCAGGCCTTCACCTGCCCAGCTTTCTACTCTTAAGGAGTGGTTTGATTCCTGGCCGAGTTGTGTACGTTGAAGACAACAAGCAGACACTTCCGCAGTCGCAGGAGTGGCTGTGGTTGTACCTTTGTACAGCCTGCTTCACAATAATGCTTCCCCGTGTTAATGTAGGTGTGGCTCCTAGTTCAGATGGAGGGTGCTTGCTTGTGTGTAGGAGAAGTTGACTGTGAATGGACCCTTCACAGATAGATAAAACAATGGTTTCTGAAAATGGGGTATTGCTGGAAAACCTCACCCTCCCACTCTCATTTTAGCTACTTCTTTTTCTGTTCTTTGACTTCTGTAATGAAAGTGCTGTCAACAGAGTTGAAATACTGTCTCTCTCTTTACTGTCTCCCCCAAGAACTTTCACTGTTTCATAGGGTTGCTCTTTCCATTTGTGTGGTTCTTTCTGTCTCTAGTATTAATATTTAGGTTTCATTAAATGGGTTGTTAAATCTGGACCAAGGCAGTAGTTACACCTGCTGAAATCCATGTGACTTGATAAGTAAGTTTTGATCTTAAGTGGAAATAATAAGTGTGCCGTACTTGGTCTGGATCCACCTTCTGCAGATTCCCCATGATTTGGGATAACAACAACAACAACAACAACAACAACAACAACAACTTATACCCCACCCATCTGACTGGGTTGCCCCAGCCACTCAGAGTAACTTCCAACACAATATTAAAAAATATAAATTTACATCAGGGGTAGCAGTGACTCTTTGCATATCCAAAATTTGCATGGGATAGTAATGCAGTAGCATTTATGGTGTGTTGTGTTCATGTTGGGTTTCAAACCTAACCTGAAAAAGCAGTGATTGTGTTCCTCATGGGGAACATGTTCATGCTGCTGCTGGGAATCTTGGTCTCTTTGATCTCCAAGGGCAAAGAGTGCATCCCCAAATGCACTTGGGGATATATTACTACTCTGCTTTACCAATGAAACAATGGACAAACACACTTTGACTAAAGTTTGACGAGGACATATCAAGGTACATTGTTGCCTGCAAGCCATCAATTGGCCATTCGTGTCTTCACTGCAGATTTAAAGTAGCTTGGTAGTCTGGGAACTGTAGTGCTGCAAGGGTGGATTCCCAGGATTCTTTGGAAGAAGCCAGGAGAACAGAGGTGGGGAACCCGGTGCCCTCCTGAGGTTGTTGGACTCCAAATCCCATCAGCTCCAAACAACATAGCCAGTAGTCAGAGACAAGTATAGTTGCAGTCTCACAGCACCTAGAGGGCTACAGGATCCCCATCGCTGCCATATATGTTTGTGGTATAGATATGCCCTTGTTGAGGGTGTTTAGAAAACCTCATGCCATATCCACTTCTTGGCTTTTGATTCTCCTTACTGTCTTATCCCTCCCTCTCTCTGCATGTGAAACAGCATTCTTTAACATCCCACATTTTTGGCCACTGAATGTTACAACATGAAGAATACCAAAGCACATGAACTCATTTTGCACAGTGTAGAAGATCCATGGCTCAGAATTTTTCTAAGCTGCTCTTTGGTGGTGTGTTCACAATAGTGTTTCTCACCCTGCCTTAAAGCTGCTATATTGAATATGGGAAGCCGATTAGGATGTTGAGCTTTAGGACTAGGCTGATAGCAATGCACTGAAATTCAACAAAGACAGGTATGCACAGGTGTGCTAAATAGTGCAGAGAAACTCCAAACAGAGAAAATTGATGCTGTACTGAAGATTTAACATGAATCCACACGGAAAAGGATAATATCATACAGCTGCAAACAAGGGGGAAGATAGAAGTTTAGGAGAACTGCTTATTAGTTCATTTTGTGTAAAGAGAGTGATATGATCAAGAAAGACGCATAGCGTTCTTCCCTCTTCGCAGGATGTACAATGATAATGGTTTAGATGCAATGCAGATCAACCTATGCATATTTACTTGGAAGTAAGTTGAATTCAACAGTGCTAGCACTCAAGGAAGCATGCATAGGATTGGAGCCATAGCTGTTGTCCCCTTTGTCGTGAAGAGTGTTGGAGACACATCAAATATTAGCTAAACTTTTGCAATGGTAATTGGCCAAAGAAGAAGGTGGGATTGTCTATGTTGTCATTTTAAAAGGGGGGGGGACACAAAATGCCCCTGGCACAATTTAAATATGTAGTTGGAGCAGCATGCTTTTGACAAATAGGTCAAGCATGCCACACAGACCCTCCAGATGTGTCTGAACTACAACTCCCATTATCCCTGGCCTTTGGTCTGACTTGCTGGGCTGATAGAAGTAGGAGTTCAGCCACTTTTGGAGGGTCAGAGATATCCTGCATCCGATGCTGCACGTATGTGTAAATTTAATTATTGTAGATCACCCTAATACATATCCTCTGAATCAGCCTTTCCAGCCTTGGGTCCCCATATGTTGTTGGTCTACTGTTCCTTTCATCCTTGACCATTGGCTGTGGTCAGCAACATCTGGGGACTCAAGGTTGGGAAGGGTTTCTCCAAACACATTTCACTGAATGATGATAACTAGATGACCGTGGGGGACTTTGCAGGCTTTCCTGTTAGCCTGTGGGACTGACCTCTCTTGTTCACGGCTTACCATCCCATCTGAACTGGAGCCCAGGGATGAGTAATTAATGATCTCCCCCTTACTGTCTCTTTATAGCTTTTCTCCAGACCTTGCCTTGGACTCTCCTGGCACCGACCACTTTGTCATCATAGCCCAGCTGAAAGAGGAAGTGGCTACTCTCAAGAAAATGCTGCACCAAAAGGATCAGATGATCCTGGAGAAAGAGAAGAAGGTAACGTCCCCTTTGAGCCACCTCTCGGTGAGGCAATGGGGCATTTTATTGTAATCTGTTCTTATTTTGCTTCCTAAGGAAGGTGAGGAGAGCTAGAGCTGGATCTTTCATAATATCGCTACAGATAAAAAAGGTAGTTAAAAGCTATCAGGGTAGACTAAACAACAAGCCATCTCTATAAGTCTTGAGCTAGTGTTGAAATGATTGTCACATTGCCACCTGTTGTGTTTGGAGGATGGCATTCTGTAGTTGGGGTGCCACCACAGAGAAGACTCTCTCCCTGTCTGCTGCATATTGAAATTACCCTGGCAGCAGAACATGGAGAAGAGCTTCCTCTGAAGATCTCAAGACATGGGCAGGATGGTGTAAGGAGAGGTGCTCTTGTGGGTGTTTGGATCCCAAGCTGAAAGATGGTTGGGCACTGGTTGTGTTTCATAATTTTGGAAGTTAAGCCATAAGGCAGTCTTCAGGAACCTGGTGCCCTCCAGATATTCTGGATTATAACTCCCATAAGCCTCAGCCAGCACAGCAACAGCTGATAGGAGTTGTAGTCCAAAACATCTGGAGGGCACCAGGTTGGCAAAGGTTCTGGAAGAATTTTGTTGGATCTCAGCTATGTTCCTGCTTCATTTTTCAAGCTAAATATATATGGAATTTAATAAAACTCCTTATCACCTTGTTCCCAGGTGGCAGCCCTGCAGCTTATTTAGCATACTGGATTTCTACAAGGATATCTCCCATTTTATGGCAAATATTAATTGCAAATGAATTTTAACTGCTTTGATTTCTTTTGCTTGTGTGTGTTCTGCAGATAACTGAACTGAAGGCTGATCTGCAGTACCAAGAATCCCAGATGAGGGTGAAAATGAACCAGATGGAAAAGACTCACAAGGAAGTCACAGAACAATTGCAGGTAACTTTGTTTAACTTGGTCCATTAATTAGCATTCACAGGACTGATTGGATCCTGAGAACACTGTGACCAGCTCTGCAAACCTTTGCATTGTTAGATCGACTAATATTCTACTCTGGATTTCTAACAATTCAATACCTTTGGCCCATTTAGTTCATTGTTGCCTGTGCTGATTGGCAGCAGCATTCCAGATTTTCAGACAGGTATCTTTCTGAGTCCTACATAAAGATACGGAGGGCTGCATCATAAGAACATAAGAAGAGTCTGCTGGATCAAGCCAGTAGCCCATCTAGTCCAGCATCCTGTTCTCAGAGTGGCCAAGCAGATGCCTGTGTCAGAACCCTGCAAGCAGGATCTGAGCTCACAAGAGCACTCTCCCCTTTTGTGGTTTCTAGCTGTGTTCAGAAGCATTCCTGCCTCCAACTGTGGAGGCAGAACATAGCCAATATGGCTAGGAGAAATCAATAGCCTTATCCTCCATGAATTCATCTAGTCCTCTTTTAAAGCTGTCTAAGTCTGTGCGCCTCCTTGCCTCCTAGCTTGGCATCATTTACCGAGAAGTGGTATCCTTTACACAGGGGGTGCTGTGGTCTAAACCACGGAGCCCCTTGGGCTTGCCAGTTACTGTGATGGGCTGAGCTCCCATTGCTCTGTCCCAGGTTCTGCCAACCAGCAGTTCAAAAGCACACAGTTCAAAAGTGCAAATAGGTACTGCTGCAGCGGGAAGGTAAACGGTGCTGCCGTGTGCTCTGGCACTCATCACGGTGTCCCCTTGCACCAGAAGTTGTTTAGTCATGTTGGCCACATGACCCGGAAAGCTGTCTGCAGACAAACACTGGGTCCCTTGGCCTCCTTTGACTGGACTTAACCATCCAGGCATCCTTTACCTTTACCTATCATTTATTCTGACTGGCAGCAGCTCTCCAAGGTTTCAGAAAGGGGGCGTTCCCAGCAGTACCTAGAGGCAACAGGGATTGAACTTGGGACATCCTGCATATAACTGAGCTCCAACCCTTTCCCAAGGGTCGCACTCTCAGGGGTGTGCATGTTGGATCATATTGCTTATATCCCTGGTTGTGTGACTGCATCAGTGCCTTCCTCATGATGACTGGGAGAATTGCCGGATAGATTGCTTTGCATAATTTATTCAGGTTGCAGAACTGAGCTTTTCTCAGTGCAGAACTCCTCTCCCCTCTCCCCTCCCCCCAAGTTCTTTTATTCTTTTCCAGTCCAGGATTCTGTGTAAATTGGCAGCAGTTACGCTGCCTGGGACTACTTCCCAACCCATTCAAGTAACACATGGAACCTCTCCTTCCTCCAACAGGCCAAGAACCGAGAGCTCCTGAAACAAGCCGCAGCTTTATCCAAGGGGAAGAAAACGGAGAAGTCAGGAGCAATAACCTCCCCTTAAACACTGCCTGGGAGCTCCTCCCGCAGTAAGGCTGCAAACCCAGCTGGTTGGGTTGGAATCCTTCCAGAACCTCATTTTGATTGTTGTTGCGATGGACGTGGTGGAAGCCTCTGCGTCTGACCATTCAATAGCATGCTTGAGGTGTTGGATTTTCCACATCTTGTTCTCCTGTCCTAGTACAGCGATGAGGGTGGCTGGGGGCAGCATCCCTCCAAGCCTACCAACAAATACTTTCAATGTCAGGGTTTTCCCATTCAGTTTTACTACCACTCCCTCGAGTCGGTAAGGGAAACAGGGCTTGGGACAGGATCCCTCCACGGACTTCTCCTGCTTTCTCTCCTCCCCTCCCCCCAAGGCATTTAACGTCCTGCCTGAGTATAGCCTTTTAAAGAGCAGTACCTAACTTTGCTTACTCGTAAGAATGCTTGCGTTTTGCTCTAGTATGCAGAGCTCCTCTCAAATGTTTCCCTTACGTCTGTATAATTGGGGGACGTTAAACCAGATGGAGGTTTAATGCAGCAACTGTGTATCAGGAATTCTGGAGGCTGAAGGGCCTCTTGGAAAAAATACTGGGGACATTAATTTGGAAGAAAGGGGGTTGATGAATTGCAATTTTGCTTATTCAGTTGTTGTTGTTGTCGTCATCACTTATATGGCATTGGTTCTTTGAGAATTAGGGTTCAGTCCCTGATTAAGATTTGCCTGCTTTTTCTCCTAGTCCCCCAACCCCTTTTGTCTGGAATTGGGAGGGGAGGAAGGGAGCCTTTTCCTAAGACCAATGGTTGGGTGAGGCCAGTCCCCAATAATGTGGTGGTAACTGGGCCGTAACAAGGCCCAATTCTGCAGAGTTTTGAGGAAGTTGGGTGGAGATCAGGCACCATGTTTCCAGCTAACTTGGCAGCAGAACAAAGAGGTGTGAGGGAAGAAGGTTGTGTTAGGTTTTTTTCCCAAGATGATGGCTTTTGCAGGAGAAAGAAGCTGCTGGGAGTGCCAGCAAGGCCAAGAGACCCCTACCCCAATTAGAGGAGAGATGGGATGAACTGCAGCTGTTTGAACCCTGCCCCTCAAGGCATCTCTTTGGAAATAGCAAGCCGTTCAAATACAGTTGAGATCCAGGCAAGGTATTTGGCCAGGTTGCTCCTTTGTACAGAGCCCAGTCCGAAATAATGGGAGACACCCCCCCCCCCCTTTGTGGACATGCACCTAACACAGCAATCTGAGGTGGTGTGAGATTAACTTTCTATAAGATAAATAGAGCGATATTTGCTGCAGATGGGCTTTTATGGATATTTTAAAATATATAAATATATGGGATGATTTTTTCCCCAGTAGCACTTTGAAAGACCTACAAGCCTTGGAACGTGGAAGAAAGAATATTGAAACGTGCACTCTGCTGTGGGTTATTTATTTTTTAGTCTTTTTTTGCTTTGTTTAAAAGACATTGTACATTAAGAATTCATTGCACCAGAAGGAGTTGTAGCAGCAGAAGCCTAATTTTTATATTCAAGAACATTTTTAGGAAAAAGAAATTTAAGCGGGAGTGGTTTTTAGCTTCCTCAGCCTACAGAAAATGAAGACAAGGAGAAGGATTTTTTCCTGTAAATTGTGTCTTTTTTCTTAACTGTGACACCTTGATCATGCATTTAAGTGGGTGATTTATAGTGATGCTGTTTTTCTTTCTTTCTATGTTTGTAACATTGGCAATCTTAAAAAAAAAGTTGCATTGATTTGTACAAAATAAATGTTAAAAAAAAATGGTTTGGGGAAGAGGGGTGGATCTTTTGGTGGTTTCATGTTTCGATATTTTGCCTATGCCTTTCTTGGTTGAGTCGGCAAAGATAAACCATTCCCCCCCCCCCCCGGCATGGGCCTGATCCAGGCGCAGGTGATCAGCATGAAGCACAAAGACCTTTTGGTGCTACTGTGGGATTTGATGTATGTAGAGGATTAAACAGTATTTTCTGTATTGAAGGTTTCTTGTTTGATATGTCTCCTTCAGTCTTGTCACATTACTGTAGCTATCATCACTTGTTTAAAAAAAGTAGGGTGGGGGGGTGACAGCTAGTCTATCAGATTTTTTAAAATCCTACGAACATCGAGTCCTTGATCATTTTTCTTTTCCATGCAGGGAAGTTTCATGAGCTAAACTGGAATAACCCAAGTGAGGAAAGGAGTGAAGTTCTCTACAAAGCGACACAAAAAATCTCAGACTCCCACTAAATTTAAGTACACAACATGAGAAATGCATATCCTGACCCCACCATCTTTTTTAAAATGTTTCACTGAAGAAGGCATATGGCATAACATAATTGTTCTCAGAGTTCCCCTACTCTGTTTGACTGACTGCCACTTGGAGACAGAGCTCAAGTCTCATTGAGTGGTGCCCAATGCAGTTATAATGTTAGTGTAAGGATTTACGCTTGCACAGTGGAACAGTTCTCCTCCCACCCCCATGTGCACCCTGTGCCCTCCCCACATCTGCTGTGGTGAACCCCCAGATCAGATTTAGGTGATGGGAGAGGGAGGAAATTCCATTGCACAAGCATTAATCCTTGCACTAACTGAACAGGTTCCTTAGCACGACACTGGATACAACCCATCACACCTTACCAGAATATAAATGTTCTTGCTTGTTTTATTTAGAAAGGTTTATAAACAGCTTAAACAGCTCTCTAAGCAGTGCACATAATAAAATTGTAGATGGAACACAACTGAAACCCACGAAACTATTCACTTGTTAAATTTATACCTCACCCTTCCTCCCAAAGGGTGTCAGATTAGGACTTGGGGGACAAGGATTCAAATCTCCACTTGGCCATGAAGCTCACTGGGTCACCCTGAGCCCATCGCTACCTCTCAGCCTAACCCTCCTCACAGGGTTGTTGGGATTAAATGAGAGGGAGAACCATGTATACCCCCTGAGCTCTTAGGAGAAAAAGGTGGGATATAAACACAATGACTAAGGTAAAGGTAAAGGTACCCCTGCCCGTACGGGCCAGTCGTGTCCGACTCTAGGGTTGTGCGCCCATCTCACTTAAGAGGCCAGGGGCCAGCGCTGTCCAGAGACACTTCTGGGTCACGTGGCCAGCATGACGAAGCTGCTCTGGCAAGCCAGCACCAGCGCAGCACACGGAAACGCCGTTTACCTTCCCGCTATAAAGCGGTACCTATTTATCTACTTGCACTTAGGGGTGCTTTCGAACTGCTAGGTGGGCAGGAGCTGGGACCGAAAGACGGGAGCTCACCCCGCCGCAGGGATTCGAACCACCGACCATGCGATCGGCAAGCCCTAGGCGCTGAGGTTTTACCCACAGCGCCACCCGCGTCCCTTAAACACAATGACTAGTATTTGCTTTGATTAAATATATAACCAGTTGTTCTTTCCAAAGGGCCCCAGGGTGTCAAACACAAAACTGATATTACAATAAAACGAAACGATAGCATTTATGTTGTGCATTTTAGTTCTGAGATTACTCCACCTATATTCTCCAAATATATATTTTTTTATATTATATTTTTATTAGTTTTCAAATACAAAAACAAATTTATACATTCCATACATCTGAATTACATCTTACTTCTCTTTTTTGACTTCCCTCAATTTGTCTGCCATTCCTTCCTATTGTTACTTTTTACACATTTCTGCCCTTTTAACCCTTTCCCCTCACAGAGCTTCCTTAAAGCTTACAAACGTAATTTTATTATCACTCAGTTTTTGCATATATTGGATAAACTTTTCCCAATCTTCTGTAAATCTTTGATCTCATCGATTCCGGATCCTTCCTGTCATTCTGTCCAGTTCTGCATAATCCATCATTTTAGTTCTCCATTCTTCTATCGTAGGTAAGTCCTCCTGTTTCCATTTCTGGGCCATCAATATTCTTGCTGCTGTCACTGCATATAACTGTATTCTCCAAATAATCCTTACAACAGCCTTTTAGAGTGGGCTGCTGTGATGCTCGTGTCAGCATCAAATGTTAAAATGCGAGACAAACTTTTTTCATTGTTTGAAAATGCTGAGATAAGTGAATAAATGTCAACAGTCACCTAATTCAACTTTCAGCCATTCACAAAATTCATCTGGGTTTTCCAGCCAACCGGTTGCACAGGAGATGTAGACATTCATTGTAACAGCTGTTCCTGGCAATCATGCAAAGATGTAGGAGCTGTTTCCTAGACTACAGCAACTTGACATGTCGGTGTGACCTTGGCGTGTACTATAGTTAGTTGGATTACAGGTAAAAGCATCTACTCTCCCAATTTGCAGATGCTGGGGTGGGGGGAGAAATTGGATAGTGCAAATGTGTGAATGATAAGCAGGCCTGCTTCAATTTCCTTACTGCTCCAGATCCTAATCCAGCCAAACACAGGCATGAGTGACGGCCAAACTAGACATGACACCATTCAAACTAGACATGACGCCAACTTAGCAATTTTGTGAATGGCTTTAAAATAGGTGCAGGCAGCTTAATTAAGATTGGGACTGCAGGGAAGATCCCATTGCCCTTTCAGCTTAGACTAGTCAGTTTCATTTGAATATCCACTTGGATATATGGACTTAATATTAGGTCAATCATTCTCTTTTATTACACTCAGTGACCAGTATTGCCGCGGGGGGGGGGTATATCTATATAAAATGAGACCAAACCGAACACAGAACCATTACAATAAAATTACTAGTTCCTGCATCGTACGATAAACCGCCAGTCATAAAGAACGAAATGGTAAGTTTGCTCAAAGTTGTCCCTGAAGCGTTTTACATGCAGCAAGCAGCACAATATTTAGCCCCCCTGGAAGAGATGGATGTGTTCTGACCATTTTTATGTTTAAGTCAGGATCAGTTGAATGCTTTTATTGTTCATATTAGGTGATTAAATCTTATCTGCCCTGGGCGGGGAGGACGAGGGATAGTGCCGCTTGCCAGAATGCCCCCCTCTCACCAAACTTAGGGGTGTTCCACAAGGCCTTGCTGCTTGTTTTTCCTTCTCCAAGGGTGGAGAAGACCAGCAGCAATGCCTCACACCAGAAGCAATGGGTGGGTCGGGCGCCACCCCTTGCGCTTCCACCACCTGAGGCAGCTGCTTCACCTGCCTTCTGAGTGGGCTGCCTCTGATCTTCCTTGCCCCCTTCCCTGTGGTTCAATACAATTTATATTCATGCAGGTTCATTTTTTGGCTAGTCTGCCAGTGCTTTATAAGCAGCGGGTGTTTTGTCCTGAGCTCACCGCTTGAGGATGCATTAGCTTCATGTGACTTTACTATACCCTTGCCCCCATCCCTCCCTTTCAGGAGTGCTGTGACAAAGGCATGTAGCATTGCATAGTCTCTGTGGTCCTTACATCCTTACTGAGGTTAGGTATCACTTTCTTACAGCTAGTGATGCACCCATCAGCATGACAGTATGTACCATGTTCTCCCATAGTACTGATTTCACTGTGAACCACTGGCTCTATTAGAGGAGAGTAAAGGGGTGGCAGTCAGTAACACCATTAAGGGGTGTGGGTGGGTGTCAAAACCTATGGCAGCTCCTGAAATGCGAAAGCAAAGGTAGCCATGTTGCTTTTTGTGTGACCTGAACATACCAAATTTAGTTATTCCACAGCAGGATCCTAAACTGCAGGAAGACGATCTTAGTACAACCTAAAAACAACAACAGGTCTAAAAGTACCCAGTCATTACTGACAATGAACAGATATCCTGATTTGCTTCTAGGGTATTTACACGTCTTCCTGTTAGTCATTTGTTCATCCCACACTTCTACCTGGAGAAAGTCCATAGTTTTGTTGCATGAGGACAACAGAGGGCTTTTAATCGACTTTGTGCAAAACTATGTGGTTGAATCCCTCTTGCAAAATGCTGATAGCATGGACACAGGCACTCTAACTCTTCTTAACATGACTGGTCCTTTCTTCCCACTCAAATTCTTATTTTAATATTTGCAAAAAGATACATGAATATTTTAATGAATTAGCACATAAATTATTCTCCCGAGTGTGCATTTCAAAAACAATAAAATTCACAAATCCTCAAATAAATGCCACCTTGTTTTGATTGCAATTTTGGTAGCTGTTATATTACTGTATTGTGGAAAAACAAACAAACAAACAAGCCAACTGGGCACACAATTTGCCCCACCACCACCAATACACAATCCATCCTTTCCCCATTCATAAATTTTCATCAAATGGGATATCCATTTTAGAAATATTGTCTTTCCCTTTCCCATAATCCCATACACAAGTACAGCCTGTGTGTCCAATTATAAGGCCTAAGCACATTTTGACGCAAGGCAGGACTGAGAGACGGAAGATATTTTTAATGTATATTTTTAAAAGGTCTTGTTAGGAACCGTCAGCTGTAACAGATGTATTGTAACATAAGTTCTTGTACCAAAATGTTAGTCTTTAAGGAACCACAAGACTTCATATGTATATGTGTGTTTGCTTTCACACAGCTTTGCCTCTGGAAAATAACGCATCTTGTAAATTCCGCTTGATCAGGGCTTAACTCGCAGCTTCCAGCACATTCATAACAAAGAAAACTACATCTCCCAGAATGCACCAGGGCTCGTTGCTCTAAGCCACGGTCCCGTTTACCTGTCACGGCTTGCAGCTCTGTGGTTTGTCCGGCAGCAGAGACAAGACAGATTGCATCAGCCTGAGATGTTTTCTGCAGCCTCTTCCCACCCGAACAAAAGCAACGTTAGGGGACCGAGGCTCACCAAGGCTGGATTGCAGGCAGACATGGTCCTCTCAGCCTGGTGGGTGTGCCACAGCTCCTAGTGATGGCTGTCTGCTCATGTGGCCTCGCCTTGTTGCAAGTGGATCTGAGAAACTTCCAGATGTAAAAGGCTGAAGGGAGAGAGAAACAGGACTGCAGAACAGGTACGCTTGATCCCAGAAAAATGACAAGCCAATCCATGCCTGGGGTCTGCGTTAATGCGCCAATCAGGGCTGAAGATCCACAGATGGC